CCTCACAGTTCCCCAAACGTCCGTGGATGCGGGGGGGATTCCAGCGGACCCCGGAGCCGGCGGTGCGCACATGACGGCGGCACCGGGACGGACGAGCACGGGACAGCCTCACCGTAAATAATAAAAACAATAGTAACAACAATAATAGCAAAAACAAATAATAGTTAAAAAAAAAAACAAAACGTTGCGGAATTCAGCAGCGCGCTCCCTCGCAGCACAGCCGCCACCCGCTCCGTCCCGCAGCGCAGCCCCGCAGGGCTGAGCATCTCCTGCCCGCGGCTCTCTCTCCCTCCCGGCACTCCCGCACCGCGCCGGGACGGGAAGCGCCGGCGCTGAGGGCTGTGGGGCGACATGGAGCCCCAGCGAAGAGTTGGGGATTCCTCCACCCCTCGCGCCGCAGTTTCTGGAAGAACGCGCCGTGGGAGGTTATCACCCAGAGGCGATCACCGGGCTGCGGCCCGACTGCGGAACGCCGACCGCGGGGCCGCGGCTCCGAACCCCGCGGTGCGTCCCTGCCCGGCGGCCCCCGGCCCCGCCGCACACCCGCCCGAGGGCTCCGCGAGGCCGGGAATTGTTTCGGTTCTGTACCTTTCCGACACCAACGACACTTCGGCTTTTTTTTGGTGCTAGCCGGCATAAAAACGGTTTTAGAAACCATTCGGCCCCGCAGACGGCCGGGAACACTTCTAAAAGCAGGGCCGTACCGTCCAGGACAATGCCCCGCGCCGGTTCCCCCGCACCGCGGTCCCGCACCGCAGCGGGAGGCGGGGAAGGATCCCCGGGCGGGGCCGCGGCCGCCCCCGGCTCCGTTCCTCCCGCAGCCCCGCGCCGCCCCGAGCAGCAGCTTTGCGGCCCGGCAGCTTCGCAGCCGTTTCCCGCAGGGACCGGCCAAGGACGCCGCGCACCCCCCCCGGCCCGGCTCCTACCTGAAGTAGTCCATCTTGCAGAAGATCTCCTTGTTCTTGATGTAGCAGCTGTGCTGCTGCCGCAGCGAGGTCCGGCACACGGAGCACTCGAGGCAGCGGACGTGCCAGATGAGGTTGTTCACCTGCGGCGGAGCGGACAGAAGCTGAGACCCGGGGCCACCCGCAGACGCCCCGCCGCCCCGCCGCCCCGCGCTCACCTTCAGCAGGTACCGGTCGAGGATCTCCAGCCCGCAGCTGGAGCACACGTTCTTGCCGGCCGACGGCGTGGAGGAGGAGGACGAGGACGGCGGGGAGCAGACGGATGGCGTGGAGGGGGTGCTGGGCGCCGAGCGGGCGTCCTCCTTCTCCAGCGCTGCGGGCAGCGGCTCCCCGTCGGGCTGCGACTGCGGGCACAGCCCCGCGGGTATCCGTCAGCCGCGGCCCCAACGCTCCCGACGCGATCCCCGCCGCGTCCCGACCCCGCATCCCGCACCGCTTACCATGGCGCGGCCGTGCGGGTCGAGGCAGCGGGCGGTCGCTTTGGGCAGCGGCTCCGGCGGCATCACCTTGCGGGAGAGAGCGGGAGAGGGCGGCTGCGGTTCCATGCGCCGGGCGAGCGCGGGGCACCCTATATAAACCGCCTCAAAACAATAAATAAGAACTTTCTAGTGGCCATTTAAATCCTTTGCAACAAAAGCTGCGTCTCTTTAATGAAGCAATTTGAATGTGGATTGAATTCTCTCCCTGCCTGCACTTAACCCGGGCCTCTTGAAGTAATCGCTCGGTTCCCATGCGAGCCAAAGCGCTGAAAAAAACCCACAAACTACCTGCAATTAGAAATTGCCGTAAATGCCCGAGATAAGAGGTACCCAGAGTGTCAATTCCGGCTGTCAATCAGGGAATCCATCAGGCCACCCAAAGAATTGCAAATTTGATTTTTTTAATGGTAGTAATTAAAAATCGAAATTCTTCCCCCTCTCCCTCCGCCGAGCGCGAAACGCCCCAGAAAGCGCCGGGATGCGAAATCCTCCCCTTCGGCGCGGGAGGCGGCGAGCGACCCCCGGGCCCGGCCCGGCCCGCACCGCCCCGCACCGCACCGCCCCGCGGCCCCGCGCCCGGCCCCGACGGCGCTCACCTTGTCCGCCTCGGTGCCGGCCGGGGCGCGGCGGCCGGGGCCCCGGGGCTGCCCGCCCTCATGGCTCCGGAGCATGGGGCGGGCGCGCCCCGCTCCGCCCGCCGCCGCCGCCGCGCTCCGTGCCCGCGGGCGGCGCGTCCCGGGGCCGCGGCAGGAAGGGCGGGGAGCCGCGCCGGCCCCGCTCCCCCGCCGGGGGCGGCCGCGGGCCGGGCAGGAAGCGGCGCCCCCCCGCCGCGCCCCGGGGGCCGCCCGCCCCGCCGGGCCCCGCTACCTGCGGCGGCCGCGGCACCGCCCGCGGGCGCGGCGTAGGGGCGGGGGCCCGGTGCCCCCTCCCGGCCCCGACGGAGCGCACGGACGGGGCCCGGGCTCGGGCAGCGCCGCCGCGCGCGGCCCCGGGAGCCCCGCGCTGAGCACGGAGCCCGGCGGGGCCGGGGGATCGCACCCACCGCCGCGGTGTCGCGCCGCCCGCCGCTGCCCGGGCTTCATTAGTAACCTGATAATTCCCCGGCAAAGCCCCAGCAGCGGTTCCACCATGAAGTAATTGTAGGACGGTAACGTGAGCTGATGGCGGCCGGGGATGGATCCTCGCGGTTATTGATTCTGACAGCTAAATTGTTAACCGAGGGGGAAATCAGATGAAAGCCATTTTAGAATAAATACGAGACATTAGGTTGAAACGCTGAGGTTCTAAGCAAGCCCTAGCAGAGCCCCGGAAAGCCGAGCCGAGGCCCGGCAGCGTCCCCCGCCCCACCGCGCGGCTCAAACCGCTCCCGCAGCTCCACCGGGAACGCGGAGCGGCTCCTGAGGACGTAGAAAGGCCGGCGGCCCTCCGTGCTACGAGAACCACGCCGGTCTGCGATGGGCGCAGCGCGGACGGGAGGGGCTGAGGCGCAGCGCTGCCCGGCTCGTGCTGCCCCGTCGGAGCGGCGGAGGCTGCAGCCCGAGTTTCTTCGCTGCCCGCGTCAGGGCCGTGACCGTGCGCTGCTCGGGGAAAGCACGCGGCCCGGCTGCCCCGCACGCGCTCCCTCCCACCAAAGCAGGGCACGGGGACAGCGCAGCTCCATCCGCGAGCCACTGAACCGCGTGGAAACGTTCCTTCAGGTGAAGGCACGACTCCACGTCAGCCCTGAGCGATGGGGCAGGAAAACTGAAATATCGAGGAACAACCTGCACGACGGGCACGGTGAACGATCCCCTCGGTTCCCCACCTTGCCGGGAATAGAGTGGAACCAAAGAAAGCCAGACAGGAGGTGAGGGCTGTGCAGCAGCCGTGAGCCCCGCTCTGCCCTGCAATCCCTTCAGGTGCTTCTCAGAGCGATGTTAAGATGGCTGATAGAGCCCAAGCGTTGTGTATAGAAGCGTCGCCGAGCATTTACCTGCTCCCGCACGCGGTGTCAGGAACGGCCCGGCTCTGCTGTGCTGCTGTGCCATTCCCAGGCAGTGCATGCAGTGGGAGCGCTGCCCGGGCGGGCGGCAGGCACGGCCCTGCAGTCGCGCTCCCCCAGGTCTGCCGCGGCCCAACGCCGCACAACGCACTTCTGTTACCGACGGGGCAGTGCAAAAAAAAAACTGACTGCAGCTATTGTACACAGAATGGTATCAGTGGGCTTCGGTTGGTGCCAAGCATTTACCACCCTCACTTCCTGCGTACCACCCTCACTTCCCTAGAGGAAAACATGCATTTTAAATGTTTATTTAGAGCCTTAAGAATTTCAACAAGTTTAATTTAAATACAAATAAATATCAAAATATGAGTCTGAAGGGAATGACACCACACGCCTCACCTTCTGAATTTAGGCATTTTCTAAATTCCTATTAGGAACAGAAATGGTTTGAAATAATGCAGATGCGCATCCTGAGGACTACAAGGGGTAGCACACGTAGGAACAAAACACAGGCTGCTCACAGAGGAATGCAAATGGGTGTTACTGACATTCACAGGGGGACAAACTCCAAACCATACTTTCTTTTTACTCAGGTACCCAAAGAAAATTAGCAAGCAAGTATCTAACAGTACAAGACCTACTTCTCAGCAACTCAGGCTTTCGATCTATCCACCATACACATGCACAGCTTCATCCTGGGGGCTGTTTGGGAGCAGGAAGCATGTTCTGCACTCGAAGGCAGGTGTTCAAAAAGCTGCTTCAGGAACACAAACCCAACTGCTGTACGAGTGAGCAGCACCTGTGCTCAGAAGTGGGCTGTTCAAAAATCACTTTCTTGCTCCTGCTTACCAGTTTGGAGAAGCAACTCAAGAGTGACAGGCCAGCTACAGGCTCAGCACTGAAAGGACGTGAGAAAGCAGACTGCAGTGCAATCAGTACAAACTGCACCTGAGTGCACGCATTCCCAATGTCCCACATCACAAAGGAGGAAACGCTGCCAGGGCGGCCCTTCCTCAAATCTTTCAGTTCTGCAATGAACATTTAGGGAGAAGAACGAGCTGCAGATGCAATGATTTCAGCAAAATGCCTTCAACGAGACCCCCAAACCAGATGCCTTGTATGGGTGAGCCTCAGCAGGCAGCAGAACCAGCACTGCCACAGATACTTGTGCCACTTCAATCACATTGAGAAACCTCCACCAGGCAGTCAAAAAGATAAAGGTAGGACCAGTTGGTGGGCAAACACTGAGGTCATGTGCTTGACAGATGTCTCTGAGGCTGCAGCATTATTCTCACGCTGTCACATCTGGTTTGTGAAGAGCTCCCACTAAGGGGGGTTCCTGAACACAACTATTAGAGATGTCACTGCTGCACTCTGAAGCTGATGGCACAGAAAAGACCCCACTGGTGTGTAACCTCACCAATTCCAATGCAGAGGCACACGTGCCAACAGCCCAAATGACCCTGAGAATACCTGTGCTGTGCCACGACTTCCAAAGCCAGCAAATAAAAATGCAAAATAAATTTGGATTGGTGCTAGAAAATATCACATGCACAGTTACTAAGTGTTGCAAAGTCTATTTAAAATGAGTTTTATTGAGATGAAAAAGTTTTCCATGGTAACTACAGAATGTTAATCAAAACCAGGTGTTTCCCCCTCTGTTAGAAACACGAATTGGAGTATCTTTTGTCCAAAAAGACTTTAAAAAGTAATCACTTAAATAGAGTATGTTTGGATGTGCTTTACTCCACACACTGGTTACTGTCTCTAATCTTGCTAATGAGTGCAAGCTATCCAGAGGCTGTCTGTATGTTCATCAGAGGCTTTGAATGGAACCTACTCCTCTGAACAGCTCTCAGCTGTGAAGCTACACGGGCAACAAGAGCACCCAGCAACCAACCCGAGTGTCACAAACACTGCGCCAGTACAGCGGTGCTGTGCTCAGGGGGAGCATCCTTCTCACCCTACAGAGTACAAAAGCATTGGGAGATTCCAGGCATACAAAGCAGTGTTTCTTGCTACCATCATCCCATTCAATAAGCATCATCTTCTAGATTTCCAGGCTGCTCTGGAGTAAGGAGTAGTCCTTTTCTTTTCTGGTGGTTTGAAGTAAGAATAGACAGGCGCTGCTGGATATTCTGCGTCTGGATTTTCTGCCATCATTTTCAGCTTGGCTTCAATGGCCTTTATTTTTGCACTGACACTGAAAAGAGGAAAAACAGAAGAGAAATTGAGCTTAATCTTAGCACAGAATCACACTAACAGCAATCCAGAGATTCTGCTGACACTGGAATCTCTATTTACCCCAGGAGCAGCTGGGCAGCCCCCATCACTGCCTCCACCAGCAGCGTGGAACTAGGAAGCAGGAATCCACTGCTTAAGGCCCACACTACTGCCATTCAGATCCTCAGTACAGATTTGCTTAGGAAAGGTCCTCCGTGATACAACACAGCACTGCAAAGTAACTCTCCTTGCACCTACTCAGCACTTTCTTAGAATTCTAAGCTAGACAAGCACACAGCAAGGCTTCCTGCAACATCTACAATGATGTCATTGAAAGCGGTCTGAGCATGTGCAGCAGAGCACAGCCCAGGCAAGGCTGCTGGAAGCAGCAGAGAAATGAAAGCCAGACTTCCTCACAGCTACAAGACCACTTGGGATGGGAAAGCCCCAGGTTCTAATTGAAGAAACATTATTTCAACATTACCAAAGTTTATCCCAAAGGGAGATGCTCTCCTAGGTTACACCCCAAATTCCTGGGAGTTCTGTTATCCACTGTTCTCGCTGGGTATGGACTGAGCAATGCTCCCTTCTCCACTGCAGTTTCCTGCAGCATCCATCCCCACTAAAACAACCCCACTGCACTACTAACATACTAACAATCTGCATGATTGGAGTCTCTCTGCTCAGTACTTCCTAGCATGGTTTGATTGTGTTTGCTTTTTTTTTTTTTTTTAATTTAATGGAAATATTTTGTTTTAATCTCTCACTGTTATAAAGAAAATTCTTGCTCATAAGAATTGCTGAATGAAATTAGCACAGCACAGCACCTCTCACTGAGATTCATGTGAAGGACTACAAAGCACATTCTGGCCAAACAAGCTCAAGCGTTGCACGCTCCAATTCCTCTCCTTATTTCTTCTCCTTCACATTTCCTAGCGATTTAATATGTTAGAAAATGAACATCAAGTCATAAGGAGCTCATTTCATGCGGGGCACTTCAGAGCAGGCTGCCCACCTGCAGGTTAGATTTTTAGTACAAAGAAAACACCAGTTCTTGATCCTATTGAAGTGTAAGGTGTCAGTTCCCCACCGTTCCCACAGTTTGGTCACCTCTCACCCACTCCATCTCCTACCTCAGGTTGGACTGGGGCGGCTCTGTGCTGGACGATGGCTCCAGGCTGATTGGGAGAATCTTCTCATTCTTATTATGATCATATCTCTGCAAATGGAAGACCAGTATTCAAGTCAAAACTGGAGTCACGAACAAAAACACTCTCTGACAGATACACTTTAAATTTGGATTCATATAACCTCAGATTTAGTGAATCTTTCACTATGAAGGATTTGATTTTGACGGCCACAAATTCTAACCATGTTTGTTGAGTACCATTATGGTGGTACCATAATGATGTGGACCCTGATACTGCACGCTTCTGTGCACCATATTGTTATCCCATCTTATCACTTCCCGTTCCCATCTATCTAAGACGAAGCAGAGATGCTAAATTTCTCAGCACTGCATCACCACACTGTTTATACAGACACTGTTCAGAGTGACAAGGTAACAGAAGCACACAGCTACTCAGAGCTGTGCAGTGATGGAAGAGAAACACATTCAGGATCAATTGTGAACCATCTCCTTTCTGTGAAGAGCAGCTTGTGAGCCTGTCTTCTCTGTGGGCAACGGGCCTCCTGAACTATTCACAGCATTCTGCTTCCTTGTTTCACTTGGCACAAATTCAGATTTGTTTTTCAGCAGAGCTGCTCAAATTGACAGTGTCTAGTAAGCCTTGGCTGCTCATCTTAGAGCTACTTAGCACGGTGCTGTCATTGCCTAAAATAAACAGTTGCTGCAATAAGCTAAGGTTTTGTGTCGTTAAATCTTTCCATTCACAGATTATAAAATGCCATGCGAGCTGAACTGATTATTTATGTATGTTCTTCCCCATCCCCTGGCTGGCTGCATGCTGAGCTACCCTGCTGAACTCCCAGCTGAGCAGACACTCTCCCCCAGCTGAAGCTCCTTTTATGGATCGCCTGTCAGGCCCCCGGAAGCACACGGTGCTCAGTAGCGGCGGCGCTCCAGAAAATGGAGCCTGCATTTGTGCAAGTTCTGATGTGCTGACAAAGGCCTGGAGCCTTCAAAGCCAATAATTAAAACAGCATGGTCTCCTTTAACAAAGATACCTGCTTTTCCCTTTTCTTTCCTGCCCCCCCCCCCCATCTTCTTCAAGATTCCTAAACAAATGCACTGCTGCACTCAATTAAAAAAAAAAGAAGAGTAGGACGTTGATTACAGGATAATCAAGGTGTGTTAAAATCACATTACCCAAAGGTAAATAACAATAAGCACCTCCCTCTGCCTCCCCCAAAACATCTCTCTCGACAAAGACAGTTATTCAAACAAAGTTGCTTCATATAAGTTGCTGGAGTAAATAACTGCAGGAGAAACAAGACAAGAATTCAGAGGCATGAAAACAAGGATGTTCCAGAAGGTACTCAAGTTAACATTAAAACCTTGATGTTTTATTCAGTAGAGCAAGCAATAAAATGATATTTAGTTTAGAAGTGAAACACCTTGCTTTACAAGTCAGGAATAATTATAGCTGCTGCCAAGTGCTTTCAGAAGTGGAACAAAGTTACAGAGTGCTTAGTAATTGGGAATTTCCATGCATCTCCTATCCAAAAAGGGTGCAAAACCACAAAGGGAAGGATACAATCCTTCAGCCAATCATTCACTAAGCTTGGGAAAAGTTAAAAAACAGAAATTTAGAGAAGTAACCAGTTCCCAGAGCTCTGATTAGATGCACCTTTACAAAGAACATCAGGTTAAACAGCCTTTTCTCATTCACCGCTAACTCAGCTAGTTCAGGAGGATAACAGAAGTGGTACATTGTTCATGCTGCTTCCCTGAGAGCTATTTCCTAGAACACACTGGTATCTTGCCAAGCTAAGACAGCCTTCATAAGAACTGTTCCTTAATATTATGGCTTTTTGACTTTGCAAACTGATTTTTATCTACCAGCAGGCTTACCTTGACTTGTGCGTGCGCCCACCGCACCACCAGCTTCTTGGAAAGGGCCAGCTTCCCATTGAGACACTGGATCGCCTTTTCTGCTTCCTGCACAGGAGGCACAGGAAGGCAGTTCAATAAACAAACCAAGTCTTCAGTCATAACCGTCTCAGATGTAAAGACCCTTTTCCTTTTGTAAATCAGTCCTCTGAAAGTAAAGCTAACTGTCTGCAAAGAACGTTTATCCCATTGTATCCCAACCCAGAAATACTTGGAAGACTCCCACACCCAACTGAGCAATCAGACTTTTATAAACCAGCAGGGCAGATTCTTTCAGTCATTGTAGGGAGGAAATGGGGAAGATGATCACAAGTTTTGAAAAAAAATCAAAGGCAGAAGCTGTTGGAACAGCACGCAGAGGGAGCTCTGTGCTCCACCAGCTTCTCAAGAAACACTGCCATTGGTCCCAGAGGCATACCATGTCCCATCAACACCCTGCACCTACGCCAGATCTTGCTAATGCCTGCTAGGGATGTTATCCTCTTGGTCCTATCCTGACTAAGCAGTGAAATCTCACCTTGGGGAAGCTCCCACAAAACTCGATTCACAGCAATTAAAAATGCATGTTGCAATGCTGTTCCACCTCGTTACGAAAAATCATTCGTTGACCTTTTAGACCTCAAGCACTGGCACAGCTCTTCTGACATCCTTGTGGTTTCTGCAGCCTGGGCATTTCATTTATCCCTTCCTGTTTTAGCTTTATACTGACATAAAAGAGGTGGGGAAGAAGCCACTCTCTTGAAACAAGAAAGCAACGTACCTGTTTGGTTTCAAAGTTCACAAAACAGTAACCCCTCGGCTGCCCCTCCAAAGCTCCAGACTTGTGAAAGAGAAAATCAAATTGCTTTACTTTGCCGAACTTCTGAAGGAGTTTGAGAAGGTGGTACCTGAGGGGGAACAAAGACGAATGGCACCTTTCAGTACTCTGAAAGAACAGCGATGGAGACACGCATTTCAAGCTCAGTCACACAAATGGTTCAGTTCAGTCACACAGGAATTCCCAAATATACGCAGAGGTGGACATCCATTACACAACCACAGCCCTGAGCTGCCCGGCCTCATCAATGACAGCCCTACACCCCTAAGCCTTCCTCCCAGCAGTGCCAGCTGAAGAGTGAGCAGCAGATCTATTCATAGCTGGTTTTTGGGACAATTACCTAACAGCTCCCTATGGGGCTGGAGGACTCTGCCTCTTGTCTTTCTAGAAATCACACCTACTTCCAAGCATATACACTGCCCCTCTCCAGCCCTGCCATGACTATCTGAAGCTCCATCTGATCCCTCTCTCTGCACAAGCAGTCCCAGCCCACAGCGCCTGCAGTTCTTGCTGCCCTCCCTGTCCGCACATGAGCAAAGCTGCTCCCATCCCTTCCCTGTGCCAAGCTGTATCAGTGTGCTGACAAGGACATGGCTGAAAACACAGTCCTGTTCCCACCTGCCTGGAGGAGCTGGGAAGCAGGAAGGCAGGATGAGCAGAACCACAACCAGAGGCTGACAGCAGACCAGGTGGAAATAGCACCAGACCTCAGTACGGGTCAGGCAAAATTAAGCATCCCTGGCTCAGCCAGCTTTCCAGTGACATGCACACAGAAGTCAGACACTCCTGCCATTCAGTGGGGAGTGTGCTTTTTTCTTTTTTTTTTTTTTTTAATAAAACTTGGGAAAAACCTCAACTAAACTTGTATGCTTAGCACTTGGTGCACTAAGCAGTGTGGAACAAGGCGCACATACGTTGTACAGACACATCTAACCTCAAAAGTTCCTTGCAGCTTTTTTGGTTCCCTGGACCCCAGTGTTTAATAGTGCCAGTTGACCTAGCAGGCAAATCACACTATCACTATTTCACCAACTGACTTCCAACCCAGAGATTAAGAATTGTCTGAGGGTTTAATGAGGGCATCTTAGGACTCAACCCCTCCTGATTAGCAGTACAGGGTTAGTTAGGGAGCCACGCAGCCTAAGCTCAATTCCCAGCTTCCCAGATGAGAGAATGCTCGGAGCTCTGGAAGCTCATCAGGGTAACTCCCTCTGCACACGAACCAGCAGGCACTGGCCAGGACGAGGCATGTCCTGGTGCAAGCAATCAGCAGTGTCCCAAGACACTGAAGGCATCAGGTAACTTCAGGGACAGCCCAAGCAGACAATACTTTTCCTAATAAAGCCCGATAGGATGTTCGAAACAAGCGATTGCCCTTTGTTAAGCTTCAGGAGGCAGGCAAGAAAGTTCCAGGAATGTGAGTCATGTCGCAGGACAGCCACGGCGAACGTTCAGGATGTGCACTTTTAGAGAGGTGAAGGTACAGCAGGCGCTCAGCCCAGCGATGCAGGAGGGCCAGGTTCCCTTCTCCTGCAATTACAGAGTCACGGGAAGGGCAGCGATGATCCTCACCACATTTTATTTCCCAACAACAAAACTCCCTGCAACTACTCTGCCAAAGGAACAATTCATGCTGTTGGCTCCAACTCCCAACCCGGGAACCGTTGCAACCAACAAATAACGCATTTCTGCTTCCTTGGCAGCAAGTCGTAGCCATTCCTTTAAAAAGCATTTTAGTAGAAGAGTTTGGAAGCAACCTATGTAGCCAATTTCATTCAGAATCTTTAGATCTAGATGATACAAGCATGATTTTCAAACCACACATGCAATTTTTAACAATGCAAGTTATCTCCTCTGCAAGGAGCAGCTCCAAACGAAGCTGTGTGTAACCAGAAGCTCCAGGCTTTGGTTATAATCTGTTGTTAATACAGTGAGGCATTGAGAGTAACTTGACTGTTATCCCCACGCAAAGAAGACTTCAGCACTGAAGGAAGACCTGTCACGGAAAACTTGAAATGTTTATTGAAGAAGTGTGAACGTGTAAAAAGCTTTATTATGGCAGTGACTCTGCTTATCCAGAGCTTAAGAGTTATTCGCACAGATGTGGCCCCAAAGATCACCACAGCCAACCTCAATTTCCACTTCCTGTCATCTGATGTGAATGCAAGACAAACCCGCAGCTCCCCCATTTCCTTTTCCTCCAGTCTTCCTCCTGGCACCCTGAGTGCTATTCAAACACAGGCAAGGCTTCCTCTGAACAATGCTATCCCAAGGATACTGCAAAGGTACCGGGCCACATGCTAAACCTATTATTGCAAAGAATTTTGCCCCACTGGGAGTCAGTAGGAGTCTCTAACAACAACTCATGCACACATTGTTTTCTAGGTGAGACTCATCAAGATGGGATCGTAGACAAGCAGCTGAACAGCCAAGGAAGCTGAACATCCACTATTTCATACCTGCAGGTCATTAACAGTCATTCAAAGGCTACTAGAAACCAGATAACATACGTATAACTGCAGTACTGGAAGTGCCGCGTTTTGGGCGGACAGAAACTTAAGCCTCCAAAAGCTTTACACACAGGAATTAGAGCAGGCAGTTCGACTCCACGTGCCACGCAGGAGGTGCAACAGAAGTCACAAAGCAGCGAGGTGAGCAAAGGGCACAGCACAAAGCATCTCCCAGCCCACCAGGGGACAAGTGCTGCACCAGGCCATGCTGGCAGTGACAGCAGGGAGCCAATGGATTCCCTGCTAGTGACACCACAACTGACCGCCCGCTGCCCTCCTCACACCCCACTGCAGCAGAACCCAAAGCAGAGATCCTTCAGCACTGGAACTGCCTACAAATTACATCCCACACCACAGCCTGCTGTGTGGACATGCGGTGCCAGCTCGCCTCCTTCCAGCTGCTAAGCAGCTACAACCCCCAACATTATCTGCTGCCATATGCAGAACAGTTCTCAGGATACTAGATAAAACAAATAACCCAAGTAAACATCACTGGCAGGGAAGCTAGCCCACCAGAAGACGCATCAAACCCCAACAAGTAGGTATGACAACAACTGACACCCTTGGAGACTCCCATTTGAGTCACAGTGCAATAACCTCCCATAAGCCACCAGCTTACAGGCTGTAATTTGTAGGCAGCCCTACATTCATGAATTCCTATTACCACAGCTTGCACTCAAATGTATACGTTACCTATTAACTCCCCAGTGCTTGATTGCAGTTATAGGTTGCTCTCTAAATGGAAGTCTTGGATTAATTCAAGACTTTCTGAACTCATTTCTGCTCAAGAAAGTCACAACCAGTTATTAACCCTACTAACAACCAATCAACTTTACTCCATCTTAAGCAAATCTAACATGAAAATTGCAGGGGCAACCCTTTGAAATCAGATAAAAGCAGCAAATGAAGAAACAGCTATTTAGCTTTCAGGTATGTGTTTTTAGTCATGCAATTAGTAAGCTCAACAGGGATTATTCAGACAAGCAAGCATGAGCAGAGCTGTGAGCCTTTAGGATAAGAAAGCAAGGGTCAGGCTGATTTATAAAAATTTACTGAACTGATACAGAAACATTACTTTCTCTATGCTGACAATGCATTAAAAGGAATTTTCTTTATTTTTTTCAGAATGAAACAGATTATAGTATTTTTTTTTTTTCAGTGGAGTATAGACATTACTAAAGCAAAACCAAAAGCAGAACACAAGTCTCCAGCCAGAAATACAACCCTGTTACGGGCAACGAGCACTGTCACCCATTGCTGGGCAAACTTTAAACACTAAGCTTAATGGTATGGAATCATTTCACATGAAGCTACTGCTTGCCTGGCCTAGATTCAGAGAAACGTAGAGTGAAAGAATCTTTAACAACACCATTAACCCCAAAACATGAAGGATCTGATGCATTTACAAACACCCACAGTTTTCCCCTTGCACAATCTCCTGAGTCCTTATGGACCTGTAAACATGCTAAGTCCCATATGTGAGTGTATGTGGTCAGCGAGTGTGAACAAACCAAAGCAACAGAGCTGTGGGACAGAAACGGTAACTAACGCAAAACCACCCAAAACTGAATGGTTGTAAAGCACAATGCATTAATGATTCCATTTAGAGGCTAGCAGAGAACTGCTCTGTTAAGATGAACCACACTTAGAATAGAGCCCTACCACCTGCACACGCACAGAGATGGAAGGAGAAACAGTATTCTATGACAGCACGCACAACAGTTAATCAAAAATGCTTGTTTCTAGAGAAATATAAACCCCACGTTGCTCTGTGTGGGTTTGTCACTTCTTAGCACACCACCCAAACACTGGGCAGCAACCCCTGCTGTAGTTCTGCGGTTTGAGTATTACAGCGGCTAAGATCTCATTACCTGCAGGGGATACCAGGTGCTCACTGCAGCGCCTGCCTGTCCTCCCCGCCCACTCCACATCCACGGACGGAACACAACAACAAATGGAACCCCCCGTCACCCCTCAGGGAACGGGGCACATGCACAGTTCTACCCCCATCCCAGGCAGGCAAACGGAGCCGTTCCCAGCCCCGGGGCCACCAGCCCGAATGTGGAGCGCGGCCGGGGGCAACTGCGCACCCGCACCCGGGGCGGGGCTGAGAGCGGAGCCGCGGGCGAGCGAGTACGAGGAGAGCACAGAGGGCAGCCCAGGAGAAGGGGAACGGGTGCTGGGAGGGGGGGCGCCGGTAACGAGAGCTCCGCGCAGCGCGGCTCCGCGGGGGGACGCGGGGCGGTGCCGCAGGGAGGGCGGCGCCGGGCCCGCACAGCCACTCGGTCGCCCGCCCGCCCGCCCGGCCGCTCACTCGGTGATCTTGGGGTCGAGGTTGCCGATCCAGAGGCGGTGCCCGTCCTGCAGGGCGCCCTCGGACAGGATGGCGGCGTTCTCCAGCGGTAACGCCTGTCGTTCCGGCTCCATGGCGGCGCAGGGCCGCCCGTCACCATCCCCGGCCTCGCACAGGCCTCGCCCCGCCCTTGGCGCACATTGATGACATCACAGGCGGGCGCCGTTTGATGACGGCGGCTCGGCGCGACGGTGAGCAATGCCGCGGACACCCGCCCTCCTCTGTTGCCACTCCCGGACCCCGGCTCGGCCCGGCTCCGCTCCGTTCGGGCCACGCTGTGTCGCTTTGCACCGCGGTACCGCAGCGAGGCAGACTGGGCGCTGCGGGGCACCGGGCGGGGCGTCCACAGGGTGTGGGAGAAGGGGCTGAGTGCAGGGGGCAGGGCCTGATGGGCAAATGCCGGAGGCGGGGCCCGGGATGGGGGCGTGGCCCGGGATGGGGTGTGGCCTGGGGTGGGGGCGGGCTTGCGCGCACGTGCCGCTGCGAGGGCTGCTGTGCGGTTTCGTTTGAGTTCGAGGCACAGAGCAGCGCTGTGGCTGGACGCAGCCTTAGAGCCATACTTGTGATTAAGGGGAGCATTAAGGAGGGCTTTGGAGCCTCCATCCTAGAGCGGCAGAATTTGAAGTTCTGTTTAAGTGGTGCACAAATAGCCAGCCCTGCAGTGCTGACTGCTGGCACACGCACACAGACACACACCTCAGGTTTGGAGCCTTTTCCTTTTAGCACGCTGACCCACCTACTTCTTCCCTTTACAGGTAACCAATGGCTATGGCATTACGATGCTTTAGGCATCTGCACTCCCTGCTTCATTGCTCTTCACTCGCAGTGGTGAGGCGGCTGCCACAGCCCCCAGCACGCTGCACAGCTCTGCTGCTGGATGGCTGCAGGCAATGCGTCCACCCACTGCTGCTGGCCAGGCCGCTGGCCACCAAAAAAGGTAAAGCAGCAGCATCCAGTGGTGTTTGCACCCCCCATCCATGATGCCAGATACCCATCTTGGGGAGCTGCTGTTGCAGCAGGGCAGTATGTAGTTGTCATCGCAGTCCCAGCTAGAGCTGGTGCGTGTAGCACGAGCTTCTCATCTATTTTGGTTTGTGCTCTGAATTGCTGGGCTATTTACCTGCTAAAGAATGTCTGTTTATCTTGGACTCAACTCTTAATTTAACATCAGTTGTAACGTCTTCTTTCTAATCTCTAAGGTAGTTGAGTTATTGTGAGAAACTGAAATTAATTCTATGTGTAATGTGCAGCTAAAGGTAAAGGGCAGACACAAGCCAAAGTGAACATCAGTGCTGCCTTGGTTGAGGATATTATCAACTTGGAGGAAACCAACACAGACATGCAGGCAGTGGTAGAAGCTCTGAAAGAAGATTTCAACAGAAATATCAATGTCAGAACCTCACAAGGTTGGTACATTTTTTGTACAATGCTCTGCTGCTGGGGTTTTGTTTTGTTTTTTTTTCCGGAATTGATTTTCTTTTTATTGAGTTATACACTGGGCACCCAATTACTACAACCTTGACATCCCTTACTAAAGGCTCTCTTCACCCTGAGCTTGACCAGGAAGAATCCATTTTTGTTAATAGCTTCCTGGAAATAGCTTTTCTAAGTGGGAGATGTCAAAAGTGTCTAACTGAACTGTTTGCAGATGTGATGAAGAAGCAGGTTGTCAGCTAATGGTGCAGTAGGGCAGGAAAAATCCAATTGCCATTAAATTAGCCTTTTGAAAATTGCCATCAGACTGGTGTCTGACGTGTACAAACTTTTTTTGCTATGCATCTTTGTGGTTACTGACCTTTACAAGCTTTATTCACTGAGTGAACTGTGTGTTTCAGGAAGGATCATGAATATGTTTGACTAAGCTACAGTTACTATAACACTGAACATATGTATTTTTAAGTAGTATCAAGTTTCAGGGATAAAGTGTAATATTAAACAATGACCACATTTGAATCATCCACCACTCCAGCTCTGGCAAAGGGCACTGCAGTCTTTTGTAGGGCTGGAACGTGTTGCTCAGTCTCTTAACTGTTTATTTTAGCCATAGGTGTTTTTTTTTTTTTTTAACTGCACTGATAAAGTACCTCCTGTCCCGTGTGCCTTTTGGTCTGTTAACATTTTGCAGCAGAAACGAGAGAGCAGATTAAGAGCAGCTCAGGGAGAAACAGAATACTCTCAATTAAGTAGTGGATAGCACCTCCTCTTGGGACCTGGAAAAAAAAAAAAAAGAGGAGTTTAAGGGAACATTGCTCAATTCAAGACAGTAGTTTTCTTGACTTTTATAATAACATCTTGATCTTCTTTAACTTGTAAGTATTAAAAAATAATTATTTCCTCTTAATTCTTCACAATCTTTGTTTAGTTTTCCTGTTCTAGTAACAGAAACAGAAGATTTGTTTTCATGTTTCTGTGCCCTAATGCTGAAATATTTTACAAACACCACAAGGGATGCAGAAACACAAACAGCATACATCATTTTTTTATTTTGTAACATCTGTATTTTGCACAAGGGAGGGAAAATGAGACACTGTATTTGTACTACAGCATCATCCCAAGCTGTGGTGTCATGCTGATGTTCCCCTGTGTTTGGTTCTTTCAAGGGGCCCTTGACCACATCACTGTCACAACAAAAGATGGGAAGTTTCCACTGAACCAGCTGGGGCAGATCTCACAGAAGTCTCCTCAGCTCATTGTAGTGAACATGACCAATTTTCCAGAGGTAAGGACACGTTTCTGGAGGTGGGGCAAGGGGAGGTACTTACCATGGGAACAAACAGGTTGATACTGAGCAATGAAACAGGTGGATAAAAGGGCCTAAGAGCTCAGACAACACTGTCGCTCCTTGACTGACACAAGCTGTGTTTTGCTGCAGACTGTGCCATGTGCCTGCCCCACTTAAGCTGACAGAGTCTCAGAGGAGGTCAGCATAAGGCACTTGATGCCTATGTGTTTCCTGAAGAGTACCCAGATTGTGTAACTTGGAAGAATGAAAACTCCCCATCAGGGAATGCACTGAGTGCCACAACTGAGAGAAGCCATACCGTGGCTTTGCCTGCATCCAGGCAGGAGGATGGGCTAAGAAATGGGTACACAAGCAGCAGAGTCAGATTAGCCATGTATTGCCTGTGTTTGCTTCCCAAGCCAAAGGATTGTTTTTCACCTGAGCTGGAGCTATTTCTCTCAATGCAATTGTTTTATACCATAACTGTTTCATAGGCAGATGGAACTCCTTGATAACACTACACACACTACTACTCCATATCATTACTTACAGCAGATCAGCAATACTTTCTAGCATTGGAAAGCAAATACCAATCCCTGAAGAGTCTAGGATAGAAAATAATTATAGAAGAGGATTTACGATACAGCTTTTACTGAGCATTTTCTTCCTGCAGAGCAAGTTCTGCCCACAGAATAACACTGATGGTCCTAACACACCGAAATCACCTCTGTCACATTTTCTCTGCTCCTTTCGTTTCTGAGTGGGGCAGTTATATCTCACAAAACATTGGCAAAGCTTTACTTTGTGCCTCAGTTGATAAAAGCTGAACTTCATAAGTGTGATCTACTGCAGTAACCTGGAGCTCAAGTTAACAATAGGAAAGAACATCAGAACTAGCAATGCTCCTTGTAGGAAATGCCATGCTAGTGCCCAAGGAACGCAGACCAGCCCAGTCTTGTTATTGTCAGCGTCAGAGAATGAAACAAACTGGCAGAGTGCTGTTGCAGTTCTCTGCAGAACTGTTACTTAACTATAACATTTGACACCCTGAAGGTACAGCAGTGCTCTTAAGGTGAGGGGGGGAAGCATTTTAATCACTTTGCAATTAGCAGGCAAACCTGCCCACCTCACCTTTCAGGCAGAGCAGCATCAGCCAGCTGTGATGGAGTTTTTTGAAAAGTTAATCCTAAGTAATAGGCTGTAAAATAAACATAGAGCTGGGCACAGGCTCTGCTTCTCAGCCAACTGCTACTGCTGTGATGTAATGAGATTACATTGTAGTGCTGAAGTGGTTAAGTTAGTTAACATTTCTAAATGGGTTCTGTGTGATTCCTAGTGGAAAACATTCAACTGGAATTTTTAAATGCTGAGAATCTTTCATCTCCTTTGCCACAGTCAGGCCATGCCTTGGGAATTTATTGTGGTTTCACTCTGCATTGCCTCAAACCATTCAAATAGTTTCAAAGAAGCAAAACATTTTCTTCTGTTGTTGCTTCCCCTTCCCCTCTCCCCCCTTGGTACCCTCGCTACCCCGACACTGAGTGCAGCCATAGTTTCCCATTCAGTTTGATCAAAGCTCTCCACACCAATGTAACTTCCTGATCTTACTGGTAACAGAAGTAAATGTTTCCATGTTCTGTGGAGATGGATTGCCAACTATTGACAGAGTTCTGGCATATGGGAATGATTATTTCCTAATTCTTTTTACCTTTTGATCTGTTTTACAGAGCACAGCTGCAGCTATGAAGGCTATAAGGGAGAGCGGAATGAACCTGAACCCAGAAGTGGATGGGACACTAATTCGGGTGCCAGTTCCTAAGTGAGTATCAATCCATGGTTCCCTGAGTTCATCACTGTGCAAGGCAATGCAGCGGAGCTGAGCCTCCAGCCCTCTGGAGCAGCTCTGTGCTCAGCACCTCTGCTCAAACTGCATCACACAGCATGCTGACGTGCAGACAGAGGCAGCAGCCCTTCTCTGAGCACATTTGGGTGGTAAATCCACAATTCCCGCGGGTGCTCAGTACCAGCAGTGACGGAGCCCTGAAAACACCCTGAGCAGATGCAGAGGTGTGAGGCCACCAGAGGTGTGATCCAAGCTCGGGGTACTGCAGACAAGTGCCACAAAGGGCTTCGTGTACTGCATGCACACAGACCCCACACACTGCTTTGCACAGAGGTGACTTCTAAGTAAAGATGAACTGAGTTATTCTTCATGCTTTAGATCTACTTTAGAAAATTCTCTTGATTTTTATCTAGCATTTTGATCAGAGAAATCTAATTGCAGCTTTCTGTTGCTGTCGCTAAAGGGAATGACATTATCATTCTATTTGCTGATTTTCTGTTTCCCCTGTGCTCTCTGCCCTTCCCCCATCCCTCAGGAGAGGAGGCAGAGGAGGAGGGCACCATTATCTTCATAATTGCTGAGGCTCCCGGGTTGCTGCGCAGTGGTTTGATTGTTAATGGGCACTTGGGTCATCCTTGAATATGAATTGCAGGGGAGGAAACTCCGAAACTACAAATCCTAATCTTTAAAAAAAATACTGTTTTTCCAACAAATATGTACATTCTGCCACTTTCTTTCATGGCGTTGCAGATCAGAAGCAGATCTTCTTTTCCCAAAGGAGGTCTGTCTCATGAGCTGCCCATTCCTCTGCACAGAAACTGTTGCTGCTCTCGGTCCCATTCCCCCTGGCAGCTGGCACCCAAAAGCCCCACATCCAATTCATTTGCAGTTTGCAGGATGTGCCCTGCAGGTCTGCCCCTCACGGACTCCTCTCCAATAAGACAACAGAATTGTTCAGGGTTTCATCCCTTACAGACAAGACGAACGGTTTCTGTCTTTAAAACCTTGAAATGCAAAGGGGAGAAAAACACCCAAGTTGTGAAAGAGAGAACCCTCACATCCCCAAATTGCTTTTTCTGATTTTTCTAAAGTGTTTCATTTTCTCAAATCTCAAAACACGTTCACAAAAAATTTGGGACAGATGCAGTGAAATTGCTAAAATGATGGCAGGTGTGCAGAACAAGCAAACGAATCAGAAAGTAAGAGACAATAGTGAATAGTGCTCCTGCAGAAATGGAGGGAAAGCATGTGAAAAGTGAAGTCAGACCTAAATGATCTTCCCCTGCTCATTAAAACCACTTTTTAGTTGGATTTATCAGGTGGACACACACGCATCCTGTTTTGCCCTACGCACATCGGTGCTTGAGATCATTTCAGCCGAACGTTTAAAAACGTTTGCTTGTCAGTATTTATTCCATTAGTTTAGGTTTTGCATTGCAGTTGAAACATGCAGTGGTTTTAAAGACACACGGGTTGTCTTGGTGTTTACTTCTGCTTCCTGCTAGGATCCACTCTGCTCCCAGAGGCATTCGCCTGTTTGTGTTGCTAGCGCTGCATAGGCAATATTTGTTTGTAGAAAAGTATTCTCTGGGGGTTTAAAAAGAAAAAAAAAAAGAAAAGAAAAGAAAACCAGCCATGGGAACACTTGTATTGGTTGATCTCGTGGCCGAGTTTGACCTGACCTTGTGTCTTTTATGGTATTGCCTCATTTTTAGATCCATCTTTTTTGGACCCATTGTGTTACACTGGATATTGTTTGTAAATTAGTAATATTTTTACACATGTTTTACTGAAAGCCAGATGACTCATTTGAAAGTTTAATGACTCATTGTGAGCTTTTTTTTTCCTTTGCCCTTTAAGAAATATGCAAAGATACCTACGGTGAGGAGCAAGGACTCGAGAAACTTCATTTAGAGAAAAATGCACAAAGCTGAGCTGCGTTGCTCCAGATCACTCATCATAATAAGTCTCTTTCACGCTTCTCGTTGAATAATATATTTTGCACCCTATGTTTATCTGCAATTAGGCATGCAGAGTATCTAGTTAAACCTATTTTCCTTCAACTGATCCCTCTCGTTCGCAGGAAATTCCTAGCATTTGAGATACAGAAATTATTCTTACCCGCAAAAACGCGCTGTGTTGGAGATCAGACGTGGCCTGCATTGTTTTCACTGCGGGTGTGCTCATGCCATATGCTGGAAAGGAGCATCCAAGTGCTGCAGTGCTTCAACCACCAGTTGCTGGCTGGGGCAGGAAAAGAAGAGGTGTTACTGTGGGGCAGTGCACGGCTCTGCACGCACCGCTGCGCGCCCAGCAGGCTGTGCTGTGCGTGGCTTGGTGCCATGGCCCCAGGCACACGACAGGGTTTGAGCCCACTGCTCTGTACCTGCAGAGGCTGCACTGGTCCTGAGGCCTCATCCTTATCCCTGCTGGGGGCTCTTCCCCGTGTCTGCTTCACACTTTGGCTCTAAAGAGGAGGCAGCTGCAATGGTTACTAGACAGAAAAGCAAACACATTTCGAGACAGCTCCAAGTCCCAGATCTGGGGGCAGGATTAAGCAACTGTGCTTAGAAACCAAGGGCCTGGCTTGTGCTGATGGATTCCTTAACCAGAAACAGCATCAGACTGAAGAAGTGTCCATTTCTGGCACTGTTGGTAGCATTGCTAAGAATTTATATACGGCCTGGGTGGAACGTAAAACCCACTGAGAAACTCTGCGGCACTGTGCAGTGATAAAAAGGAATTGGTGTTAATAAAGACAGACAAGGAGGCATGAAAGCTGTGACCCTGTGCCAAAAAGAAGAGGAAATCTGGCAGCCCTGCATAAACAAAAACATTTCCTTAAAGGCTCAGCAGCCCCAAGCAGGCGAGTGATACCCTCAGCACAAACCACCAGAGCTGAACACAAGCAGGGAAGTGAAGGCAAGCTGCACTTGGCCCCAGCTGGGGCAGCCCCTACAGAGCAGCTCTCCTCACCACCCAGCAGCTCCCTCTTCCCAGCTCAGCAGACAGGGATCTCTTTCCCTTCCCCCTCCCAAAATGCTGCCTGAGAATCTGACCTCCTGCAGACCTCTGTCTGCAAGCTGTGCCACAGGACCTCTGGCTTGGGATTCTGAAAAAGAGAAGCCCTAAAGGCATCGATGTTGGGATGCACAGGAAACTATGAGTAACCTCGCTCACTTCCAATCAGACATTCAGGTCCTGGCTGCAGCCTGCTCTGAGCTGTGGCCCCTCAGCAGCACCAGATGCTGTCCCCAGTGTGTCCCCTGGCAAGGGCTGTGCCGAGTCTCTGCTCTGGGCCTCTCTGCTCTCCTAGGGGTATGAAATTCCTGTCAGTTCTGGAAAGCTGATTCACCTCTGCCTTGAGATAGAAATAACTGGCAGTGCTCAGGAACAGTCAGAGCCTCTGCAAACATCTGCTGCAGGAGGGCACTGAGGGGTTGCCACATGGGGCTCAGCTCCCACAGTCCACACTGAGCATTGCTGAGGAGCCCTCACCCCACGCTTCTTCAGCTCTGTGCAGGAAGGATCTTGGCCTTGGTGTTCCACTCACTCAGGCCATTGCAGCCAATTTCAAAGTATTCCATATGAAATGTTTATTTTGCAGCATCTTCTGTGTGCTGCATTTTGCATTCTTAAAGTAATGTCAGAACTGCAACAGCCACAGAAATAGTTAAAATATTATTGTTGAGCACCAACAGTTGATATTGACAGCAGTCGGCTGTTGGTGCTGGAGCATTACCGGAGCTGAGATGACGTGTCAGCTCATCCTGCGTTGGGTTCAGGCTCACGCTGCACTGTGGTTCCCATTCGGGATGAAGAGGTGGGGATTTGCTCCCAGCGGCGCAGCAGTGGCACCACGTGGGGCAAACTGCAGCCAGCGTCCTCTGTGCCTTCTGTATGAGCTGCTCACTCCAGAGCTGTTGGCAGTGCTGCCTTGTCACAAGGCGTGATCCAGGTGTGTCAGTGGAAAGGCCTGGTCATGGTAAGGTCGAGTGAATTAGGAGTTCTCCCAGATGCAGAACTCTACCTCTGGCACTTGCATGGAGACCACACTGAGGGCCAGGGATGATGGAGCTTCCCTCACAGCTTTGCAGGAAAGCTGCACTTCTCTCCTCTGCATCCTGGGTGTGGAGCCGGGTTTTCTCTCTTTCCCCAGATGCTTTGGCAGCGGAAGAAAGACATTAAATGCTTCAGCATGACTTCCAGGCACGCCAGTGACATCCACGAAACAAGCATGTTCAGTCCAAGCCCTTCAGCTTGGGGCTGCAGTAGGAACTTTCCATTTGAGGCAGCCGATTTGCTCAAGGGACTGAAGAGGGATGAAAGCCCCCTGTGAGCAGTCACAGCACAGCATGGTCTGAGCACAGCCCAAGGGTACTGTGTGGAGGCCTGCCCACCCTGCAGGAAATCAGTCTGGCTGTGCTACAAATTACATTGATCTTTGTTTTTTCTCCTCCTCATTGATAGAGTAACCAGAGAACACAGGGAGAGCCTGGCCAAGCTTGCCAAGCAGTCCACCAACAAATCCAAAGAAGCCTTGAGAAAGGTGCGAAGTAAAAGCATCAACCAGGTGAAGAAGTTCAAGAGCAAAGTGTCTGAGGACACCATCTGGCTGCTAGAAAAGCAGGTAAGTTTCTTCCTTGCAGCATATGGCAGTTGTTGGCTCAGTGGGGTGAGGGAGAGCATTTTTCCCACAGCTGACAGAACTCCAGCACTGAGAAATGAGGTGACTCTGAGCAGACTTTTTGGAGTAGGCAGCAGCTGCTGTGTTTGCTATTTCTTTGTAAGAGTTGGGGCTTAAATCTCAAAGCCAAATTTGTGGTATTACATACGGTATACAATTGTAAACTGAAACAGGAAAACAAAATTTTCCTCAAAAGCTTTCGTAGTGCAGAGGCTTGTTACACAACCCAGCTGATGGAGAGCAAAGCTGCCCACGCCCATCATTGTACCACCACTTACACAGAGCCTGGACATCACTAAACAGCTGGTGCTAATAAGGATTGCTCCAATTTCTTGTTAATGAAAGGGCTAGCAAGATTCTCTCCCATTAGGAGTTTTTGGCTCTGACTCAGGAAAATACTTAAGCACATGCCTAATTCCCTAAGAGCAAATGTCACTAAAGTCAATTGCTTGGGCATAAACTCAGGCACAAGCTGAACTGATGCCTCTGAAGCAGGCTGTGACTTTTTGGCCATTTGTTTATTATCAGCTGAAGTCAGGTACCTTCCAAATGCCTCAGAACTATTCTCTGTGTGCTCACAAAAATAAACATTGACGCAGAGAGCATTTCTGCGAGCAGGAAAAATGGCTGTGCTGTTGTAACTGAATCCTGCTGGGAGGTGGTTGTTCCATAGCAGGCAGATGTAGAGGTAGTGTCTCACATCTGACTTCCACTTTCATCCAGATTTTTCAGCATGAGGAGAGGTCATATGCTCATATACCTGAGAATTGAGTGCATCTTAATCAGACCTGGGGAAGCAGTGCAGAAAAGCCCCAGAGGCTTCAATTTCAGTCTGCATATGCGCCCATCACTCACCCAAAATACACAGATGCACATTTTGGTACTGTTCATATGCTTGCCACATCCATCCCTTGTTATCAGAGTATCTAATCACTGGGCAGAGCTTCAATGATAGCCACTTAGTTCTTTGTACAAGAAATTTCATGCATAAGGAAAATAGCAGACTCAGACCTGTGCTGTGCTGCCGCAGATCCAGCAAATGGCAGACAGTGCTGCAGCAGAGATGGACAAGCTGCTGGCAGCGAAGACCAAGGAGCTGCTTGGATAAACACCATGTGTGGACACACTTCCCTTCCAGCAAGAACGGACTGCCCTGTATCCACTGCCATCGCAGCCTGCAGCCAGGCAGCTTCAGGTGATGGGCAGGGGTGGCTCTCCCCCAGACCTGGGCGCTGGAACCCCCTGGCTGCTGAGATTTCTGATCCCGGATTGTATGGGAGGGAGGGGGGAAGTCTCTGCTGTTCTTCATTCAAGTGTCAACAGAATTGGGTGAAGTAAGATTAAAAATAAAACATTAAGGACAATTGGAGGCTACTGAAAGGATTTCCCACAGCATAAGCTGTGATCTAGGAGGTAACACTGCCCTCTGCTTCAGGTAGCAGTTCAGCAAGAGTTGAAGCTCAAGCCTCCAGATGCATGACCACCTCACCAGTCCATTTCCTTCATGTCTGAGCCTCGACAGGCTGCAGGCCCACTGTGCAGCCCAGCTCTGTTTCTACCAGTTCTCAACCTATACTGCTAGAAGAAAGCACAACATGGAGGGAAAATCCAGCAGTGTCCTTGTGTGATCCTTATCATTTATTCTTGCTCAAAATAAAGTCCAAATCAGCCTGGGAACTTTGCAAAGCTGTCATTTGCCCATATGTGCTGCTGGTGGCATGCTCCAGAGGGAAGGAGGAAGGAGCAGAACGGGATTCTGAGCACATACCTCAGCCTTTGGTTGCCAGCAGGTACTTCCCAACAGCAGCAAACAGCCTCAGGCAACGGCAAGAGGGAGGGAAGGTGGTGGCCAACAGCACAGCCCCTCTCCCAGAGCAGTTGGGTTCAAAGAGCACCAAGTGCTCTGCAGTCCTTAAATAAACAACTCCCAAAAAGTTAGTTTGTGTGCAGTGGGGAGGGGGACGAGGATGAAGGATTTGCTCTGCTAGGGCCCCACATGTCAACAATTTCTCTGCTTTGTGTATTTTGGCCAAAGCACTTACCATGATAAATGAATAAAGGAAAATGGCGAGCCCAGGGCGGTTACATGGCTCAGTAAATTGCTTTCAGCTGATTACTGTATTTCTTTTGACATTTATCAACTCGGCTTTTTTGCCGTTGTTGCAGCCTCTGCATCCCAGCAGCAGCCAAGGGCCAAAGGGTTTCCCTATAGCTATGCAGGATACACCTGGAGGGCACCCCAGAGGCTTCTCATTGCAGAGAAGAATTCCTCAAGTAGGGGACACAGCTCCTATGCACCCATAGCTGTCCTTACCCCCAGCACCAAGGGAGTAGCACACAGCAGCCACACCTGCCCTCACACAGCAGGACAGGGACAAAAGCAGCAGCTGCAGCCCTGGCACCTTCACACATAGGACCACCACCACAGCACCAACCACACACACACAGCCTGGCACACATCAGCCGCAGCGCAGGCAGCCAACACCCAGGAGAAGGGACACAGCACTTACTGTGCCCACGTGAGCTGGCTCACAGCGATGGCTCCAGGTGCTGAACCTGCTCTGCTGCTGCTCCACAGGGCCCGCAGGCTGCCAGCCTTGATCCAACCATACCAGCAGAGGAAAGTGGAAATAAAAGGCAAACACTTCCTGCTGCAGCATCAGCAGGAAGCCCTCAGTTAGCTGAAGCCTGGGCTGCACCCAGAGCTGATAAGCTGCAGCTGATGCTATTGGAGGGTGGAGAAGGAGCTCCAGCTGTGCTGAACAACCCAGGAGGAAAAGAGACCACAGCTAGAAAACACGGCTGTGACGCAGCACTGATTTCAGTGACGCTGCTTTGGCCACCAAATGAAGTGGGTGCAGTGGCAGGAAGCATCTCGAGGATTCACAGGGTGGTGGGACACAAGGAGGGCTATGGCCAGACCCCTTGAGCTGGGAGCTAACTGCCACCCATCGGGTCCCCCTGTCCCTGCCCAGTGGGCTCTGTGGGGCTCCCAGAGGTCTCACCTCATCATGTGGCCCAGCAGCACCCACAGGTGCCAGGGCAGTGCAGGGGTCGGCAGTGCCAGGGGAGCAGGGTGAGCTCCTGCAACCAGCATGGCCGAGCTGCAGAGGGGAACCAGAGCTGGAGAGAGCAGCAGGAAAAACTTGGAGGAAGCTGGAAGCTCTCAACACAGTTAAAAAACAACATTGCTCTTCAAAATAGATGTGATTGCACTCCTTGTGAGTCATCGAGCAGAGACACCGAGATTGCTTTGTGCCAGGGATGAGCCTGGGCTCTGATTGTGTGCCTCCCGGATTTGTATAAAACAGAGCATGGATGGCATGTCAGAGTTTACAGCTCGCATACATTTTCAGCAGTGAGCTTTGCAAAATGTATCAATGTAATCTCTGCCTCCTATATTCCGTGTTGATTAGACACGATTTCTGGCTGGATTTTCAGAAAGCTCAAGTGCTTTTTTAATCACTACAGAAGCTCATTATTGCTTTCCAGTGACTCTTATGTCCTTCACTTCTCCTTTCAGATTAGAGTCTATAGTCAGATGAATATTGGATGATTTCATTACATACAAATGCAATCAACAGTTTTGCATAAATTTCTCCTCTTTTCTTGAGTTTCAATTGACCTCAGCACCCGTGGAGGCAGGCGCAATACACATGTAAATGAGCTGGCGTTGCTGCAAAGACACGGATGCGAGAAACAAGATAAACTGTCAGATAATATTTGGGATTTTAAGAGATCAAAAAAATACTTCCTTGCTCAGCCAAGCCGTGAAAATGGCACCTTCAGCTGCTGGGAATGAGCTTTTGTGTTGCTGTGGGTCCGGCTGTGGGCAGCGATGGGAGCGATGGGCAGCAGCGATGCTGTCGGCAATGAGCAATGCAGTGGATGCTGCCCAGCACAGCTCCGGTGGGAGCAGGGCCCGGTGGGGACACGGGCACGTGGATGCCAGGGACACTCACTGCAGCCCAGGACTGGGTGGCCAGCCCTGTTCCAATGGGGTCAGCACGGCCAGAGGGTGCTCAGCCCATGGGCAGCCCCATGTGGGACGCCTGTCCTGGGCACTGCTGTCTGGGCAGTCCCACTACCCCCACCAGCACATAACAGTGCCTTTGAAAAATATTTAAACCCGCACTCCGCACTAACAATCAGGGCTAATTTAAACAAACTGTAATTAAACATAAAGGACCTCTTGGTAGGAAAGTCAGGGAAAACTGTCAGTGGTTCCTTTGGCTGCGGAGCCCTCACCTCGAAGGACTGATCTCAGTGCTCCTGTGAGCAAAGCAGCACTCCCACACTCGCTTTCGGGGGCTGGTGAGGAAAGAAGCTCTTGGGTTTCTTTTGATACCTTTTTGCGCTAATCTTCTTAACAGATTTTTAATTGATGGGAACAGAGCACTTTGCAGCCGTGAAATCTATTGGTGTAATTGCTGGTGGATTAGTCCCATTAAGCACACAAATTACCTGTCTCCAGGCCACCGGCCCCACCAGGGAGCTCCCCGTGCTGGACACACTGAGTGGCCCCATTCTGAAGCAATTTTGATAAAATAAACTCTCTAATCAGGTAAATAATTCCATAAGGGAAATTGTTGCCTTCCCGCAGCCCCCTCCTCCAGCAGGAACCTGGCTAGTTTCAGGGGAACGGAACATGCCTCCAATTACAGACAAACCTTCAGCTCGAAGGGAGAAGCTCATGGCACATGGGACCCCCTTGAAATGCAGCGTCCGAAGAATTAAAGCATTTAAGCTGTCAGCCAGAATCTGCCCGAGCCCTGATTACCTGGGGGTGACACACGGTGTATTTAGGTTCATGTCTGCTGCAATTTCCTGGCCCCCAGCGTTGATGCTGAGTGACTGCGTCCTGCCCAGGGTCCCTGACACGTGGCCTCAGTGCGGGGACACCGACCTTTGGGGCAATTAGGGACATCCCTCCTGCAGCAGGGGAAGCATGCGGTGCCCCTGAAGAGCCACTGTGTGATCACGGCTGTGCCCATTTCACAGCCACACTCACTGAAGCCACATGGCTGTGCCTGTCCCATTTCTGGCAGGGAGGACCCCTTTGTATAGATGACATAGGGCTACTCCTCCTGCGAGGGATGGGAGACCCTTGACTGCCCCATGGGAAGTAGAGAGCAATGGGGCCACGCAGGGGCCAGCACCCACACTCACAGGGAGGGCTGGGTGCTAGGGCTGGGGAGAGAACCCTACACTGCAGGTAATTGGCATCAGATGCTCCCTGACCTGCTGCATCCAGCGGGAAGCTGGAAGCATTTATTTGTCTGAGCTCTATCTGTGCGCGGGAGGCGTTGGCAGTGGCGGAGCTGGGCTCAGTGAGCCTAATGAGCCAGGCTGAAGATGATGAATATGATTGCTGAAAGCGTTTTCCTGAGTCCTTCTTTCCTGGGGCTCAGGTTACGAGTTCCCAGACAGCCTGTCCAGCCGGGGCCTTTCAGCTCTGATTTGTAGCCCCCCAAACAGCGCCTGTCAGCTCCCTGTCCTGGGGAAGTGCTTGGCCCTCATCCACCGTGCTGCAGGGAAGGGCTGGGACTGAGCGTGGGTACCGCAGACCCTGCTCAGCTCCGGGGAGAGCTGCGACCCTGAGCTGCCCCACATCTCCCGACAGGAGTGATACTGTGGCGTGCTCGTGGCCATCGGTACTCATTGTGGCACTCTCGGTTTTCCCCCAGGGTGAAGCAGCACAGCGATGGCTCTGGCTCCTCTGCTGTCAGCCCGGCGTTGCCTCGGGATGGATCTACCCCCGAATCGCATCCCCACTCAAAGAGCTCATACAGGGTTGCACAGAGCCGGATCTGCCCGTGGGTGCTCAGCTCTGGGGACGCACACCTGCAGGACCCCAAGCACAGGGTGGAGGAAGCGGGGCTGTTGGCTTCCAGGGCAGCTCCCGCACGGCACACCTCCGCTGGGACAGAAGGAGCTCTGCGGTGCCGACCCTGCCGGTTCGGTGTCCCTGTGCCACCCCCGGCACAGGTAAAAGCTCTGCTGCAGCCCCCGGGAGAAGTCCCAGTGAGGGAGGGCCGAGAATTGCTCTGAGCCTCCCAGCGCTCCTCCCGGCTCCGCGCTGCCATTGGCGGTGCTCTGCTGCCTCCCTACGGAGCCGTGCAGCTCGGCACGATGCACACGTGGGTGATGGCGAAGGCCGTGTCCCCTTCCACCGCCCCCGGCTGCGGTGGAGCGACGGCGGAGCGCCCACACGGCTCCGCACCGGTCCTTCCCGGAGCCGCCCTCCCAGCCGTGCCGTATCCGCCGGCCCTCCCGCCAAGAGCCGTGCTGGATGCAGGCAGGGCTCACCCCGAGCGCAGGAGCAGCGCGCGGTGCTCCAGGAGGCTGCACGGCGCCCGTCTGATTGGTGCGGAGTGGAGCGGTGCGGAACGGTGTGTAGCCGCTCTTTGTTTTGGGCTTCTGCAGCTCTGATAGGTGACAGCAAAGCCCCAGTAGCCCCAAACGCGGCTGCTGCCCTCCACCTGGAGCAGCCCGGACGGTGCCACCAGGCCCGGGGATGTCCCCCGCCTGCCGGCCCGATCCTGCCCCGCGGGCACCGGGCTGGGAGCAGCGCCAGGCGGGAGGCACGGCGACGCTCCCGGTAACCCCATTTGTTCCGCCGTTGGCGGCTGCGGACAACCCCCGGGGTGCCGGGCTCGGACACGGCGCTGCCGCCCGAGCTGTACCGCCGCCCCCGGGGCACGGGGCGGGACGGGACGCGGGGACGCGAGGAGCGGGGCGCGGCCCTGGAGGAGCGCGGGGTCCCCCCGGGGGCCGGGCTGGAGGCGGCCCCGTGCCGCCGGGGGCGGGAGGAGGTGCGACAGGGGCGGGGGCGGCGGGACCGGGCCGGGCAGCGCGGGACGCGGCGGAGCTGCCTGTCGCCATGGGCGGTGGGTGCCGGGCCCGGGTCCCCCCGGCCGCGCTGCTGCTTCTTGTCACCCACGCGATGCTGCTCTGCGCCGCCGGGAGCGCCGTGGCCGCCGGCACCGGTACGAGGGGACGAGCGGCGGGGGGAGACCCCGAGGCGGTGCCGGGGCGCGGGGGGAGCCGATACAGGGAGTGCGGGACCGGGAGCGCCCGCGGAGCGCGGAGCGGCGGCGGGGCCAGGGTCTGCGTGACGGGGGAGAGGGCGTGGAGAGGTCGAGGCCCCTGGCGCTGTCTCTCGCGGTGGTCTCGGGGCAGGATCGCGACCGTTGCCCCTGCTGGTGCCCGGCCCGAGGTGAGGTCGTGGCAGTGGGCTGCGGGCGCTGCAGGAAGGGCCCCTTCTGAGCTGCCCCGACGGCTGCCGGCGGCCGCCTGGAGCTCCTGGGGAGAACGAGCGTCGTGCCCGCGGCTCTGGGCGCAGCTGCTGCCCTCTGACCCGCGCCTTGTCCCATGCCCGTGGCCTCGAGCTGCGCTGCATGCCGTGTGCTGGCCCCACGCTGGGCTCAGGCGTCGAAGGGTGAATGCAGCCATAGACCACGATGTGAAATAGTGCTGCCAGCTGCATCCATGTGCTGGCCTGGGCAGTTCCCTTCAGGTTTGAGGTTGGATGCCGACCGTGTTCCTCTGCTGTGAAATCATTTTCTTTGCTTCTACATTACAAGACCCAGCACACAGAACTTACGGGGTTTGGCAGTTCCTTGGTGAAGCCTTCATGGCAAAAGCAGCACAGGAGCGTGCTGTGCTGGGCATCCCTTGTGTGCTGTGGCTGTGTGTGCTGCAGGCGGTAGTGGTGACCCCATCACTACATGGCAGGAAGGGACAGAGACCCCATTGCAGAGGGCTTGGACTGCATGGGGCAGAGGGGCTGTAGGGATGGGTCATGGCCTCCTCCCAGCACCCACAGCCCTCCTGCAGTGCAGTGGCTGTTCCTGCACAGAAACAATGGCCCTAAGGTGGAGACTTCCCTGTAGCAGTGGGTGTGCGTCCAAAAGGGAACATGAGCCAGGCTCACAGGGCTGCTTTCATGCACCAAAGTGTGGCTCTGGGAGACAGTAGCAGGCAGCCATGCAGTGGGTCCCACAGGACAGGACCTGGAGACCTCTGGGGACAGCCAGCCCACGGCTGCTGGGATGGACAAACCATGATGGCACAACCCTGGTGCTGCTGGTGGCAGAACGGGGTCAAGACAGATTGCATCACACAGGGATTATCTCCCAAGCTTTGATGAGCAAAGAGAGCTGACTGAGAGATCGGGGGACCGTGCTGGGACCTGTGGTGCAGTGAACCCTGTGGATGGCTCCAAGCTCCTGAGGACAGAATAACCCCTGCCTGTTGGGTGCTTGCACATCTCCTCACCTCTTTGCAGGCAGCTCCTTGGCTCAGAGCAGTAACGTTTTCCCTCCTTCGAGACTTTCTCTGGCTGTGACCTGGGCTGGGCTCCCACAGCGTCTCTCTGCTTTCCCCTGCGGATATTGCCCTTGGCACCTGTCTGCTGCCTTCGCCTCGGGGCTGTGTATTTGTGTAGGAGCACATGTTTCTGCAGTCTAACAGAGCTTCTCCAGTTGCATCCTCCTCAAGCCCAGCCCTGTTCACAGGCACAGCTGTCCCTGGTGTCACCGCCTCAGCTGGGCTCAGACCCGCGATTCCTCCTGCAGATCTGGGTCCATTCCTACTACCTGCAGTCGGGCTCCCCGTGTGCGTGGTGCAGCTGCAGCCCCGCAGGTTGCTGTGCAGCCAGAAGCTGTTGCAGATGACAGTCTGGCTGCAGTGTGCTGGGAGTGGCTCCTGGGCCCAAGAAACCTTCACAAATCAGAAAAACAAGTGCGAACCGTTCACTGTCTTCACAGCTCGGAGCCATGTACACACTGAGAACGTTCCACCCGGTGAGCCCAGCCTGCTCATGATTCACCCCATGTCGTCAGTTTGGCTGCGGTTGGCGGAGCGGATGTTGACCCCAAAACGAGGCATTTTTCAGCAGCTATCTGGGCATTCGCCGGCTGTGCCGTCACGGAGGGGCTGCAGTCTGGGGCCGGGGGCGGGAGCAGCGTGTCGCACACCTGCGGCCACACCGCTGGATTCCTGCTCGGGGTGGAGGTGGCTGCTGCACGCCGGGACGCGCTCCGTGCCCCTGGCTGGGACGTGCTGCTCCACCCCGCCCGCGGGTCCCCACTGACACCGCTGTGAACCCAGAGCAGGCAGCAGCCTGCAGAGCCCTGGGCACGGAGCGGGGCTGCACTTGTAGGTGTCGGTGTTTGCAGCGGGGTGGAACACGGAGCTAACGGGGCAGCAGCACTCTGAGGATGCTTCAGCTGAGCTGCACCGTGGCCGTGCTGGCGAGTTCAGTGCTGTGAAACGACAGGGGAGTGGTCTGAAGTTAAATTGTATGAGATAAATAAGGACCTGCTGCTGCTTCCACTCAGGGATGTGACAGCATTTGGAGACATGGAAAGGTGCAAGGTGAAAGGGAGCTCGAAGGAAGGGCTGGGAGCTGCACCCTGTGGGCTAGCCCCATAGTGTGATGGTTCAGGGTCCCAGTGCTGAGAAGTGCCCTGAGATGTCTGGGAAATTGCAAGGCTGCACATTTAGCTTGATTTGTCAGAGATGTTTGGTTTTAGCTTCAATTTCCAATGGAAAATGTATTGTGCCAGTCTGCATGAGAGCCTGGTTCCAGACCCTGCAGAATTTGAACCAGATCAGGCAGAGCCCTTAGGGCTGGGAGTGCAACCCCCACAGCAGCTGTGGATGGACACTGATGGTGACAGTTCCCAGTGCCTTTGAGCAAAGTCTGTCCCTCAGTGCTGTGTCCACCAGGCTCCCCGTGGCAGCTCCTGCTGGAGGCAGCTGCGCACTGCGTGCCAAGGACGGTTTACATAGCACAGCCCCACCGCAGCCGCTTCCAGCTCCTGGGCTGCCCTCTCTGCAGCCCCATCGTGCTTCAGCTGTCCTGTGCTGCTGCAGCTGCCTGAGTGCTGGCAGACTGGGGGCGTGATGCCACAACACGGTGCTTTCAGGCTTCTCCCTGCACAGCCCCCAGGGCTGCAGTGACACCTCCAGCACGGCCCAGGAGGAGCTGCTGGGATGGACTGGGACCTCAGCGTGCCCCCTGTGACCACAGTCGCACTGGCTGGGTGATGTCGTGAGGAGGGCAGGACGGGCGCTTATCTGGTAGCTGCAGCCAGGGTGTGCAGGCAAAGGGGCAGCTGTGGAGGAAGCAACCAGGCTAGGGCTGGGAGGAAGGAGCCCAGCAGTCAGCCCCTTCCTCCACTCAGAGCAGAAAAGCCCTGTGCCAAAGCAAACTGCGGCCCGGACAATTGCCGTTATTAATGGTGGTGTTTGCAGGGATTTCTGCAGCTCTGGGGCACAGCAGTCCGTGCACAAGGCTCCATCAGTGCCTTTCTGCTGCCTCCTGCTGCGCTGGGCTTGGCTGTGTGCAGGGCAGCACGGCCCCACTGAGGTGCAGCAAAGCGCCCAACACGGTGGCACTGCAGGTGGATGGTGACCTCTCCTCTCTCCCCCCAGTCAATCCATGCTGCTATTACCCCTGCCAGCACCTGGGTGTGTGTGTGCGCGTCGGCCTGGAAGGCTACGAGTGTGACTGCACACGGACGGGGTACTTTGGGGCCAACTGCACCTCACGTAAGTCCACGGCACTGTTCTGGGTGGGCACTGAGCTGTCATTGCCTGGTGCCAAGTGCTGTGCTGTGTTTGTGTCCCACAGCTGAGCTCTGGACACGCCTACGTGACCTGCTGAAGCCCAGTCCTGCCTTTTACCACTTTGTCCTCACCCACTTCAGGTGGCTCTGGGACATCATCAACAGCACATTTGTCAGAGACACTCTGATGAGGCTCGTGCTCACAGGTATGAGGGGTGGCACCAGGACTCTGGGCATCAGTGTGGGTATGGGTGGCACCAGGCTGGGTCACTTTGCTCTGCGCCACCTGCATGCAGGTGATGTTAGCAGTGGGAAGCACCCTGCACACAAGCTGAGCACCAAGCAATGGCTGCTGTCAGCACTCCATGTTCCCCCTATAAAGGGCTCTGAAGCGGCCGCACGAGGAGCAGCTGGTGGAAATATGGAGCTGGCCCTTGTTACTCATGTCCTTGCATTTATCACTTTGCATAAATATTTAGGTTCCAGCTCTTAGAGCCATAGGGACGTGTTCACAAGGATTTGGCTGTTGATTTCAGCATTTATGCATGTTTGTCGTCTAATTCATCATCCAGGAATCCATTAGTGCAGAAGCAGAAGCATCCGCTCATGCAGGGACCTGCAGCCTCTGATGGGGGGGCACAGCACAGCACAGCACAGCAGGACGTGGACTGGGATGCCTGAGGTCTGTGCTGCCCCGTGGCACCAACTCAGCTCTCTCCTTCCAGTTCGCGCCAACCTCATCCCCAGCCCTCCCACCTTCAACTCCCAGTATGGCTACATCAGCTGGGAGGCCTACGCCAATGTCAGCTATTACACACGCATCCTCCCACCGGTGCCGAAGGAGTGTCCCACGCCCATGGGGACCAAAGGTATGTGGTTGGCACAGGAACATGGAAAGTGATGAGCATGGGCTGGGTCTACAGAGCAGTGTCTGGCTCCTGCCTGGTGCCACACACTCGCTGCCTGCACTGTGCTGCAGTGGTTGAGCTGCATGGCACCAGCATCAGCCCCTGTCCTCCACAGGGAAGCAGCAGCTCCCTGACGCCCAGCTGCTGGCTGAGCGCTTCCTGCTGAGGCACAAATTTGAAGCTGACCCCCGGGGCACCAACTTGATGTTTGCCTTCTTCGCCCAGCATTTCACCCACCAGTTCTTCAAGACCTCTGGAAAGATGGGACGCGGTTTCACCAAGGCACTGGGGCACGGGGTGAGGGCTCAGGGCTCGGTGATGTGGACACACGGCGATGGGCCCGGGCAGGCTGCCGCCCCGCTCACACCGTGTGCTCCCACAGGTGGACCTGGGGCACGTGTATGGGGACAACCTGCAGCGGCAGCACCAGCTGCGGCTCTTCCAAGATGGGAAGCTCAAATTCCAGGTACTGCACGGCATGATATACTGAGATGCGTCTCGGTCCCATGCCCCAAGATTGCTGGAAGCCCACATCCCTCTGGCAGCTGCCAGGATCATGTGGCTTCCTCTCCAACTCACTTGCTGTTCCTGTTCCCCCGAGGTGGTGAACGGGGAGGTGTACCCCCCCTCTGTCACCGAGGTGCCGGTGCACATGGTCTACCCGCCTGCCGTCCCCAAGGAGAAGCAGCTGGCAATGGGGCAGGAGGTGTTTGGGCTGCTGCCGGGGCTCTGCATGTATGCCACGCTCTGGCTGCGTGAGCACAACCGTGTCTGTGACATTCTGAAGCAGGAGCATCCCACCTGGGGTGACGAGCAGCTCTTCCAGACAGCGCGGCTCATCCTCATCGGTGGGTGCTGCAGTGTTAGGGGCTGGGGAGTTCCTCTCACAGCCTGCTGGAGTTCATTGGCTTTTGTCTGTCAACAGATTTAGTTTTGAATGATTTAGCTAAAACTCTGAATAATTTCATTCTAATATTCTTTTCTGGATTCTGGATGGAAGTGACTTGGTGTGAGACTGCAGTAAAGCAATTAAGGACCCACGCCAACATGTTCTATTAAGCAGCATGCTGGGGTTGGCTTTCTCAAAAACCATTTCTGTTTCGGCAAAATGACCGTTTTTGGTGGAAAAGTAATTCAGAGAGAAATTCCCCACCAAGTTCCCCAGCGCAGAGTCAGGGGGGGCCTGCACTGCATGTGAGTAGCGCGCCCAGCCCAGTGCCCTGCAGCAGGGGGGTTGAGGGGCACTGCCCCCACTGACACTTTCTTCTCTCACCTCCTGCCCAGGGGAGACCATCAAGATTGTCATTGAGGACTACGTCCAGCACCTCAGCGGGTACTTCCTGAGCCTCAAGTTTGACCCTGAGCTGCTGTTCGAGCAGCAGTTCCAGTACCGGAATCGCATTGCGGTGGAGTTCAACCAGCTCTACCACTGGCACGGGCTGATGCCCGACTCCTTCACCATCCAGGGACAGGAGTACAGCTATGAGCAGTTCCTCTACAACACCTCCATGCTCATGGACTACGGTATAGAAGCCCTGGTGGAGTCCTTTTCCAGGCAGACTGCAGGAAGGGTAAGACCCTGTGCTGCTGGTGCATCCTGTGGGGCTGTGGTGTCCCGTCTGTGCTACCACAGTGCTTGGTGTGTGTGTCCAACCCACGTGTAGCATTTGCCAAATTTCCTGGCGGTGCTGTGCATGCTGTGGCCCTCCCCATGAGCAGTGCAGCCGTGGCAGTGCTGTGCGCTTGGTCCTGGGACGCTGCAGTAAACACGGTGCTGCAGCCAGGAGCGTGCGGTGCGCGGGAGGCCCCAGGCCAGGCTGTGCCGCATGGAACAGCTTGTCCCATACTGTTCTTTGCTGCCATCACATGGATGTTCTCTTCCAAGTGATGTATCAACATTTCTGACTCGTGTGAAGCAGCACGGCTTCCACACAGACCTGCTGCTCTCAGGACTCCTGCTGTGACTCCAAACCCGGCGACCCCCACCCCAGGGCCCGGGTGTCAGCAGGGCCAGGATGAGGCTGGGGTCTGCTCATGTGGGCATGCTCCTCCTCATCTTCTCCTCGTGCAGATCGGTGGGGGGCAAAACATCAACGCCAATGTGTTGGGAGTTGCCGTTGGAGTCATCGAGGAGTCGCGGCAGCTGAGGCTGCAGCCCTTCAATGAGTACCGGAAGAGGTTTGGCCTGAAGCCCTACGTGTCCTTCCAGGAGCTCACAGGTAGGGCCCACTCCCCCAGCTGGGCTCAGGGGCTGCTGGCCCAGCCCATGCTGAGGTCTCTGGGGTTCTCTCGGTGCAGGAGAGGAGAAGAAGGCAGCAGAGCTGGAGGAGCTGTATGGAGACATCGATGCTCTGGAGTTTTATCCAGGGTTGCTGCTTGAGAAACCCCAACCCAACGGCATCTTTGGGGAAAGCATGGTGGAGATTGGCGCTCCATTTTCACTGAAGGGACTTCTTGGGAATCCCATCTGCTCCCCAGAGTACTGGAAGCCCAGTACCTTTGGTGGAGCAACCGGCTTCGAGATCGTCAAGACAGCATCACTGGAGAAACTCGTGTGCCTCAACGTGAAGAAGTGTCCGTACGTGGCGTTCCGTGTGCCCGATGCAGTGGCAGCAGGTGAGACCGACAGCAGCCGTGCGGGTGGAGCATCATCCACAGAGCTGTAGCAGCAGCACAGCCCACACAGGTACGGCCTGGCCTCACCCAGCCCAGGGAGGGAACAGACCTCTGCCCGGTGCTGAGTGTCCCTGTTGTCCCTGCAGGCAGCGCTGGGGCCGGTGCTCTGCTCATCCTGTGCCAGCAGAGCATCCTGCCCTGGGTGGGCTCCAGCTCTGCCCCACACCAGCAGGGAGAGGCTGGTGCTCACCTTGGGAAGAGCTCGAGTGCTTGAGGAGACCTCAGCAGACCTAATCTTCCTACCACTGCCTCGCACTAAGCCGGCTTGGGAGCTCACTTGGTAAATCCCAGTGTCCCAGGATGCTCCTGGCCTCTCTGCTCCTCTCCCTCAGCTCCCACTGCCCACGTCTGCTGTGGGGCATCATACTCCAGAGAGCATGCAGCATGCAGAGCCTTCCTGGCCTCCTTGGGGAGGATGTGCTGCAGACGCGCTGCAGGCTGTGCTCTCACCTGGTTCCCCACAGCAGCCCTCTGTGCCTTCCATCCTGCCTGGCACTGGACAGAGGGTGACCATGCCAGCTGCCCAGCCCTGGGGAGCTCCCAGAGCCCTGTGTCCCCCCTCTGTACTGCTATCCTGGCATACAACAGGCTGCTCTGAGCTACCTCTGTGCACATCATCCTATAAAGACTCCCCCACCCTCTGCTCATTGCACTTTCCTGCATTAATAGCTCAGTAAACAACGTTCCAAAGGCACACCGCCTGCTTGACCTGCTCCACAGCACATGCAGACATAAGCCCTCACCAACAGCATGACGTGATCACTGGCAGCCAGGGCTGCTGGCCTTGGTCCCAGCCAGATCCTAGAAAATGGACCTCTAAAATAAACAATGTTAAAAACCACTCTCATTTCCTCCAAGTTCTCAGGCTTTCGCAGTGCAGAGACAGGCCAAGGCAGGTGCCTGGGACCCAGGTGGAGGTGGGGAAGGCTCAGCAGCACTCACACGGGGCACAGGGATTTCCTGGGTCCCAGCCCTTGCTGCAGTTGCCATGCTTGGGTGGAAGCATGGTCAGACAGCAAATGGCATCCAGTGAGAGCAGCACACAGCCGAGGACTGCTGCCATGTCCCCAGGCATCACCACGCACTGCGATCCGTGCACCGTGTGCTTCCAGTGTCACACTGGCAGAGCATGCCTGTGGCCTTGCTGTGTGCAGGGCTCCAGCTCCAAGCATCCTCCTTGTTTCGGTTAGGCCACAAGTATCCTGCTTTTGTTTGTGGCTATCACAGCCAGCCAGCATTGTTTGTTACCAGCCGATAAGCGTGCACATAGAGAGCTGTCTCAGTGCTCTGTGCCACCGAGGGGACGTTTCCCCAGGAATAGCACAGCCCCCAGCCCCCCCATGCTCTTTGCTGGTCCTTCAGCCCCTTGTTCAGCATCTCTGGGGAGCGCAGTGGCACTGTGTGCCTGCGGGCTGATGTGCACAGGAGAGCACTGTGCTGTGCATGCCGTGTGAGGAGCAGAAAAGACAACATCTGCTTGTGTTCGTGTGACCTGCAGTGTGTAGTCTAATGATTCACTGGACACAAAATTACCAAAGTGGACACTAGGAGGAAGAGATCTGCTCCTGCAGTGCTTTTAATAGTAGTTCTCTTTTTGGTGTTCCTACAAATAAACCCCCAGCACTCTGAAGGAGATGGGATGTGGCTGTAGCACCAGAACAGACAGGCACAAGGAAAAGCACAGCCCAGCAGCGGAGCCGCTGCCTTCCTCCATCTCCACAAGCAGACACAGGACTAAACAGAGCTGCACCACCAGGCAGGAGAGCCAAATTCACCTTGGCCATGTGTGTGCATTTGTCCTGTGCTGGAGAAGCAGCAGATAGAAAACAGGACACAGGAAGGACAGACTGCAAACACAGCGCATGTAACATGGCAGTAGAAAGAAGTGTTGCTCACCAAACTTTCACCAGCATTACTGTTTACCACTTACTGTCCTATTTCAGACGAGCAAACCAGGCTGAGTATCTGCAAACGATTAAAGGCAATAAATACCAACCTTGTTTTCCAGCACCAGTAGCTTTTTTTCCAAGCCCTTTTGCTCTGTGGACCTAATGGATTTAAGTTTGTTTCATGCTGTCACAACTGCAGCCAAAAATGTTCAGACTTGAGCAATGCCTGCACAGACTCTGCCAAGACACAAGGAAGGAAACCGACCGCAGCCGCTTTGCTCGAGACTCCCAACCTTTCACAATGCTTTTATCTCAGAGCAGTTTCACCAGATGCACTAAAAAAAGCAGCAGGGTGCTGGTGGGAGGAAGGGGGGGAGGAAAGAACAGGCAGATCCCAAAGGACAGTTTGCAGGTAGCTGCCCAGCACCCACCACCTCTGGGAGCTGCAGGGCGAGCTGCTGCCAGGGCACAGCATGGGCACAGCAACTTTCCCACTTTCAGCCAGTGTCTGGCAGCTGAATCTCATCCTGAATGTAAATTACAGAGGACTTTTGGCCAAGATAAGGCCTAATGCAAGAGACAAAATATCCAAGCATACAGCTTGTATCTGTACCACTGCCTGCTGCACCAGAGCCTTTCACAGCTCTGAAAAATGCTGGAACATCCCATCAAGTTTCTGCCCAGAACAGCATTTTGTGCTGTGCCAGAAAACATAGATGAAACATCTTTGGCAATATTAAAAGACTTCCTTTATTCAAAGTCAAGCAATTTAGTAGGAATGCATCAATAAAAGTGGAGTTCTGACGGTGATGGAACACAACAGCTTGGAGGCAAGGAGAGGCATCTGCCTCAAACCCAAATCCTGACGCTCACGGCCAAACCAGAATGTTTCAAAACTTTTATTGTAGGGACGTGTTGATACAATTTCATTTTAATTTCCATTCTCTAATGCATATATATCTATAATGTGCATATATATATGCATATACAATCCAGTTTTTAATCTGCAGGTAAGGACCTCATTTAAATTAAGATAAATAAAGCAGACTTTAACACTTCAACTAAAACATTTACAGATACAGTGTTAGTGAGCTGAAGTTCTAATTTGTATTGAATGGACAGTAACAAATTGATAACAAACCTATCCTAAAATCTGTTCTACTCTGCTATGCTGCTTTGCATGCAGTAAGAATGCTGGGTTTGGGGGCACAGAACTACTGGCTGGTCAGTTTGGAAGGATTTAGCTTCAGGAACAGGCAAAAGCAACAGCAGCACTCCAGCCCTGCTTCTCAGCAGCAAACACACATCTTCTCCTTACCCCTCTTCGCCCTTGTGCTCCTTCTTTTCTTTCAGATCAATGATGAATTGGATTCAGGCTTCTCTTACACGTCTTTTTCCCCCCTTTTGCTAAGGCAGCAGAAACCATCTGTCTCATACCTCAGCACCAAAACCTCATAACCAGGACTCAGTCACCTTGCTGCAGGCCATCAGATGGAGCAGCAGGAGAGGTTCTGATCCTGCTGCAGCTTTACAGCCTTGGGCCTCAACCCCTGCTTGGTACAAATAAAACTTCAAAGTAACTCAGACTCAGCTCTTCCCCCTTCAAACCAGCTTCTACTGTGGTGCTAACATGTGCCTGTCTGCACTGCAGACTGACTGAATCTCATCCTGAATACAAATCATGGTTGGTGTGACTTTTTTTTCTGAAATGCAGGATACCCACACTCTGACTTAATTTCAAGTAACCCGAATCTCTCACTACATTTTAAACTTTGGCTTTCTGCCACTTTCCTTAAAACAGCTACAAATGCTCTTTCAGCTATTTTTAATTACAAATTATTTACCCGTCTGCTTATACTACTTTTAAAAATAGTTTGAATACATACAACCATAAATGCTTATCCTTGTCCTAAGATCTATTCTTACTATGAACCTAATGCTTACAAGGAAATTTTTGCACTTCTCCCTGGTGCTCCGAAGCGCCTCACATAAAACTTGCAATTGAATGTAATCATTAAACATAGCATTACATCATATTTACGTAAGGACAGTCTACTTCCCTCAAAATTAAATAACAAACACAATAAGTCACGTGTGAGAAAGCAAACATAATATCCAATTAAGTGTCCAGGAGATGTAATTCAGTAACAACTAAGTACACAGTGCTCACATTCAGCGTGCTCATCTGCAGGAGGTGCAGGGAGATTACACCGTCATCTGGCCAGCAAAGCCTTGGCCCTGCTCTGCATCACTGGAGGTTTCCATGCTTGCATTCACTACACACTGCTAATGGTTTCTAATGCTGCTTATGTCACAGCTACAAAGTGCTAGACTTGCTGGAAGCAGGGTGAACTGCAAATGCAGTAGAAACCCTGGAAATTACTTCAGTTACTTCCCAGTATCACTACCTATAAAGTAAGTGGAGCACAAACAAAACAAACACACTTAATAACAACATAATCACTAACAAATGATAACAAACTTGCTGCAGAAGGGAAGCGCAATACACAGCATTCAGGAGCAATAACTTACTGAAAAGACAAATGGGCTCAGCCAGCACTGCTTGGCTTTTAATCTGCGTCCACAGTTTTTGGAGAAAGAGTCACCAGTGTCACTGTGCAACTTTCACAGCTACAATGCTTTCACCTCAACTCCACAGCATCTTCTCTGCCAGGGAACTCTGCTGATGCACTGTACAAGAAAACCCCATGCTCCCAGAGGGAGGAAAAACAGGACAGTGGCAACGCTTCTGATTCTGCCAAAGACTGTGCAGAAACCACGTACTGAGCTTCAGATAAGGGAGCTCCCGTTCAGGAGCTTGTCCACTGGCCCAGGGCTCACTTCCCACAAAGCCTTCCAGTCATCTGTCAGGTCCAGGGATTATTAATATTCAAAATGTATCTCAAGACCCAGCTTAAGCAGGCAATGTGCAGACAGATAGAGACAAACATCAGCACTTATTTAAGTTTTGAGGATTTCAGAGCTATTAAAAATCCTGAGGCTAGTAAGTCCCAGTTCTGCATTTTGCCAACAAAACTCTCCTTGATGCTCTGCAGGACGTATATTGGTTCTCTGTCTCTGAAGAGGCAGAGATTATTTTCTGCTGAAGTGACTGTCATGAACTCCAGTGGTAGGTATTTTAAAACCTACGTATGTTTCAAGAGCTGTACCAGAAGGAAGATTTTCCCATTTAAGTCTCAGACTCTCAGGTTAAAGAAAGAAGAGCCCTCTCCAGCTGAAAAGCAGTTTTCAGGATCAAGTTGTTGTTATTTGCAAGTGAGTACTAAACCAAAATTTGATGTCAACTGTTAGAACGACAGTTCCAAGAATGGGACTGAAAGCTGCAGAATGGAAGATGGGACCTTGCTGTGTTAACTCACTGGCAGCAGTTCAATTTCAGGTTAATAAAAGACATGGATGCCTAAAAACTTCATTACTGAATTGCGTTAGAACTTCATGCTTAGTAAAATACATTTTAACATGTAGCCCACTGAGTTAATTTAAGAAAACGTTAGGAATGCTTTAAATTATTTTGAACAAAATTTTAACAAGCAAAAATCCAAGTGCATGGAGGAGAACAACATACCCACACTACGAAAGTAAGGGAACAACCCCTAGCACAAGAACATCCCACAGTACAGCTACACCTACTGGCCCCCTGGTGTAAGAGGTTCAGTCTATTTCCAGATCACTGTCCTCACTGTAACACGCAGATGGATTATGTATAGAAGTCAGGAGCACTAGGTCTTTTTCTGGAAGCAGACCACACTCCTGCAAAAAAGCCTCCAGATCAACAGCAAAAAAATCTTCTCCAAGCTGGTCAGTGATCCGCACAAAATTGCCAATAAGCTCCCCTGCCTTATAGACCAGCAAAGCTGGCAGAGCATTACTGGTAAAGCGAGCGCTGGCACCAATGAGGGAACTCTTTACTCTGCAAAATTTAACTGTTGGATACTCAGCAGCCAGACAGATCATGCAGCCATTCAGGGATTCAGCGCCAGGGATGTCATCTTCGTAAATATGAATCATGATCAGAGTGCTCTTATGCTCTTTATCAACCGTGTCCAAAAACGCTTCTCCGCTGCTAATCTCAAAGACCTGCTTAAATTGCTGCCCACTGTACAGCTGCTGTCTCATCTCCTCCATTCGCTGCTTCCTGTATCGCTGTAAAAATTCCTCATCATCTTCATCATTGTGAATCATGTTATATTCTTGTAACGTCATCTAAAAATACACAGAAAGATACATGACAGAGAAAAAAAGACGACCTGCATCACTATATGGGTCTCTTACATAATTAATTTAAATCAAGAGGATTAATGTGGGTCACTCATCTTTAATAACAGGCAAGTGCAACCCACAAAGGCTCAAGCACCTGCTGTATTACACTCTATTTTGATCTAATTAGAAACCGTGTCCGGTGGGAACAGTGATTTCAGCCTTGGGTTTGCTAGTTCCCACATGCTGAACTAATAACTCAAGTGGCTGCTCCACGCTCCCACTTTAATTCAGGTTAATGGTAGCTGTGTGCTTTCACTAAGCTCTGAGCACTGATTTGGGTACCGTGCCTGACCTCAGATCTCTTCTCTTTCACCAGCTTTTTCAATGAGCTTTTAAGCAAACATTTATTTGACAAAACAAGTACAGTACATTACCTCATCAGTAGAAATGAAATCATCAGTTCATGTTTTTTGTTTCTACTCGCCTGCTTTGTTAAATGTATCTACTGACCAGATAAGGATTCATATCTGCTCCATACAAGTAATGAAACAAAAAAATCCAGCAATTAAATGGCAATTCCTTTGTGTCATGTTACCTTTCCATTGATTTTTTCCTGAAGCTCTTTCTGCTTTTGCTTATCAGTCTCCTCATCTAAGTGAGATCTACACGTCATAGACAACTTCTTTATGAGGCGCTCCATTTCTCTGCGCTGCTCCTGTCTCTGTTCTGTCTCCAGTTGTTTAAACCTTCGCCAGTCGTTAATGACTCCTTTTGGACCTGAAATTGAATATGCTGGCATTTAACTATAATACAGTAACAAAATTACATCTCTTGGTTAAAATTCCAGTAAGTTTATAGAAGTCAGCAGTAAATCAGCAGGCTTATCATAAGGTTTCTGTACAGCATGCAAAATGCTGTAATGAAAGAGAAGAATAGACTTGCCGTTTGTCCTTGAGTTTATAACTGTTTTTGTCCAAAAAGACAAATCTATCTAGCTGAGCTACCTTCAGAACTGTGTTGAAGGTTAACTCAGATTAATATCTAGGCCTTCAAGAACCCCACAACTGCAGGAATGACTCAAATATACCTGAAAATAGGTCTTTTGTTACAACAACAACAAAGCAGGAAACCACACAAACTTTCCAACAGAGAAAGTACTTACAAAGCAGTTAGTGTGCTATGGCAATACCTGTGTTGACTGCACTGCCATCGCTGCTAAGCTCTACCTCCCCAACGCTGTCGGGAATGGAGCTCTCCCCTTCTTTGTCTTCCTTCTCGCTGTCTTCATCCTCACCCTCACTACTGCTGTAATAATACTGTAGCTTCTCGCCCAGCAGTTTATCATCCAACGCAGTCATTACGTTCTAAAGAATAAACAGAACAGACCACGCACCTCTTAGCTGTGCAGCACAGGATACCACCTTACACGTACAACAGCAGCCTTCATTCCTTCTGAGCAGCTTCTGCCCACACAGGAGCACTCAGGGCTCACCCCCACACGTCCGACACGTGAGTGAACTCTTAATGACAAACGTATTTAAGTTAACACTCAGGATGAACAAAGCCCTACTTTGTGTCTCAGCACTCAAAAAGCCGCAGTTATAAAGGCTGTTTCTGCAGCGAGGCACACGAGTGGATATCCACGCGTTTTTATCCACGGAGAACGAATTTCTAAGCGTGACTCGGGAGCCCCATCCGCCTCCACCACAGCCCTGCAGGCAGGCAGCCCAGCGACGTACCGTTCAGTTTCCGAGAGCGGGAATCGTTCTGCCGGCGGTTCCTCGGAGCAGGCAGCGGGCTCAGCAGCGCTCCTGCGGGGCTGCCAGCAACACCTGCGGGGAGATCCGACCGTGAGAGCATCGCACAGCGATGTGCCAACAGCCGCGCCCCGAAATAACGCACTGCGGACAAGCAGCGCCGTGCCGAGGAGAGCCGCGTTGTGTTTAACTCAAGAACACAAAACCACAAAACACATCGAGCGAGAGTGGAGGCAGCGCAGGCGGTGCCACAACACTGCGCATAGCGGCTGCAGGCCGAGGGTCCGCCGGCACGGCGCAGCACTGCACTGCACTGCACGGGAACTCAGCAGCACAGCACGGCCCGGCAGCACAGCACCGCACGGCAGCACGGCACCGCACGGCCCCGCCCCAGTCCCCCCCCCTCTCCCCCTCCCCCCCACAGCAGGCAGCTCAGACGCTTCCGACGCGGAACCCCGCGGGGCCGGCAGCGCTCCTCGCGCAGTGCCGAGGTTACCGAGGAGCCCGCGGTGCCGCCAAGCCCCGCCGGGCCCCGTCCAACCCGCCCCTCCGAGCCCGGCCCGGCCTGACGCCTCACCGCCGCCCAAGGCCTTCCGGAGCGCTCCGCGCGGGGCACGGCGGGACGGGGCGGGGCGGAGCGGGGCAGGGCGGCCCGCTGGGCGGGGAGCGCCGCTGGGTGGAACGCACGGAGGCGGTTAAGGTGGACAAATAATTTTTATTTGTGCATGCAAATACATGTCAATACTGCAAACTTCTTCCATCGATTCTCTCAAACACTGAAAACCATGATGCTCTACTCTGTGACCGGCCAAAGCTAAAACCTCTTCACTTCAGTGCTACAGCAAACACGCACGGCCGCCCCGCGCGGGGCCCCCCTACTCTAACACGAGGGAACAGACGAGTCGGGAACTCAAACCGAAATAAACGGAATAGAATTTACTCCCCCATATAACCCCATTTCATTTTACAGATTTTAAATTATAGTTTTAAATAGAAGCTGAGAATGCGCCATAAAAATGAGCATTAAATCCATCGTAGCGATGGTGCCTGCTTTATACATGATGGGTGTACACCATCTTTTATTTCATTTACATTTCAATCGAACAATAGATTTGCAAAGAAAATGTCTAATACAGACGTAAAAATATTCACACTAGAGCTTCACAATCGGTTGTACAATTGACAAACAGGCCTCTTTTCCCAAACTTTCCAGCTAAGCAAATTTATAAAATGTAATCGATGCAACAAGAAAAAAATTTCCTTAAACTTCCAGGGAAAAGAATACGCAGTAAACAGTATAAATGCGGACAGCAGATGCTGCAAGCTAACCACAATACTTCGGAGTGGCTGTACAGTGGGGATGTGCAGTACAAATCAAAGCCACGTGTGTTGTATCACAACTACCGTATAATATACTTGTTTGCCCAGCTACGAAATGCATGCATCCCATGCCTCGGATTCACGGAGATCTACTCTGGGTAAGTCAATGGGCTCTGGGCAGCGACCCTGGCTTTCGGCAGCGAGAGAAGCAGGCTCCGCTCGAGTTCAGCCTTGGCGGCAACCTCTCGATCACGACTGGAGGTGCAGGGTACGTTTGGATTTGGGAATGTCAGCGATTCCTTTTTGGCTTTCCCCGTCACCGACAGCTCCCTTCCCTCGCTGTGCTCCCTTGCCAGCAAAGAGACGCACAGTGCTGCCTGCTGCCGAAGCGCCGCTCGATTATCCTGAAAACTGGGTTATTCCAAAGCACGTTTGTTGTGTTCTGCTTGCAGAAGAGGTCCCTCAATGAGAGGGAACTGCCTAACAGAAGGGATCAAACTACAACATAAAGAATGGACTTTTACATACTGTAGATCATTTCTCATTTTGTTACACTCTCAAATTCAACGTCTTCCTTTAAGCCCAATAATAATGAAGAATCTTGTTCACAAAGATGATCAAGGAGCTGCTGGCATACAGTGTCTATGTACAGCAACAGATACAACTTGACAACTTGTGCTTTAAGAAAGCAAACAAAAACATGTTTGGAACTATTCTGAGTGTAGATAGTTATTTTAAGTGTTCTTTCCTCAGCTGTTTCCTACCACTGTGCATTGCTTTGTACCTCATCCAGCCTAGTACACTATTATACAAGAACAGCATTCAGCTCTTGAGCAGAGGATAATTAAAATTGTGCAATAACACAATCATGTTATCAAAGCACTAAAACCTGCCAGATTAGACTTCTACAATGAGCAATTAAGAGCTTATTTAACAATCAGCTGTGTACAGTTTTTTTTTTTGTTTTTAAATCAAGTGTCAAACTTCAGCATCCCTGTACTAGACTACCAAGAACCAATGCCAGTTTGCTTTGCAAAGAGTCTAACCTTTCCTTTGAAGGGTCTAGTATACATTCTACAATGCAAAATCTGCATAAACACTAAGATTCATTTCTTGTCACCTGTTTACAGGAACAAAATATCAGTAGCAGGGCTATCACTCTGCTATAATTATATGTTAAGAATGTACAGATAATTACTTCTCACACAAGCATTCTCCCAGCACAAGCATTAGTCTCTATTAAGACCTATGTGGAAAATGAGGCAAAACAAGGAATGAATCCAGGTAGTGAGGCAACACAATTAACTTAGATACTAATAATTCCTGTATCTCTTGCATGTGAAATCCCTGCTGTACCCCTAAGAGGGGAAAAGAAAAGAAAAAAAAACACAACAAACAAACTCGAAATGCTTGTCCAAGCAAAGCAAAAGAGCCAATCTCTTTTCCCCAATCTGCTATGGGCCTTTTTTTTTTTTTTTTCTGACAGCAAAGGTATCTTAGGCCAAAAGCTAAATGGGAACCACTGCTATTAATGCACAAAAATTAGTCATTATATCTCAGTGTCAGAAAGTAAGCCCTTCCATAGCCCAGAGGCACCTGATTTGCAACTAGACAAATGAATACATACTTGTTCATAGGGTCAAGGGATGAAACTCCACCAAGAAAGCCAGAACTGGGTTCCCACCTGTAGCTTCTACTTGTCAGGGCACTGGAGGGCATAGTTTCATGGCAAAAATCACACAGTCAGTGTTAGAACTGTAAGACAAAAGCTGGCATGCTATTTAAATGCCCAGGTAATTCTTTTGCCTGTCATTCTCTACATTAAAAATTCAAGAAAATAACTAGTCTCAGTTAAGAACCAACTCTCCATATAAAGTATATGGTCATCCTAGAAACTACTATATCATGGGACCTCCTGCTGCAGGCAAGAGTAGATAGATACATTTGTTCTTATATATGCCAATGTGGTTGGCAGGAATATGTTAGGCTTATGTAACTTCACTGGACAAACAGGCAAATGTGTGTAAGCAGCTTATTCCAATCCCCCTCCAGCAGAGCACAACCAAGTTTTTAAAACTGCAATTTTAAAATTAAAAAGTTAAGGTAAATACACAATCAATTTATGTAGTATATATTCACCCTCAGATCATGCTGAAGATGTTCTGTGGAGTTCTGGTGCACAGAGGGCTCTTTCCCTGAGGGCAAATAAGGACTTCTCAAACCTTTATATTTTCTCTATTTTTGTAACAAAATAGCAATTTAAAATTTAAAAATCTTTTAAAAAAATTACATCACCTTCAACATGGAAGATCTCACTGTTTAAATATCCATGAAAGAGACATACTTGTTTGCATATCTGTTTTGGAATTATATTGTACAGCAAATAATAGTATCTCAGAAGCATTTCAAAAGTAATATAAATTCATATTTACAGAATGGTCTTGGTATAAAATATACAACAATCATATTTATGTCTAACATTCTAAGTTAAGGTTAACATCAATAGGAAATAAATTAAGGTGACAAAGGTGGTCTGGTTCTTGTATCCATTCACTTTGAGTTGCAAGTGAAACAAAGCATCGATCTAACCCTAGCTATGAGGTGGCACTGGCTACAGGAAGGTTCAGCAACAGCCAAAGGAAACTAAAAGACTACTTGACTGTTTTTCTACATACATTCCTTAACATTGGAGTATTAAATAGATGTGTAAGATCTTCCATACTGACACCAGAATATCAAAACTAACCCTTGATTTTCAGGTATATTTACAACATAATTATTTCATGGACAGGTTCATTAGGAGAGATATCAAACACCAATATTTACTCAGTCTAATCAGTAACCCTCAGGGAAATGCCAACCCCCACCCCCCAGAAACGTGCACAAAACAGTTATCAAAATCTTACCCGACCACATAGCTGTGATTTTGTAAAATAACAACTCAGACGACCAGTAACATGATCCTCTTTAAGCATTTTGCTAGCAGGAAAAGCCCTTACATGCAGTACACCTGGTGAAAGATCAGCTTGGCTTAAAATATTCCAGTACAATTTTCAGAGTGAACAACTTCACAGAAGTTAATAAAACAAACAAACAAAAAAGTAAAACTTGTCACAAAGAAAAGTAAGAGGACAAACAAGATGGTAATCATCAGGAGGGAGAGTCCTGCCTTCTTAAAAAAAAAAAAAAAAAGCTGATTAAAAGCTTCTTAAAAACCAAACAAACATCTGCCCAGGGCTCTACTTCGTGTGCATTTATGAAAGGAAAAAAAATATCTATCTTCAGCTGACATGTCTAACAGGATTCTCAGTCACATCTTAACAGGGCATAAATTCATACACTTCTCAGAGCTCTAAAGGTCAGATAATGCTATATTATTGTATTTTCAAAGTCTTTCAAAATAAGTTGCCACTGAACAAGCAAAAATTAAACCTGAATATAAAATTATGATTAACAACACTAAATAAAAGGTAATAACTGCCTTAAATTCCCAATATTTAGTTTAAATTAAAAACAAAACAGTACAAAAACAGCAATACCATCTTGTTAGTCAGTGCAAACTCTACATACAGGGTTTTCAAAGGAAAGCAAAGAGCACCTGATACTTTTTGCCAAGTCATCTGGATTCTAATCTGCAAGTTGAGAACCATTAATAAAAAAAAAGAACAAACTGCTGTTACATTAGTGTATAACCTCTCAGTATGACTGAAAATTGTTTTGTGTATAACTCGGGAGATCAATACCTAGTACGTTAGCTGGAGGACTTAGGCACTTGGTTTACTTCTGGTAACTTTACTTGGACAAGTAGCCTGTGTATGTGTGTATCTACAGTACTAAAGCAGAAATGTGTGTGTGTGTGTGTGTGTGTATGTGCACGGGGGGAGAAATGGAAACAAAACGCTGCAGCAAAGCACTGCATCACAGACCTGCAAATAATGCAGCAGTGCAAAGCTAATGGTGTGTTAACCCTGTAAAAAGTCTCAAGTCCAAATCCCCACCTCTCAGTCTTCAATCAGGAAACAATACTCCATGCAAAGTTCCACAACTAAGGAAAAAGCAGCTGCAACAAGACACAAGTTCTTCTCTCATGAAACAAAATAGAGACAAATAAGTTAGTCTTCCTTTCACTAGATGTATCATCGTAGGATCCTGCTAGTTTAAATAACTGAGTTGTTAGTTTTCTACAGAAGCCATTTTAAACAAGAATGGCTCAGATACCGCACCGGATTGCTACAAACTCATAAAAAGCTGCTTTAAGCTTAAGTAAAACAATGTCCAAATTCCATTCATCTGTGGAAAGTGAACGCCTTACCCTAGTAAAGTAAGTTTTTTTTCTTCAGAATGCTAATGCGAGAGGGGCTTGAAGTATCAAAGAGTCCACAGGAAATGCATGACCCCAATATTATTCTTTAAAAAAAATATACATTATATAATATATATTATATATATAAAAAGCTAGTGTAAATGCTTCCACGGTGTGGTCACAAGCTGGAAAGATGAATGCCTTTCAGCTGTTAACCATCCTGCCATTTGCAACAGGCTTTAAAAAGTCATTTTTATCCTCAGACATAATGTGAGCAGTTTTCAAAATGAGGCTGCCAACACTGACTGATGTGCTGATGGGCAGGCAGCTTGCATTGCTAACAGATGTTGTGATCGGCTGACTGAAGCAAGAAGTTACGGGCAGGATTGTTTTCTGCTCCTCCCTGAGGAGAAAAATAAGTTACACAAATATTAAACAAGTACATGCACAAGTATCCAGAACTGAATTTCTGTGCATTAAATAAATAATGACAAACTCATTTTTAGAAACAGGAATAACATCTTACTATGGAAAGGTATGCTCAGGATGTTAAATGCAGTCTGCCTCATTTTCAAAGACTGCATTATACATTAAAAACTATAGAACATATAAACCTAAAATAGTGTATTTTTAAAACTACCTCTCTATAGAGATTTGTGCAAACAGTCTGAAACTCAACCTTTTGGAATTTTTCTAAATTTCTGGCAACTATAAAAATACTTTCAGATTTTTTGCTTACTGAGTAGTGAAAGGTATTTTTAACAGCTGTGACCTGTTCCAGCACACGATTACAGCAATGCATACAAACAATGGTACCACCCTATGACTTTCACATTTGTGACCTCATTTGACTTCTTAACAGGTTCTTCTCATTTCACCACGTATACACAATGCAGATGTCTAACCCAAGTCTGAATAGGTGCGCAGTTCATCCTTAAACACACAACTATTTTGCTGCTTCTGTTTGTCTAAAACTGGCAGACACTGCTGTTTTGTCTAACACTCACAGAATCACAAGGTCTTCACCTAAACTTTGTCTCTTCTGTTCCATAGATTCTTTCTGGTGCTGCTTTAGTGGATGCCCATTCTCTACAGTTGTTCCATTGAGCAGCTGATCATCTTGAGAACTGATACCTAGCTGTATGTCCAGAATCTCCTATAGGAAGAAGGAAAAAATGTTATTGATGATGTAGCTACCAGTTTTAGATTCTCCTATTGTGCCCTCCTATGTTAAACTGATGGAAATTTGAGTTTCTTCATTAGACTCCTTATTTTTTACATCATATAATTGGAATATCTACTGCATTTTGTTGTAGGAGAGCCCATGATGCTTCACTTTTGCCTATCACATCAGATATCTTTAACACAGTTTTGTGGGTTTTTTTTGTTGGTTTGTTTCTGTTTTTTAAAAGTAGTAATATGCTGTAATTTAAATTCTTAAAAGGGCTGAAATTCAAACAAAATCTTTTCAAGAAGCTCCTTAGCTGCAGACATTTCAGGAGCTCTTTAAGCATTGCCATCTTCTCACAGCTTTAAAGTTGACATGAGAAGAGGCAGATTCCTGATAAGATTTATAATTTATATCTAGATTCCACATTGTTTGAAATTACAGAGAACTCCAGCAGCTTAGCATTGGTAATGTCAGCAGCCAGGTGTCTGAAATATGAGACCCCTGGTGTTAAAAGAAGAGAAATGCTTGATATCACTATAAAAAGGAAGACAAAAGGCTTTGCTATCAACATAATCTATTACATTATGTTAGAAGTTTTTAAATAACTAATCAAAGGATCCTTCTTAGACACACGTTTTGCAACTCACTTCTATTTGTTCACCCTGCCCATCAGGTTCATCTGTATCAAGGGCAGATAGCTCCAACTCGATGTCTCGATCTGGCTTTGTATCAGCACAGTCTTCACTATAATCAGTCTGAAAGAATGAAATACTTTCTGTAAAAATCACGTTGGCTTTCCACCTGCTTCCCACAACAGTCATGTATTGAAATGAAAATTGAAGGTGTGTTTCTAGGACACAACATTTGTGTGACACAAAGAGCTAAATGATAAAAAAAAACAAATTGAACTTCAGGTATAGACAAAAGAGAATACACAGCAAAATCTATTAGCAAAGTATTGAAAGAAAATAAATACCAGAAAGGAAATTTCTGTAGAGCTCATTAAGATTTAGATTTCTAATGTGTACAAGTAGAGCAAAGAGTAAAGTTCACACTAAAATGGATGGTCACATTTCCACTTCCTCACGCCTGGAGTAGCAGAACAGCCAGTCCAACTACTTGGTTTACAGAAATAACCGGGTGCAAAAACAACAGCAACTTAACTTGCACCAAATGCTTTACAAGTATTTTGGAACATCAGAATTAAAAATGTGTCTGCGTGCATGTAAGCCTCAAAGATTTGTTTCATCCCAATCACCCCTTGCTTTACCTCACCATTCCTCAAATCAATTTCCTTGCTTAAAAGATTTAAGGTAAGTCGACTGCCTTCATCTAGAGAATTCCACTTCTGTTGCATGGCTAGTGCATTTGCCTCTCTCTGAAGTAACAATGAGTTACTTTTGGCCTATGGAAAAAAACAAACAAACATACCAATTACCTATAGCTACACTTAAACCAGGTTCTGGCAAACAGCAATAGAAATCAGGTCACAAAAAGAACAGCTCCCTCTTCAGACATATAACTGTGCATTCTTTTAATGTCCAATATCTGTCCTGTCCTGCATTTGCAGACATTTATCAAGCCCACTACTTCCTACCAAAACCACCCTTACTGATGTCAGTGAATCATAAGAAGTGTTCCAGTACCAATGTCTAGGTATCTCAGTGATCGTTTTATTAATATTACCACTTTCTGCAGATTATACCAAGAAAACTAATTTAATGTTATTTATTTAAGTATGTGGTTTATCTGATCTTACCTGCTGTAATTCAATACTTAATAGATCTCCAGTGCTGGAATGCTTCCTGTGACCAGACAAATCTGTAACTATGAATCTGTCCCTTTGAGAGAAAAGAGGTAAAAATCAGGAATTGAAAACGAATACTCTAAATCAAAGGAACTGAAAGGACTGTTTTGGCCTATCATTATTAGCTTTTTGTACCAACTAGGCGACTAAGGTAACAAGCTCTTCAAGGCAGGGGAGCACAGGGGGGACATATTAAAAGTGTCCCAGGCAATATGTGAAGCAAACATCCTTGTTTTAAATGTAGATGAAGAAGAAGAAAACCTGAGAAACTACTCAAGATCACAGGTTTGGGTGAGACAGTGCCCGACTCCCACTCATTTTAAGATAGGTTTTCCAAAACTTCATAGTGGACAGAAAATCTGTTATTTTAAAATTAAAGTCTATTAGGAGCTTTTTGTTTGTTTAACTATATTCAGGATTTTGAACATTAGCAAGCTACAGAAAACATATAAAGAAAGTCCATACCGTTCTGCATAACGTGCTGATGAAGCTGAATCTGAGCCATAAGAACTCCATCTTGAGTCAACAGCATTGACATAAGGAACGTAATCTGCAACCATTTAAAATACAGTTCATTACCTTCTCCATTCTTAAGAAATAGGGTGTACAAGCATTTATAGTTCTTCGCATTTCCATTGCTGCATTAAGCATAAACTGGATGAAATGCTCATGATATACGCTATACTGTCAGCATGTAGCCTGTACTTGTACCTGATACACTGATGGGCTTAGTTGCACTTCCTTGGGAAGCAGTGGCCTGAATTGGATCTGTTGTGTGATAACCCGTGCGGGATGACCTGGAGATGGCACCCCACTTGGAAATGATCGGTCCATCACTAAATGGGATTATAGGATCTTCTTCCTTTGCCCTTCTCTGAGTTTCAAATAAGTGCATTCTCCTTTTAACATCCCCGCTGTCCAAATCCTACATGTTTAGGAAAGAGAAAGAGATAAATGGACTTGTTTCAGGTCATTCGAATGACTCAGTATACCAATGACTTTCTGATTATTGTTGCTGAATGCTGAAAATCTGTTCAACTAGAGACAAGATGGGCCACTCCTATTTAACTATTGCCCTTTAACACTACTGTCAGCATTAGAAGAAATAATTTTGCTCCTCCAATCTAGTACCTCCAGGCAAAAAAAAGAGCTCCAGGATGCTTCAAGTCCTTCAGTACTGTCTCCTATATCTGAAGATAGTATAGATAGTACAGATATCATATATCTGAAGAAGGCCTGAGAAGTGATGAGACTTGGTCACACTTGTTTCAAAGAACGTGAAGGCAACCTGCCACACTACATAGCAGAAAAATCATGGGCTCTTACCCCTCCAAAGGCAAACTGTGCGCCATGATTCATATCACATACCTTTTGTTTCTCTAAGTAGTTTTTTTTCCTCCTTATGGAAATCAAATGATTATTTTATCAAGCTATATTTTTTCCCCTCCATAACTGAACTGTTTATTAGAGGAGAATGTGTCTTTCAATGAAATAAGAGGTATAGTCTAGGAAAATACCTCTGATACTTGGAATATGAAGCAGCCAACAGTAAACCCATGCTAATTATCCACAGTATTTCAGCTTTCTTCATGTCATTCCTGAAAAGTGCACACTGCTCTTAGGATAAACTTTAAAAGATTCACTGAAACAATAGCACAGTAAGTCTAGAGTCCTGAAAAGGTCAGTAATAATTCATATAGCATGGATAATTCCACTTGAACCAAATAAGAAATGTCTTTCTGCAATGGAAACACCTGCTCTGAAGTGGTCACAATGACAGCATCAACTGGTCAGTCCTGTCAGTGCAACGTATTCTAAGACCAATCTTTTAGATCCTTCAGAAATTGTAAATACACACATACACAAAAATGTGTATTTATGACGTGTGAAGAGAGATGGGATTGAGAAGTCAAAAATGCTTTTATCCCATCAGTCCAACAGTTACAAAGCACATTTAAAAATTAACGAGTCTTATCAATTTACAAACCATCTACTCTAAACATTCTGACTACTAGTTTGATTTACAGACACGTGTTATTAAAACGGTCATTTCAGATGCCTGACAATTTTATTCCTTGCATTACATCCTGTCACAAATGTAAACAGAGTTTACAATAACTAGAGGGAGATATACTAAATGATTTCACATGGGCTCGGCTACTTTTGAGCTAACATATTAAAAATACTACCTACCAATTAAAAAAAGCTTGTTTAATCAAACAGAAGATACTTCAGCATGTAAATATCATTACATTAACGAGGTAATGTGCAGAAAACCCCTACCATTAACACGGCATTTGAATTGGCAATCACATCCTTGGGCTCTGAGTCGATAGCATTTATGCAAGAACCAATAGTGCCACAAGACCACGGTGAATAGTGAGAGAGATGGTCTTCCTCAAATTTAGTTCCACTCAAATCACTGACACTCTCAGAGAACTACAGAGAAGGGAACAAATAGATAGTAAATAATATAAAAGGGGAATTCAGTCTTAAAATAAGAAAAAAACATTTACTGCTATTTAATCAAAACATCTCGAAGTGAATCAAGGAACTAACACCAATGTTCACGACTTGACTTGGGGGAACCATAAACCAATTCACAAACAGATTTCAAACTAGTAGTACAGCTGACAGATGTCAAGGCTTTCCCAGTACAACTGTTTGACTTGTCAAGATAAAAGGCTGAAATCAGCGTTGCTGTATTAGTGGCAGGTTTCTTCATGCAACTACCTGCAGTAATTTAATTCTGAGGTAATAATGCATTTTCATTTAAGTCAGAAGCCAGTGACAGAAGAATGACACATCTGATATACCCTGAATGCGCTCACTTCGGGGTTACATACCTTGCAAGACCTATTTCAAATGAAATTGTCAATCTACAAAGAGTGGTTAGCACAGTAGTTCTCAAAGAATTTCTTGGATGCCTTTAACTAACGTACAAAAATACACACTGCATCACTATTGCTTTGTTTCTTTTTCCTCTTCAAAGCAAGCAGTTTCTATCTATTTCCATTATTGTTTATATAGAATTGTTCTACCAACGTATTTTGCCATTTCTAAGGAGGTGTATATTCTCCAGGATAAGGTTGATTTAGTGCAATGATGCTAACTGGAACATAAAAGAAATGGTCCATCTTGGTGGAAAAGAACTGTCATTCCCTATTTTGCCCAGAAGCAACCAAACAAGAAACCACAAAACAATCTAGGAGGTTCACAAAGAAAGTTCAATAGAGTTTGCTTCCTCTAGTGAGAGTAAATTGAAACACTTCCTCACTTTAAGTTTTTTCAGAAATCATATGTTCAGAAATCATGCCTAACTACAAATGCATTCTTAGATACGACTCTCTTCTTACTAGAAGACTAAAATCATTTTTTGAGCAACAGATGGCAGGTGGAAAATCTACACCAGGAATATTAAATAGGAAGGGAAAATAAAGTTCCTTGGCTTCCCACCTCTGTGTTGAAATCTACACTGAAGAGAGGAGAAGGTGGTGTTGGAGATGGCGTTGCCATAGGAAGGGCTGATGATACAAGAGGAGTTTTCTGTGTGTGATATTGTGCCCACTGTTCTGGCTTCCGTCGTAACTGTTCATCATACCCAGTCTTCAAGTGACCACAAGGCTCCTAGCAATAACAAATACAGGACAGTTTATCATGCTCTCACCAGAAGGTGAATACTTGCAGGGAGCACACTTGGAAAACGTGCTCCCTTGGGTCTGTAGCCTTCCATTGATATCATTAGAAGAATCTCGCAAGGATTTGGAAGAGAACTTGTTCATGTACAGTAACTCAAGTCTTAAATATCTTCATTCAAACACGCGCAGGAAATCAAGAGGCAGAAGGGTTCTGGCCTTAATCCAAACAACAGTAATCAACGTTACAAGCCTATTTTATTCAATTAAAAAAAAAAACCAACTTGATCTGGGACATATTTCTTGACCGCTGTAAAGCCAACAAAACAGAAGAGGTCAATACTAACTATCATCTTTTCATTAACAACTTCCAGGATTAAGCCTTAACCCCTCCTCCCTGTCTGGCTTTCACTTACCCTTGGTAAAGGCACAGTCCTCTGTTCATTTGGAGGTTGGCAAGCCACGGAGTAATAGCCATCCAAAGAGTTGTATCTCTCACGTAATGATGTCTGATAGACAGATGAGTGCATCACATCCATGGGAGGTAAAGAATTGCTCCTAATAATATCATCCCGTGGGTACATCTGTGGGCGCCAGATGCGCCTGCTGTCATAAACTGGAGCATACATTCCAGAAGGGACGGGAGGAACTGGTCCATACGGCTGCGGAGGAGGAGGTTGGTAAGGAGAATTCAGTCGATCTCGAGGTGGAAACGTACTGTAATGGTCGGCATATGGCACAGAAGCAGGTGGGAGGGTGGATTCTGGAACATTATTGGACCTCACAAATCGAGGAACACAGGGAGCCACGCCAGCTGGTACTGTTGGAGGTGGTGGATAGTACCCTTGAAAATTGGAAAAAGGTATATTTTATGTGATCATAAATAACCCAGAAATTTACACCTTCTATAACCGTAACTAGTGTGGTTAAGTATCTTCAGAGAACGAAGTGCAGCACAGTTCTAAAATCTCACTATCAACCCTATAATCTCTCGGGAATTAAATTTATATCTGTCAACCATATTTGCAGATATAACGATGACCCTTTCATCAGCTTGACCCAATCTGGAGAACAGAGCTTCTTGGCCACTGCTCCCATATAGTATGACTTAACTATGTGTGCAACTGAAAAGTCAAACACTTCTTTATACATGAAGGTAAAACAACACCTCTAAAGTAGAAAACTATATTGCTAAAAAATAAAGATAAGTAATTTCAAAGGTTCCTAAATGACAGTTTCACTTCGTTCACTCCTCATTGGAAAGACTGGAAAGAGCAGTCTGAACACCTTTATCATTTCTTCTGATAACAATAATCACCAGTAATGGGAGCTGAGTATGAGTGCCTGCCATCAGCAATGGAAGACAGTATTCTATTGAGTGAAGGTTCAGCTGGTCTTACAAAAATCCATAAGACTGAAATATAAGTTATTTCTGACTACATAACATGCAGGCATATCTAGATGAAAATTCAAACCTACTCTTGGCTCAGTGTCTCGTACTCACCTGTCTGTGGGTACTGTGGAACTTCATACGACAGCTGAGTTCTGGGATCTTGGAAATACTGAACGTTATCAGAATGTGGAGGGTAAACAGGTACTCTGGGAACAAACTGGCTGGATTTTGGAGGCACAGAATTCACTTCTGTTCCAATATTAGGAGGACCAGCTGAGGTAGCTGCTGCCTGGCTTACAGGAGTCTTGGGTGGAGAACCAATTTTACTGAAAAGGATTACCAAGAAATTATTAAGCAGATCTTTATGTATTTTGCTTAATCATCTCTCCATGTACACACTCATATGTAATGTGACAATTTGGATGAAGTTATTTCCTCTAGAATTTTAACACCCCAAATTATCATAACTCAAAAGCATATATAAACATTTTGCGATGTACTCATAACCTTACATAACACTTGCAAATATACTCGAGCAGAGACAAAGGGTTTGAAAAATTTCAAGAATCAGTACTTCATGGAAAAGTACCAAAACAATTTTAAGGGAAAAATCTCAAAAGTGGAAAGTTTCCAGGATTAAAGGGATTTTTCTTGTTCAAAAAAACAAGAGAACCAAAACCACCACATTTTGAATGCAAGTTCTTTGTTCTATGCAATAACTAAGTTAGGCATCAGTAAAATAGAAGAAACAGGGAGAAAGTTTTGTATCACATGGAACTATTTAACAACTAACATAACTTATGCTGGCTCTGACAACTTCAATCTAAACTTTGTATAATGACAGTTCTCGCTTAGCCAGTAAGCAACAGCAACAATTGCCCAGCAGAACCAGAATTCAACATCTATTATTTGTGATTCACAAGCTTGTTTGCCTTTACAATTCAAGAGCAAAATGCTGTGCTTGCTATTTTTATGAGAAAATGTTACCTACTTCTCAGGTAGTGATTCTGTAGGGGATCCAGAAACATTCTGGCCATTGGCTCCACTCTTCCCTGCCTTCTTTGTGTTCTCCAAAGCTCTTAAGGAGGTGTCTGCACAGCGAGGAATCAATTGGGGAACACCACTTTCTAGATTAGCTATTCCATTAGTACTTGGCACCATCTTTCCTGTTGCTTCAGGGCTTCCTATGACAGAAATTACGCTTCCTGTAGTGGTTGAGACGGTGCTATTAACGCCAACTTTATTTAGAAGGGGGAATGTTCTCACTGTTGCACTGATTTTTTTGTTCCTCAAGCGATATCTACAAACAAACATGTAAACACAAGAGACAGATGATTTAAGAAGTGCTTATTGTGCAGTTTAATGTATTTTTAAAACTAGTAAGAGATTAAGAGGAACATGTGGCCAAGAATTCCAGGACTTCACACTGCTATCCATTTTCAACAGTTTAGCCTAACTGAAGTAGAACATCAGCATCCTCTATGTGACCAAAGATGATCTCCTAGTGAAACATCTGCTTGTGTAGTCCTTTGGAAAGGGAACACAGTGAAAATAGATTTAAGAGTGCATATGTTACATATTACCTAAATAACTCAGTTTATTCCTTAGTCAATTAAAATATAATCAACATTTTCTCTCCTCTGAGTGGTATATTCAATCTATATTCAATCCTTAACAGACACTGACCCTAGAATCAGTTTTAGAAAACTTTACTTCATGCAGGTAAAATAAAAAACAGAACTGGAATTAGTCAATAGATGTTTCTTTACTGTACCTTCAACTTCATGTTAGAGCTGTAATTTCAAGCGATTAACGAATCCTTCGGAATGAATAAATACACCTTAGAAACCATTTTCAAAGTTCTAGGGTAACTGCTTGGAATTAAACTGAAAATCTTTAAAAGAGCTTGAAACTCACTTTTCAAGCTCTTCCTGAGAATGAGCAAATGTACAGTTGGTTCCTCTTGGACATCCCCCTTGTTGTCGAAGGTCTCGGCACATACTTGTTTTGTATTTGCTATTTGGTTGTGGCTTAAAAACACAAATAAAAGATATTCCGCTTACAAACAAACACAAAAATAGGCATAAAATATGCACACAAACATATTCAAGACATTTTTTAACTGCCTTTTATCAGAAAACTAAGAAATTACTTATGGGTGAGCTAGGCACTATGCTTTTGTATGGATCTCAATGTATAAAGCTCTGCTGTATTCCATATTCGGAAATGTTTTCAAAACCAGAATGCAGCAGATAACAGTATTATGGATTATTCCACAGAAATGGCTATAAATATTTCAATGTAACTGTAATTCTTATAAAGAGTTGCACATTGCACTAAGTGTACATCAAGACACATCACGCAATGATGAAATATAGTAACCTGTGGAGTTTCGTGGCCTTTTCTGCTGTAATTCTGAATGAAATCCACCAGCCCGTGTACCACCGTCTTCACAGCCACCATTGCATTTTCCAGCTGCTCCCATGTTGGAGATGCTGCATCTAAAATTATTAAAAGCAGGTTTGTCATTGTCAATAATTTCCAAGGAATCCTAAATAAGAGAACTTTTTCCAAAACATCGAGGACTAGAGTACAGCTCAGAGAATCCTGAAGATTTTATGATAGCACTACAGTAATTGGAATTTTGAAATCAGTAACAGAAATTATCCTCTTACATAATTCACTTCGCTTTGATATTAATGATGTGAAGAAATTAAAAAAAAATAAAACAAAACAACAACTTTGCTTGCTTACCTGGATTTGGGTCTATGTTTGCCAGGAGCTCTAAATGAGGTCTCAGCCTGTTTAAGTTTGCAGGATCACCTGTGCGCTGCAAGACGATCGTCAATTCCTGCACGCTCTTTGCAAAAGACTCTGGAGATTGGAGCTGAAAGTAAAGTGAGTGTTAGCATGTTTCATCCTATAAATGTAAAGTGTCAATTTTAAGACTTCCATTCAGTTGGCTCCTAAATGCAATGTATAGTGTCTTCAGATGGCATACAGCAAGTATCAGTGGAGAGAAATTTAATTTCTCAGCTCAGAATCTGCCCTATGAAGCTTCATCATAAGACACAAGTGACAAACTACTGAAAAACAAAATGTCCTCATATGAAGAATATACTACAGTAGGGAAAAGCTTTCATTCTGGTTTTACTTAATATTTGATACAACTAAAGACAAAAAGATAACTTAAGTAATTCTAGGATTTTTATTATAACATTAAAGAGTCAAATACCAAGAGGTACTAAAGCCAGCCCCATGACAGACCTTGTCGATAATGGATTGCATGTGAGATTTATGTGCCAAGTCGCCATAAAGAAGGGAAGACCACTGTTCTGGTGATATTCGAAGTCCTGCTTCCATGGCAATGTGAACAATTTGGGCATCATGTTCTCTCCGCAAAGCCTCATAACTCCGAAACTCTTCTTTAAGTTGCATCAGAGAAGAATCTTCATCCCTTTTAGTGACCTAATGAACAATGATGCATAAACAGTCCTTTAGCTAGAATCCTCCAATCCGTTAGGAAAAAAATGCTACATAGAAGAAAATGCAAAAGCATATTTCTTCTTGATACTTAGCAGATAATTTATTTTCTTTGTTGTTTTTTTTTCTTCCCCATTTACTCATCCACTTTAGCCAGCAGCACGCAGGCAGAACAGCCAACTCTCTGAGTTTTAACAGGATCACTAGTGCTAAACTGTGACATCAACTCCACTACTTTCAACTAAGCAATCAATCAGAGTTGCTTGTCACAAAGTATACAAAGCAGTAATCTGATACAGTTAGATATTCAGCTGTTCTAACAATAGCTTTTGCTGTCCAACTCTAGAAGATTACTTCAAAGATAAAGTCTCTCAAAGTGACACAAAGGAAGAAAACTTGGCCTCTCTGGTAAATATTCTCCACTATAAATGTTAAGCAAACTCTTATTTAAGACATTTGCCATAAAAGAGTGCAAGAGATCCCATAATTTATTTTTATTTTTTTTGTAACACGATATATTAGATGTTATGGCAACTATGTAAGCACCCAGGATTACACTATTACAGAAGCTTTCTTCAGAATTGGACTTCAAGCTTTGAGAGCATCCAGGCCAGTCTCACACATCTGGCCAGGCCTACTCTTATGAATCCACATAAAGTCAAATATGATGATGATAAACCATTTTATTTCTTCCTGAAGCAGGCAAGGAGTGCCTACAAGTTACATTTCATGCCTCTCTCAAGAGAATTTCCAGCTGATGGACAACAGTTAGTAATGAGAGGTAATTACAGAGTTGATTCCAGTCAAGTCAATACGTGACCATTTGTTTCTTTTGCATGAATCTTTAAATATTAGTTAAATTCCCATCAGTTGTACGCCATATAGTTTACACCATTTCAATGTACTGAAACAGAATTTATGTAACATTTCACAGGTGAAAGATCAATGCTAAGAAAGGTTCCTTGGAATTGCACTTGTTCAGTAACTAACTTCAAATTCTGGTATTTTACCTTAAAGCATGATGCTCTATACAGTAGCTGCACAACATGACCAATGCTTGTTTTAGAGGCCTGAGGAAATCTTGGTTCTAGCCTTTGCACCACAAAAAGTACCAGAACTTTTCTTGAGAGTGCGGAGCCATCTTCCAGTGCCAGTAATACAAGTTTCAGTGCCTCCTCTTGCATAGCTTTATCACACAAAAATAAGAAAAGAATAGAAACATGTTGCCAGAAAACAGCATGGCTATCGTGTATTAACACCATATGCAGAAATGGATGAATCATCCTGAATACAATTCCTTGTTTTTACTTCGCTAATAAAAAAAACTTTGTGAACAAATTTTAAGAAATTTGCTAGTTCAGAAGGAGTATCTAAAATGAGCTGTTTGTATTTACAGCTAAAGTATAAAGATGAGAAATTTGCACGTTAGCATCAAAATCTGATCAGAGGCAGCAGTACAACCAGCCTGTGTTACAGTTACGCTGTGTAACAGGCTGTGAAGAAAGCTGACTTATCCACATTTCTTCACCAGCAGTTTTGAATCAATTCCTCATAATTTCAATGAACAGCCAATAAAGCCAAAACAAAACAAAAAACAACAAACCCCAACTTTTTAAGAAAGCAGATTTTACTACCCTGTAGTCTTCTTTCCCTTGCCTCTTTCTCATATAAAATTGAAAAATGGAAGTCAAGGTACTTTCAATTGCACAGAAAAAGCTTCCAAGATTTTTTTTGTGTGTTAAGAAAAGGTTTGTGTATATTTATATGTTACAGATTCTGCAGGTACCTTACCTGGCCCTAGAAACTGACATCCTCGTGCCCTGACAGCAGCCCAAAGATTGGCAGAAAGCTGCTGAGGATTTTGGTGCTGCAAGATCAATTCTGTCACGGTTCTCTCGCCCAGCGATCGAGCTGCTCTCATAGCCCTAACTCGACCCTCTTCCTCTACCAGCTGACAGTTCACCAGTGTCACAAGCTTCCTTTGCATTGGACGGCTCAGTGCACTCTGATTCAAGCTAGCAACACCTTCAAAGAAAGAGAGAAAAGAAAACTACTGCTTTTAATTGGACAAATTAATCTAGGTAGAACAAACAAAAATGTATAATAGTGTGTCTCTAGGACTTGAATTCTAATCACAGGTATCATCATTTCTCTTGGGCAATTCCAGGTAACTCATTAGCAAGAAAAATTTTAATTAGAGTCTTAAATTGACGTCAAACTCATCCTCTGAGGAAAGTTCAGCTTTAGAAAGAAGTGGAAGCACTACTAAATATTAAAAAAGTATTTGTAAACTTGAAATCAAGAATCAATTGTCAGAAGCATGAATAAAACATGGTAGAAAATTTTATTATAAAAACAAGAGAATTATGCCACTGATGTCTAAAATCAGTGCTTAAAACCACAGGGCTGTTAAAAGCACGCCAAAACTGCTGCACCAAAACCCCACTGTTCAGTGGAGACTTACCTTTTCCTCCACTTAATGGCTTTAAGTAGAGTGCCAAATCCTCAACACATTTCTTTGCTACTTCATAATGTTTGTTCTCTCCTACATTACTCAACTTTACTGTCTGATGATCAGGTACCTAAAAAACGTAAAGAGAATGTGAAAAAGAATTGGATGTATCCATCTGACAAGCCTATGATGGTACCAACATCACTACCATAGTTACATAACACTGCAGATGTACAATGCTTCTGAGGGAAGAGAAAGACAGAACCCATCTAAGTTGTGTGGAATGTAATAAGGAGTAACAGAATGGACTGAAGTATCACAAATGAAAGATTATTTTTGTTAGTACTCAACACATTAAGAACAAAGCAGGATTAAAAAAAAAAAAAAAAAAGCAATAACCAAGACTTGATGGAAAACGTAGTGAAAAGACACCTGAAGAACACAAGATTTGTGAGGATGGTAAGCGTACAAAACCAGGATGATTTACTACAGAGAAACAAGGGAAATTGTCTTACAACTGGCAAGAATATAAGATGAAAAAGTCATAAACAAAGTTAAATAATTTAAGCATAAAGGCATATAGGCATACAAATAGCTTTGAAGTCTTCAAAGAGAAGAACTATCAAACTTAACTTGGTGCAAGAACTCAAAGTGGAGTAACAAGGTCAGACTACGAAAATAGAAGGAACATAGTCACAATAGAGTCAATTGTTTGAAAGACACTGCTAGAAGTTCAGAGCCCAGGAAAATGAATGTTGTTAGATCAAGGCAGTGACACAAGAAAAAAAAAAAAAGATGAATTTGAGAAAAAACACAAACAGATTGTATTATTATCAACAGCTTCAGCTAAGCACGCAAAAAAAACATTAAAAAGAAAAGTAAATGCATCACCATTACATCACCCAGATGTTATAGACAGTATTATGAAAAAGAATGTGAATCAGCATAAGGTGAACAGACTTATTTAGTCTCCATAAAGTGCAGTACTGATTATATAATCACTGTTTTGCCACTGCTATGAGACACAACAAGGAACATTCCTGGCCTGATTAGCCAGCGTCTGAAAATGCAACTGAAAAGCTATCATACATATTTTTAAAAATACTAGACATATTTCTAAAACTTGGTTAAACTGCTAGCTACTCTGAACATGTGACATGCAGTAGTGAGATTCCTTGCAAGAAAGTGTACAATAAACGAGCGCAATCTGCAGGACTGCTTTTCCAGTGATTACAGTCACAGGCAATTGTCTCATTTCTAATAAGTATTTTTCTCCAGTCCCATGTCAGGAGTCTTTTCACACCAGAATTCACTTACAACTTGGAAGTATCTTCATTTTTTCAAGAAGTAGATGGATCTGAAAATGATGTGGCTCCTTTTATAGTATATACTGATTTTAAAAGGCTACAAAGACAAACCCTTGCCATTTCTTGGACCAAATAGGGGAAAAACATCAGCACAAGTATTGTGACTGGCATGTAAATGTTAATAACATGAGATGGCAAAACAAAGAGCAGTTTAAATCATACCTGGGCTCCAACTAACTGGAGGAGTGCAAAGTTTACAGGAAGCACATCGATGTCTGTGTTGATGGCAGTCTGGTCGAAAGGACATGCCTTGCGATGAAGCTTGTTCAGGCAGGTCTTACAGACAGTGTGAGAGCAACCTAAGCTGATGGGTTTGTGCACATTCTCATCAAATTCGTTGTAGCAGATTGGGCAGGACAGAAATTCTGTCCACTGAGCTGCCTGCACAGGCATTGTGGAAGCTGGACAGTTGCTTAGCAGGCTAGAAGACCATTATTTCACTGTACTACGTTTTGGCAGCTGTAAGTGAATAACAGATTATTTAAAACATGCTTTCTGGTAGTCTAGAATGAGTCTGAATTAAAAAAAAAATACCATTTCAGTGTTTTATAGACTAACATGGAATTCTAACATCAAAGTACTCAAAATACAACTTCTTGATAGTTTAATAATTGTACAGAAAGGCTCATGAACTGAATTACTGTAGGCTACAGTAGGTTGAATTTGAACATATTCACAATAAATGGCATTAAAGTTCTTCTCACAGGATTAAATACAACTTTAGTTAGGAAAAGGAAGACATTTATTGGCACGGAAAGACCATAAGCATGCAATCTCACCTTAACTCACACTCACAGCTCTAAGAGAACTCTCTGGTTACAGAATGGGCCTGGGAAGGCACAAAATATTACCTATGTTCACTTCATTTGAAGTGAAGTACAGCAATGCTTTCCTTCTGAAGTTTTTATTCAGGTTTCATCAGATACCAAACCATTTTCTATTGAGAATCACAAAAAGATACAAATAACAAGAGATAAGTACTCTTTTAAGGACACAGCATAGCAGGCATGGTGGTGCTGCAGCTGGACTACACGAGCTTATTGGCCTTTTCCAACCTTAATAATTCTATGACTCTCTTATGCCACCTCCCTCTCCCTCCCCCATCAGAGCACTCGAGATCGTTCTGCCTAGTTTTGCTTTTTACACCTCTACCAGACACAACAACACAACCCCACTTCAGCAAACTTGCAGGAAAACATCTGATATACAGAAAATCCTGGCATTCTGGATAGCACTTAAGGATAAAGCAAGCAATAACTTCAATTGGTTTGTTATTAAGGGTTTTCTCTTGAAAATTCTCTGTTCAGAGGTATCATGCATGTCCTTTACATCTGCCTATTCAAAAAAAACAGCTGTTCTAAAATATGTCACATTTTACATAACTTAAGTCCTATGAAAAAGACAACATGCCTGGGAAGTTCACTGAAACCATTTACATTAAAACTTGGGTGGAAGACTCATATCCACATTCACCTGTGAGCAGAACAGCCCCACCCTGCACTGCAATGTGCAGCAATGTTGACTTTCTATGCAACCTGCAGACCTGTTAGTTCACTTCAAGGCTCTGAACAAGCCTATCCTAGCAGCTTATTAGAATGCAAATATTTAGATATTTAAATGACACATTTCAATACATATATTTTTTTTTCATGGAAAAAAAGGTAATTGTTTTAAGAAAGCTGTGCTCTCTCTCCTGGATTTGAATTCAGTAACGCTTCACTGTGAGTCCACTGTTGGCTGTGCTAACATGTAATTAATGCTAAAGTATTGGACCACTGAGATAATTACATCACATATCGAGTCTATTTGGTGCTCCAGCATTACACATTAGTTGTAGCCATCTGTTCAGAAATTCTATTTAACACGATGACCATTCAGAGCCCCTTAAGTAACAGGACATTTGTACAACACGTGCCTACCTCAGCGCGCTTTTTGGTATTATGCAGAAATCCCACCCCCAGTAAAGCAAATTCACAGTGAACATAAAACAAAACAAACTGGAAGTTGAACCTGTCCCTTAAGAACAAAGCTGCTGAGGCAGTGCTTCTAACACTGGCCAAAATATTCACACGTACTGGACAACAGATTTTCATCCAGCTTGTCTGAAAGCACAGTCAAAGCTCTCGCAGGGGTGAAAAAAGATGCTCCTCTTTAACCTGCTATTGCTACACTTATCTTTTAACCACTGGAACCCCAAAGCAAAACAAGTAATTGCAAAAACAAATGAGCCAATGCACCTAAAAAGACATTTCATTCCTCTATAAAGGATCCCACCACGTTCTTCAGCTCACTCGCTTCAACAACAAGTGCTGGGCAGAACTGCGGCATAAAGCCTTGCAGGAAATACCTGCATTCCTGGAACACTGAGGTGCTGCCACCACCACTGTGCTGCTCCAAGACCAAAACCCAGGGCCTTACGCTCCTCTTTGCACAGCCCGGACTGTTCAAGGAAGCGCTGCCATGGTGACACACAAGGGGAGAGATGCAAAGGAAGGCTGCTGCACGCACATCCCGCTGCCACTGTGCTGCTGGTCACTGGCAGCCTCCGAGCAAACCGCTTACTAAGTAGCTGAAGTGCAAGAACTCCAACTCAGTACCCACATTCAGTCTCCACAGATACTACAGACATGTGCAACTAACACCACCTCTCTACAGGCTTCTAAAATAGTTGTTTCCCTGACCAGCACGGAAAGAAAGCAGAACAGATTCTTGAAGAGTGCACCCCTGATTTGTACAGATCTCTGCGCACTGTTCCATCAGAAATGGCAGACTCTTCTCAGCATGTGCTGACTTCCAGATTTCTTGTCAGGAAAAAGACTAACGAAATGGGCACACAGTTGAGGAAAGCTCTCAGCTCAAAGCTTCGGGCAGCCACAGCAAGAGGAAGCCACCACAGCTGCTACCTGTCACTGCCCCACCTGAAGGCTGTGCCTTCAGAAGGTGCCAAACCTCCTCCCCATCACGCTGACTCCTACAGAAGGCATAAGCCAAATGTAACACGTTCTTGTTCCTTGTCAGAACCAATGGATTTCAGGGACTCCTGAAGAACAAATTGCTCCAGTGCTCTGAACTGAACAAAGGAAGAAAACAAAATAAAACAAGAAGCCACTGGGGTTTTGGTTTTAAACAGAAAATATGCTCAGTGTAATTATCCTTTGTCTACTTGATCTGTCTGTTAAATATGCCACCTCTACACATGATACCAGGCTTCTTTTCCTTGCCAAAGCACAAGCATCCCACATAGAGGAACAGGTCAAACATACAAGAGCTTGGTGAGACACAGCAAATTTTATACACACACACACACACATATATATATAACTATGTTTACTATTTACTATGTTGTAGGAATGACATGTATTACTATTAAAAGCAGCATTTCAGATGACAAATAAAAAACACCCGCCTAGCTTCAAAGTTACATAATATATCAGAGTTGAGTCATTTTGTTTGTAATACAGTAACATTTTTCCATTGCAGAAATGGTTGCACTGGAGTTTAGTAACAATGATAGCCGCTGACTTTCCTGTGATTATTTTAGACCAGGATATTTGATGGAACTGATCGCAGTGACAGGAAGGTGGGTGTGAAGCCCCAGTACCCTCATTGATCAGCTGTACCACTTCCAGATAGAAGCTGTAAGATCTGGATGTTCTTATTTTACATTAACTTTTAGCTACCCAATCCCATGACACAGTGTACAGCTAATCTAAGTGCTACTGTCTTCCTCCCTCATGGGAAGTTTGGGACCTCCAGACCACTTTCTAGATGAGACTGAGATGCTTTTTATCTGAAATACAGACACATGTCATTAACGTCTGTATTTGGAAAAAGGTTCAAATTTGCATGTTAACTTGGCCAGGCTCAGCAGTTACCTGTCTCCTCTGCCTGCCTTCCCAATCTGCCAACCTGAAGGCAGCCAGAACCGAGCTGCAAGGAGAGGCTCCGGAGCACTGCAAAGGATGCTGAGCCCTGCACTGTCTGGAAGAGCTGACTGGAAACACTGCTGACAACGCTTCATTCTCAAATCCATTCATATCCAGAGCTCAGAGGCCTAACAGCAGGAGGAGACATTTACTGCTCCACATCAGTACAAGAACATGACACAAAAGTAGAGAAAGGGACGCAGTTCAGTTAGTGGCTGGTGTTGGCTTACATCTTCCTTCACCAGCTAGATTTCTCACCCACACAGAGATACAAACTTAATTCCTTTTTAATACTTCAAGCCCACATTTCCACCTTCCAAAAAAGCAACCAAACAGGTACAGATGGGGGCAATTTCGATCTCCAGCTGAAGCTGTTCCTCGCACAAAAGCACCAAATAGCTCTCAAAGATGACTTTAGCCTCACCTTCAGCTGTCCAAGTAGATGACTTGGATTTCCCCTCATTTGCAATGATCATTTGTGCAACTCTTTGAGCAAGGGAGAAAAAAGTCAGCACCTCCTCCCCAGCCAGATGCCCCAGTTACCAGGCTGCATGGTGAGAATGTGCCTCATTCTATGATAACTCCATTTTCTTTGAATAGAAAAAAGTTCAACACGAGGTTGAGAATGTTTCCCATCAGGGCTGCACACCACTGGGCACAGGGCAATATCAAGACATGGGATACGTAAGTACCAGCCCTTGCCAGAGAAAGCAAGGGCTGAGGGCTTGAACTCTGCTCCCCCAGGCAGCTGCCCAGGAAGAGGAGAGCAGCAGCAGGCACAGCTCTGATCAGAAGCAGCAGCCCGGTGTTCCTGCCAGCCTGCTCTGCTCAGGCTCCTCACCAGCTCCCTTGTGAGGCTCACGCAAAGGACAGGCTTGCAAACAGATCTTGTGTGAGAATGAGAAACGGAGCAACTTGATAGGACTCAAAGGCTCCTCTACAGAAGAGATCTTAAAAATAAAAATATGGCAACTTGTTATGTAGAGCTTCCACAAACTGAGGCAGTACAGCCCACTGTGGATTGAATCCACAAACCTTAAAAAAAATAATCAATGTAATGATTAAATTAAAGAGTCCTTGATATTGACAAGCTCCTATGGTTGACTGCAGAGATCGTGTCTTTTCTGCTTTAAAATCATCTCCATTATAACATGTCACTTATGCAGATTAGCTGTTTGCTTGCTTTGCAGAGGCAACTTTTTCAAGTCCTCCTTCTCAAGTTATGCAGTTCTGAAAGCATCCTGACTGGCTCATGGCTCACGTCATCAAATTGCAAGTATTAAAGTATTCTCTGCAAAGGCTAGAATCTTTTATTCATTTCTCTTCAGTAGCCATCATTTACAAAACTAGCTTCATTAAAGGCTTAGAAATCATAATAGCTTCACATCATTCAGCAATGATTACTTGAAATTAAAATAAATCCTCCTTTCAGAGCAGACTTGCTTTTTTCTACATTCCATAATATCTGTGACATGCGAATCTGCTTATATCACACATCAAATTCTATATGAAGGAAAGCCTTTAGCAACCACTAGAGATGATATTCCAATCCTTTTTTTTTTTTTTTCCACTGAACATTCATGCCTCTGGGAATATCTGCAGCCTACTTAACTCCGGAAAAGTTATCAACAAGAGAAAAACTCAGGGATGCACTAGAACATAACCATTCGTGCTTCACAGGAGAAGACAGCAACCTTCTTCAGGATTTAAAGCCGTAGATCTCCTCTCCCTCCTCAGACAAACTGCCTGTGAGCAGCAGTACAGCTCACTGACAGAAACAGTACAGTTCACTGTTCACTCGGTGACGGCCAAAGTTCACTCACTTCAAGGTACAACTCTCCCCCCAAATCAACACCAGGCAGCATATCCTCAATGTTTAACACTGGCCCTTTCCTCTTTCAAAGCAGCCAGCTCAAATCCTGTTACCAGATTTTTAATGTTCCCTTATACTTATGTAATGCCACTGTGGGGTTTTTGGTGATTTATAGGCGTCAATGAGAAGAGAGTTTGCCCTTGCCACAGACAGATAGGAGCTCAGTATTGACTTTTCAGAACTAACTGAAGGGCAAATAAATGAATTTTTTTTTCTCTACCAAAATCAGTTGTACTTAAAGCTGCCTTAAGAAAAAGGGAACTTCTAAACAGATCCATGTTGACACAATTAATCCAACAAGAGATACGCTGAACTCCTTACTCTTCAGGAATATTTTCAGAGAATTTGGACTCTCACGTGTGTTCCCCACATCTTTCAAATCCAAGAGGTGTTTTCATTTTACAAACACCATCTTCACTGCAATGATTCAACTATGCATACTATAAAGAAGCTCCATATACTAACATTTTCCAAAGAATTTTAAAGAAATACTAATTCCTTTCTGAAACCCCTTGCAAAAAAACAGGCTGCTTCCAAGAGGGACAGAAAGCCTTTCAAGTTCTTACAGAACAGCTTAACACTCCCACAGATACGGATTTTTCTCCTTTCATTGGGATTGTCCAGCCAGTTCAGAGAGACCACTTTCCATTAAGAAAAGCACAAAAGCTGACCAGAGGAAAGGCAATGCACACCTCACAGCACACACTGCTAACCACTGCCCTCCGGACACCAACCAACACAACATCAACTAAAAAAGATCAGCATTCAAAATGAAGACCTTGAGATATTTGAAGAACTAAGAGTCAAACTGTTGGAATTTGATGTTTTCCAGAGAAACAACCATGACCTCGAACAAAGCAAAAGGACAAGTCAGGAAGAAATTATCTCTTGAGGAAAGTTTTGCCCATATGCAGAAAGAAGAACTTCATTAAAAAGGCAGCTAGTTCTTGGGAAAGCATTCAATTATAAAAATTAAGAATTCAGTGCCAACAGAACAGTATCTCTGTTAATGAAGCAGGCTTCAATTTCTAGAATTCTGAAATGTTTAACACAGACTGAAGGTCAAAAAGAGTATTTGGGTTTAACAGATGTAAACTGTACGTCCTCACTGGAAATGATAAGTCTTCTTTGCCACTGTTACAAACGTTCATCCTTGTACTGTGAAGGGCTGTTTTTTGTTTTCAACACTGCAGAATAGCTGCAATGGGCACGAGAGAACCTCCATACGAGCAGCTACAGAAACTGCTGGTAGCGCCAACTCCTTCAACAAAAATTCCAAGTTCACATGTAAAGATGGAAGGAAACAGCTCTGCACCTGAGCAGCGGGTGTCAGCCTCAGCTAGGGCATTATTTTACCTCCCCACATGTACAGACTGCTCTACTCCACACCCTGCCTGCACAGCGATGCTTACAGCTCCCTGACCACACTCGTGTTCACTATGCTTTCAGCTGACTTCCTCCCTTAACTTAAAGCCCTCGGCACAGCCCAAGCATCAGCAGAACGAAGGCACGCTTTTCCTGCTAGGCTTTTTTCAGCCTCTGGGGCCGTGACGCGCTGGGCGCAGCGCTGGGCCCTGCTTTCCACCATGACTCCTCTCCACCATTACCGCGATGGAAGCGCTGGGAGCGCTCCGCCGTGCCGGAGGCCCCCAGGGAACGGGCCGCAGGCAATACTGACGTGCGACGGAGGAACCGGGACTGCTCCCGCCGCGACCGGGAGATAAAGGAGATAAGGGAGATAAGGGAGCAGCGCTTGGAGCAGCCGGGGCGGCTCCGTCCCCGCCCCGCCCCGCCCGGCCGCTGACAGCGGGCCCTGCCCCGCCGCGCACCTGCGCCCGGCCCCGGCCGTCATTTCGAAGCCGCCACCAAATGGCTGCCCGGCGGCCTAGCGACGGGGGACGGCCCCCTCTCCGCGGTGCGGCGGCGGGAGGGGCGCCAGGGGCTGCGCTGGGCAGGCCGGGCCGGGCCCTGCTCCCCGTCCGGATTCCGCAGCGCCGGGACCCCGCAGGGCGCCGGGGTGGGGGAGCGGGCGGGCGGGGCCCCGCCGGGTCACCGCGTCCCCTTTGGCGACCGCCCCCGCCCAGCCCCGCTCCTACCTGCAAGGCGCGGGCGGAGGGGCCGGGAGCAGGCGGCGGCCCCGGCCTCTCACACGCCATGGGGCGGGCAGCGCAGCGCGGCCCGGCGGAGGCTGTGGGGGCCTCGGCGGCGCCTCCTCATCGCGCTGACAGCCGGGAGCGTCGCCCCGCCCCCTCTCGCGAGAGCCGCCCGCCGCCGCGCGAGAGCCCAACGGCCGCGCCGCGCCCGCCGGCCACGTGACCGCCGCGGGGAGGGAGGGGGCGCGGGGCATCGTGGGAGTCAGTAGGGCGGCGCTGGGCCGTCCTCGCACCGCCCGGCGAAGGGGCGTCATCGAGACGGCAGCGTAGAGCGGCTCTTGCAACCCGCTAGCGCCTTCCCGCGGTCTGTCAGCGTGCCTCGCCAGGTATCCGCTGCTGCTGTTAGTTGTGGTTATCTTAAAATTAAATTCATCACTTCGTAATGACTGTCCAGAAAGAGAGGGAGGGGCTAAACTGTCGCGGTTGGAGGTTCTCGGGAGCGGCCGAGGCGCTGAGGAGGGGCGCTGAGGAGACGCGCGGGGCGGGAACACGCTCCAGAGCCGCTCGGAATGGATCGAATGTGATTAGAAGGCGTAAGCGTTCCTGAAACGGTGTGCAGTTCTCTGTTAATGACAAGCGGTTATATGTACGGAGAGGGGGCAGGGAGCACCTTCAGGAGAACGTGCTTAGCAGCACCCCGAAAATGCTCGACTGCGGCCGCCAAAGGCACCATGCACAGCTCAGCCTGGCCACACACACAAACACGCACAGAAACACACACACACAAACACAAACACATGCATGCACACACACACGCAGGCCCTGGTTCTGTCGCATTTATTGAACTACAGTGGTCTCTTCTCTTTTTTTGTCTTTTCCAAAATGCGAGGCTGTTGCACAAGGAGATTGTAGAAGAAGTGATTGTAATTCATACTTTAACCAGCTGCTTACCCTGAGTGTGTCACTTTTGTCACAACTCAGAAAGACACGGAGAGGCAGACGTAGTGTGTATGTTCCAATGAATCAATGCAACGGAATCCTTCACAAGTCAACTGATACAAAGTCAAACATTTTAATGAATTTTTGGAGGAATGTGGCTCAGTCAGCTTTAGAAAACACAACTTGTCCCTTTTGACAACATGATTTTTGAGGAAGGCATATGCATACAGCTTAACGTGAAAGGGAACCTGCAAATGTCGTCACAATCCAACTAATGCACACATATGTACTGAATTAAACCAAACAGAAAACTTTAAAAATACCCAATAAAACAAGTGGAAGATTGCAATATGCAAAGATAGTGCTAAAGCTGGCATAGCTGATCATTTCCATTACAGGTAGTAACAGGAAACTGCACTGCGTGCATTGTACATGCCCAGCCCTTCGTGTAACTGATAAATAAAATCCCAAACAACAACCAGTTACAATCACTGAGAATTAAATTTAATCAAACCTGTTAACTGACATTAAAAGTTGTTGTCTTGTATTTTAAAAACAGCCAGGTTATGGAGCACAAATGTGATACTTCCGGATTCAGCAAGAGTTTCACAACAGCATTTGTCAACCTTGAAGGAAAGTGTATCCACACGTGATACAGACAAGATTAAGAACTCCTTTCTGCTAACTGGAGAGTCTAATGTAAGTACAACTATCTCATAACAACAACTGAATCAATTTTTTATTCATTTCACATTAAGTGCAAGAAACACATACCAGTCAAAGACAAGTACAGGATAAAGATTTTGCGTTACAGGGGTTCACTGCTTGTGATGAAACAGAAGTAACTTTTGATAAAGTACAAACACAGCTATCCAAACACACAGTTACTGTTTTACAGTATCACAGAATTAGAAGATCTCTATGTCTAAGTAGTTCTTTTTAAGATATAATGGATCGCTTTTCAAAATGAACACAGCAAGTGTTATTATATATAATAGCATACAGTTTATGTTTTCACATTAGTATATATATCTAAGATCTGTAAAAAAAACAAAGACAAATCTTACAGCTCAGCAAATGAGCCTAACTTAATCAGAGTAAGTCAAACAGGCACTAAACACTGGTATAACAGAAGAAATGATATGGAGAGAGAAATCTGGAAAAATTCAGATCTGATTCATAAAACTGAATGCAAGTCCTTCTAATGAGACTATCCAGTTAAAAAAAAATGAACTGCAATGCAATACTGTTTTGTTCACTTTTACCAATTCCCTATTTGCAAAAGGCAACTTGAGTATGAGCACATGCCTTTCTTCTCTTGAAAGATCCAGCAAAGTTCAGTCAAGGAAGGATATGACATCACCATAATTCTGCATGAATACAAGGGGGTGACTGACTTGCTGAATATCTATAAACATCTCCTAGCCATTATAGATCAGGAGTGTCACGGCTCAGGCTTCAGCTTATTGCAATGTCAGTAAAAGTTTAAAAATTGGCAGTGTCTGCCCTTGGAACAAAGGAGTGCAAAGCATCATTAAGAGATAATAATTAGAACATTTCAGGGATGTTACAAGATAGGCATGAAACTGTTCTCTGTATTTTGCCATTTACTTTCAATTAATAAACTACTAAAAAGTCCTTTTGAGGACTTACAGCACAGCAGCCCTCGCACAGCAGACAAGATAGCTGTTCTCAGGACCTGACTGATCACCAATCTCATATTTTTCCTTTTCTCCATTACGTGGGGATCTGTTGAATGTGCACAGTTTCACCAGATAGAAGCTTTTTGTGGAGCCTGGCTCCACACCCACTCACCTATTAATCACAGTCTATTTCAATTTTTGTAATAGTATTCAGGTTTGGTTTTTCGCTGCTACTCCTTCCGTGAACGGATGTTAGGTGCTTTTTAAGAGCAGACTTGTGTTTAAAGTCCATGTCACAGCAATGACACTTGTAGGGCCTGTCACCACTGTGTATGTTCAAGTGATCCTGCAGAGTACTTTTGGCAGTGAACGTCTTCAAGCACACCATGCATTGGAACGGGCGGATACCCATATGGCCCCGGATGTGTCTGTTGAGATTCTTTTTTTGTGTAAATGTTTTACCACACTGCAAACACAAGAAAAGCTTGTGCATTTTTAGATGTCTAAGATAGTTCTCCAGATGCAGAAATCCTCTTGGACACTTTGGACATTGGTTCCGCCACAAATTATCAGAATCGTCCAGATTTTGAAACCCATTTATCTGAGTCGAAGTCCCCTCTGGATTGTCAGTGACAAAAGCCTGAGCGTTCCTGAGAGTTCCTGACATTTCTGAATTTCTGCTCTCAACTGTAGAATTTATCAAGGAGTGCTGGGTTTCGGGAAAATATAAGTTTGTTTTAGAGGAGGTGCAAGGCTGAGGAAAATGATCATTTTCCACATTAGGTACATTCATAGGATCCATTCTGAAGATACATATTTCATCATCCTTATATCCTATTTCAACCGTTGATATGTCCGGGGTCCCTGTGTCCTTTCTTTCTGAGCCCAAACTCTGTGCCGCAGGCTGCAAGTCATCCCCCTTCTCCTGTTTAACGGAGAATTCTAAATTAACTGGGCTATCTTCATAAATCTCAATTATTTCACAGTCTTTATCAGAAACGTCGTCCTTGCTCCTCAGTTCAGTGTCAGAGGAATGGCACTTCTCTGCAGCCTGGCTGCTATTCTCCATGGAAGCGTCGATTTCCAGGTATTTCGACAGCGCCTCACTGCACTTCTCCACAATGTGGACCATCTGGAGGTAGCTGGCGGCAGTCAGGTACTTCAGGAGCTCTTTCCTCTTGACCTCCAACGCACCCGTGTAACAGGAGAGCAGCAGCTTCCTGCCCACCTCGGCGCTCTGCAGGATGGTGATTCGCACCTGCCTGGACTGGTTGAGCAGGAACTGATCCCTCATGAACGTGGAGCAGGCGGCAAAGATCACCTTGTGCCCGTGGAACTCGGTGTCGTTGATGAAAATGGAGACGTCGCAGAAGAGGTTCTGCTGCCGCAGGAGGTTCATTTTCTGCAGCACCGCATCTCCCTGCTGCTCGAACTGGAAGCGCAGCACCTCCGAGTCCGCGGCCATGGCGCCGGGCCTGCGGGCCGCCCGCCCCGGGGCCGAGCTCTCTTCGCCGGTGCCCGCCGAGCGCAGGCAGCGCCGCCGGCAGCTCAGGGCCGGGCCGGACCTCGCTCGGCCGCTCACCCGTCCGCCCACCCCCCGCTCCCCGGCCACTCCCGGTGCCGCTCCGCCGCCGGTACCGCAGAGCCCAGCCACCCGGAAGCGCCCCCCGAAGCCCCGCCCCTTCCGGCAGCGCGTCCCGCCCCGCGCCGGTGGGAAATGAGAGGCGGTGCGGAAGTTAGCAGCACGTTTATTACAAGACTTGGCACTGCTACAGCGGCACGGCGCCACCCGCCCGGGAGAGGTAGCAACGCAGTGGCCCCGTAAGGCGCTCGGGAGGGCGGAGGCGCAGGGCCCCGGGGCGGCCGAGAGGAACGGGCAGCGCCGGCTCCTGCCGCCGGGCCCGGCCCCCCCAGCCTGCTTTGGTAACGCTCGGGATGAGCCTCCCGCCCAGTCTCTGGAGAGGTAGCTGATGCTCGGTCCGTCGGCTGTAGGCCCACGGGAAAGCGCTCATTCAGTGAGTGACGAGAGCCGGCGGTTCACCTGTCCACCTCCTTCTCAAAAACCGCGGTATAACGCGAGCTCCCGATCCTTTCCACGGTTTCAGCTGGTGTCACACTCTGATTCTCGCTCCTCACCTTTATTCCTCCCAGCGGCTCCAGAACCAGAACCACAACCAGCCCCATGGAAGCATTAAGTTCCTCTGAGAGGAGTTCAGCGGCAGCTATCGGTTTTGCCAAGAAGTCAGGGGAGAAAGGCTGACATTTCAATCGTATCAGTTATGGACTCGCAAAACAGGCCCTCTAAACGAAAAAATAAGGAAAGACTCATCCCTGATCCCTGCAGGAGGCTGTGCAGCTGCACCACGTTCTGCAGGAAGACATGCTACGTGAGCTACCACCGCTCAGTGAGGTGGTGAGCCCCAACCTCGTAAATCTAAGACTTCTAAGAATTCTATGTCAAATAAATAAAATGCCAACATAAAAATCCTAATATATTCAAGAAGTTATTAAAATATTTTTGTAGTAGACCAGATATTTTTAGGATATGCAGGACGTTGTACAGCACATTAAGTTGTGAGACTATCCACTTACCAGCAAATAGTATTCTACACATTAACACACAGATTATGATAACTGCCATAGTCCTTATCTGAATATGCAGCATCAGCAGCAACAACCACTGGATCTAGTCTTTCACTAACTGGAACAATGCAATGAAGACAACATTTTACATACATGGACAATTAAGTTCATCTTACTCTAAAATCAAGCTGCCCCTGTATATTCTGTTTATAGTAATTCTCACTCCATTTTAATCTAATCCAGGGACGAGGCAGTATCCAGGTTTTGCTTTTCCAATATCTCTGTTATACTCTTAACTTCTCTGCTCCACAAAGGGGCAAATCTTACATGAAATCTACCAGAGCACTTCACATTGCGCTCATCAGCACATTGCCCTCTTAGATCTCCACTGCTTCTGGATTTACACAGCTGTCTCCTGCACAACTCTTGGTCTGTATCCCTTTGCCAAGCCAAAAGCACAAACATTTGTAAGTCACCTTTCATCCAACAGACGTGTTTCATTTTCAATGAAGAAGCAGTCTTCTGCATTTCTGCTTTTTCCTATTTTTTTCTGCCATGATCTCACCACATGGTCACAAGCAGCCTTTTAAACGAGTAGCCAGCAGTCTCAGCCTTTTCACCAGTTGGTATCACCACAGTGCAGGGTGGACAGAAAACTCATATATCTTGATCAAATCATTTTTAGTTTCTTAGGATAACCTCTCATCTCTTCGTTTCAGCTTCAGGTCACCAATGGCTACTTGAACAAGCTGTATCCTCCTTGCAATAACATTAAAGCTTTGAAATTCCATGAAGAAACTTTCCAGACAGACCTCCTAATAACATCCATTTTCTTGGCATTCGTAGTTTTATTCCTTTCTCTGGCAGAAGACCATTCTCTTTATTATGTCCATATTCATATATTGTTAGATTTTCCACTAATCCCTTACAGCACGTTGGCCTGGCTCTGCAAAGCTCTTACTCTCCATACCTATCTTCTTTTTGACATCAGAGCTATAACTTATTTCCACATAATGAGTAACATTATAAAAACTTTTTAACGATGCAGAAGATTCTGCCCAAAGTCAGAACGCGAGTGTCATACAACCGTCATCATCTGTTTTAGCTCAAAGTTATTCTGAAAGCAGGTAACTTCAGAGGAAAAGGGTTTTTTTTCCCATGCCTACCTATTTTCTGCCCCAAGAACCTGAATTTTTTAAGTTCCAAAAAGTTACATTTTTGGCCTAAATATATTTGCTACAACTTGAAAGACATAATGCCCTAACTCCATTTCCACTGCGTATCACTTCATAGCTGTCCATGTAATAATAGTTAATGTAACAGTCAAGTACAGTAGTTCAAAAACTCAATTGCAAAAACGGATTCACAGAATCACCTTGCTTTTCTACTCGAAGGTATGTGGATTTCTGAAAATGGTCTGCAAGATTAACACATTTTTACCATTCATCAGTGTCAAGTCTGCATAAGGAAATCCTGGTTTCTACATACACATATCTGAAGACCAAGACCAACTTTTGATAATTACGTACAAAACATTTTTCTGCTCTAACACACCTTTGGTCATACCTGTTGAGCATTTTTAACCATACAATAGCAGCCTCCCCCCTATCCCTACCCCCTCATTCAAACACACAAACAATACTACTTTTAGGTAGGAAGCATAATCTCAGCCTCATGGCAAACCTTGAGGAAAAGAGCTGCACTGGAAGAAATACTTATTCCAAACATAAACAGCAGTTCTCTACCAAGGATCAGCCACTTGATTATCAGTCTGTGCTACACTTCAATATAAGAATGCTGTTCTACTGGGAATGGTGTTTAGCAGATGAGAAATTCGTTTCTTTCAGCCTGACTGGGATGTGGGGAACTCCATGGCACTTTCGTGAAGTAATAATCCCAAAATCCCAACTAATATGCCATTCCCACAACATCTGATGTTTAAGGCGGTATACATGAGGTATTGCTAAGTACAGTCCATAGCTGATAAACTAACCTATGGAAATTATGCTACCTGTACCTCATCTTAGGCTCTGTAAAATGCTAATGGGCATGAATTATGTGGGTCACTTTAAAGAAAAGCATCCTTTCAGTATCCAAGAAACAAAAAACTTCATGCTGTTAATGTTTTTACCTACCTATGGCAGGTACTTTTTTCTTTTTTTTTTCATATTAACTGACATGTAGCTCTTATTAGTTCTCAAGGAGACATACACAAGAGTTAAGGGGAAAAAAAAGCATGGAGTTCCTATACATTGCAGCTTCTGAAACAGATTCTTTTCACAGTGTCACTCCAGCTTTGCTCTAAAACCAATCAGGAAAGTAGCAACTGTTGTGGTTATCTGAAACAAAACTTATGGAAGATAGATGACAACTTCTAGTTTTGAAGTGCTTACCTTGAATCAGTCCATACAATGGTAAGTGCCCTTTGATACTTCTGTGTATGACAGCTTATGAAACAGGTCATACCTGGCACTCCAGGTGCCGAGCTCACACATTCCAGAGCTGCAACCTACTCTCATTTTGAACAGTTCTATGCAATGATCAACTAACCCTGCCAAATCATTCAGGGCTTCACCTTTTCATAATGCATGCCAACATTAAAAACCCTGAGAGCTTTTAAGATAGTGTTAACTGGCAGCAGAATTGTCTTGAAATAGTTTAGAAAGGGAAAAAAGTGACATAGATATACTTCATTTCGACTGTAGGGGTCTAGGGGTAAGATCAGACAAAAATAACGTTAAGAGGTAAGTTTAAAACAAATCAGCACTATGTGGAGTGCTTTCAGTGATCCAGTGCTTTATAATATAACAATTGGGTTATCTCACACACTTGTCCTCTTTGCTCTTTCCTCCATCTGCCCAGACACAGAGAAGCCTCTAACTGTACAGCAGATGGTTTACTTGCAGCACACAGCAACAGTCTTTCAAAAGGTGTTAGTCTTGAGTCTCCTAATCAGAGAGAAATGAAACAATTAACCCCTTAATCCACAGTAGAGACACAGACAGAAACCTGAAGGAAGATTGTTATTCACAGAAAATATCAAGTAAGACTAAGAACGATGGCTGAAGACCTGCCAGGTTTTGCAATCCAACCCTCCATCAGAAGCCTTTCAGAGCATACCACTAGTTTAGGTAAGAGCCCAAGCCAACTGTTTGCTCCTCTCAGTCATGATCCCTACAAGGGCTGTTTTTAATTGCTTAATTGACACAGGTACTATCATTTCTTAAACTGAGCACAGCCTGAGGCAGCTTCCCCGCATCCAGTACCTGGCTTCCATCGGCCTGCTGACAGACCTTACTGTCTGTAGCAGCGCTACATGTGAATGAATCGAAGTCCACCGTTATGTCTTGAACATTTCTTTCATTGGCATTGTCAAAGCTATTTTTACCATGTAGCTGTTTAAGATGTTTCCTCAGAACGGGCTTATGCGCAAACACCATGTCACAGTAGTTACACTTATGGGGCTTGTCCCCACTGTGCAGGTTGAGATGGTCCTGTAAGGAACATTTCTGAGAGAAGGTTTTCCCACAGATCTTACATTGGAACGGTTTGATGCCTGCATGCACTCTCATGTGCCGGTGGAGATTGCCTTTCTGAGTGAATGTCTTGCCACAGAGGAGACACATGAATAGTTTATGCATCTTTAAGTGATTAGCATAGTTTTCTAGATGCCGAAATACTCTTGTGCACTTTGGACACTGATGATGCCACTGGAGGCCTTTGTCTATACCACGGTTGTTAGACCCAAACATATCTTTAGAGGCCAGAATGATGTTATCACTGCCAGCATATGAAAGGGCATAATTGTGGAGGTGGTTTTGCTCTATTTCACTTGCTCTGTTTTCAACAGTGGAGTTGATTAGAAAGTGTTGAGGTTCAGAGGAATGCAACGCAGTTTGTTCAGAAGAAATAAACTGGTTCTGATCCTTCTTGCTCCTAACTTCTGTTACCTCCCCAATGGACTCCACCTTGATAATCTGAATATCACTATCCTCCATGTCCATACTGTCTTCCGAAGGTTGAATACAAGGTGAATCTTGTGGCAGAGAGTCTTCATCTTCCCCATGTTCCTTCAGCTCAGAGGAGTCACTCTGCTGTTCACACTCCTTGCTCTCCAACGGCTGCTTCGGTTTTATGAACTTCCAGAGTGCCTGCGTGCATCGTTCAACAATGTGGCCCATCTGCAGAAAGCTCGCAGCAGTTAAGTAGTTTACCAGCTCCATTTCAGGAAACTCCAGAACTCCACTGTAACAAGACAAAAGCAGCTGCCTCCCTACTTCCGAACTTTGCAGGATAGAGATTTTTACATCTCTAGAGTCATTCAATAAGAACTGATCTCTTAAAAAGGGAGAGCCAGCAGCAAACACAATTTTATGCCCATGAACTTCAACATCGTCTATATGGACGACAACATCACAAAATTTGTTTTCTTCTCTCAGTTTGTTCATTTTCTGCAACATCGAATCGCCGTAATTATCAAACTTGAAGTGAAGAATATCTGATCTTTCTGACATTTTGGCACACCTAAAGGAAAGCAGCAAGGAAAAAAAAAACAAAACAAGTGAGAATGCTTTGTATTGTTTCCAGAACACAAATTAGAAAAGTCTGTGTTACACATTGCCCTGCAGTACCTTTAAAAAATACCAATGCAGTTTGATTACTAAATAGAAACAAGGACAGATATTCTCTTGAAGCAGTGTTCTAAAGAGTTACAATGTTTTCCACATTACTTGTGGAATTTAAAGGGAAATCACGGAAGTATTTTAACAGTCTTAGCAGTTGTACAGTTTTGCTTCCACATTAAAATTCTTCATAGATTTTTGTCTTCTCCAAATACAATGACAACCCTTCAGCATTTGGGTTCTCTGTTTACTTTCATGTTAAAGAGCTTTCAGAACACATGAATGCAAGGCGAGATAGAACCCAGCATCTGCAAGACACAGAAAATTCCCTCTTGCACATGTAACATGTTACTTTAAAAACATGCCCAAGAATAATGGTTACAGCTCCTCTAAGACACTCCATGATTTGCACAAATATTGATATAGGACAAATTGTTTTGCTGCAAACACTTCTAAGTGCAATTAACCTATCTTAGCAGAAAGGACTACACAAGCTTTCCAGTATCAGCAGCACTGGATTTAAGTCCTACATTGCCTTGAAGTTGTTTTGTGTGTGTGCACATGAAGAGGAGCAGGTGGTCTGTCCTGTGTTTTTTTTTAAAAGGATCTAAGAAAAAATCTTCCATATAACCCCACATTCTATAAATCATGCTTCCCAGGCTCCCTGATTTGAGTATGTGGGGAATGTAGGAAGTCTTGTTTCTTGCATTCTTTGAAAGACCACTCCTCTAGGAATTTTGTTCTCCTATTTAGAATGAAAAACAGTGGGTATTCTACAAGACAGATATCAATGTGTTATCTTGCAACAGTTCTCTTAAGAGTTTATAAGGCTACACTGATTCTTGATGAAACACTTCACATAATACTGACACAGAACTGTGATTGCAGGAAATTAAGAAATCAGAGAAATTAACCAAATGATGCAAGGTTTGGTGAGATGCTATAGCAAGACAACCCCAAAGTTACACCTCAGAATTATTACAAAGACCACATTGAGCTGGAAAGGAAGCTTTTAAGTTCATAGATAAAAGCAGATACTGCTCTCTTGGGGCATGAAATTTTAGCTCAATGTACACAAGAGGAAACGGAGTTGTGCCTCGTGCAAGTGAACGAATACACAAGACAAGGGTTCCAGGAGGAACATTTTCAGCAGTATCTGCTGACAGACTGAGTTGTTCCAATGTTCTGACGATACCATTTTGAGACGTGCACCACATACAGCTACCAGCGTGCGACGTACAGAAAAAGCAAACTATTGAAATCCGGTTGTGCAACTACGGACTGAACATTCACAGAGGGCGGCAGCGTCGGCAGCACAACCGACTTTGTTACACCTACAGACCGTGAAGCCGCACGTCTGAGTCGCCCCGAGTCCAGTGCGGTCTGACACGCTTCATCTCCGGGGCAACGAAAGCCACCGTTGGGAAGCAAAAGTCTCCGCCGCGCCGCGAGCGAACGCGCAAAGAGAAAAGCGACTCGCCTTCACGCACGTTAAGCTGCCGCTAAGGACGCCAAGGACCAAGCAACAAACGAGGCACCTCCCGCAGCCCAAGCCGGGACCCGGCGGAGCGCAGCCGCCTCGTCGCCGTGAACCCCTCCGGAACCGCTGAGCCGCTCACGTCGCGGTGCCGCCCGCCGACCCCCAACCCCACCGCCGCGCCCGGAGGAAAGGGCCGCGTACCTGGAGCGCCGGGCCGCGTCACCCCGCCGGCACCCACTGCCGCTGCCCCCGGCTACGGACCTAGAGAGGGGAGGAGAGCCGCCGTGAGCCGCCGCCCGGGGCTGGCACCGCGCCGCCCCGGACCGGCCGTCGGCCGCGCCCCCCGGGCGGCCCCGCGCCCCACCGCGCTCCCGGCCGGGCCCGGCCGCCCTCCGGAGGCGGCCCGCGGCGGAGGTGGCGGCGGCGGCGGGGGGGGCGGGAGCCGCGCCCCGCTCCGGGCCCCGCTCCGGGGCCGCGCCCCGCGCCCCGCGCGCCCTCCGGGACCTACGGCTGCCGCCAGCGCCCGCGACGGCGACTCGGAACCGCATTGTTCGGCCGCCGGAAGCGCTCCCGCGCCCTCCGCCCCGCACCCGGAAGCGCCTCGCGGGGCACCCGCCCCCTCCGCCCGGTCACGTGGTGGGCGGCAGCGGCGGCCCAGGCCCGGCACCGGGAGGCGGCGGCGGCGGCGGCGGCCGGGGTAGGTGGGGTCGCGCCGCCGGCCGGGGCTCCGCACCCCGCGCACCCTCCCTCGGGCCGCCCCCCCGCCGCCGGCCCTCACTCCCTCCCCGGTACCGGTCCGCGCGCGGTGCCGCCCCGCCGTTCCTCGCCTCTCATCGGTGGGAGAGGGGTGGCGGCCTCCCGCGGCTCGCCCTCTTCTCCGTCTCTGCCGCTGCGGTTTCCGGGCCCCCTCGGGCGCTGGCCGCGCCGTGCCCGGGGCGGAGCCCTCCTGCCGGGCGCTGCCCTCAGCCGGGCCCGGGCCGGAGGAGGCCGCGTCGCTCCCCGCGACCCGCGGTGTTCCGGGGCCCCCCGCGTGTCCGCTGCCCCCGATCCGCGGCCTCTGGCGGTTCCCGGGCGGGTCCCTATCCGCCGCGCTCCGTCGTCTCCAGAGCTCCTTTTCCGCCCTGTGTGCCGCAGCGGCGGCGGTTCGTTCGGGTTTTCCCTTCTTTTTGGCAAGTACGTGCCGGAGCCCGGCGGGTCAGTGCCAAGGGCCGCGGCGGGTTGGGGCGAAACGAAGCGTAAATAAACGGACCGCATGCGGTCGGGTTAAAAATCCGTATTGGCAGCGATGAAGCGAGAGTGGAACCGGTGAAAATAACATTTGTGGGCTTTCTCTGCTCGGGTTGTTTGCGGGGAGGAGGGGAGGAAGACAAGAGAGAAGTTTGGGAGAGAAAGGAGAAATTGCGTTTATTGCTAAAACACAAACTGGGAACCGAGTAATGAATGCATGGTTGTGCTGCTACGTGCAGCTGGGGCTGTGCTCCCGAACTCCTTCTCTTGCAGGGGTTTGTATATGATATGTGACATTCTTGTCTACTTTGTTTGAAAAAGAATGCCTGACAGCAGTGGGCACATCAGAAAAGCTGTTGTTTTACTTTTACAGGCTGCTACTGAGCGTAGAAAGGTCAAGGACCTGAGCAGGTTTCATTCTTTGTACGCGGAAAGCACGTTAACAAATTGAGCCTGGCGTAGGGCTTTCCTTTGCTTTCCAACTGCAAGGGCGGGCAGCTTCTAGCAGCATGTATTGCATGGAACCTGTTGGGTTTTTTTTAGCTCTCACAGCATGTTCCTAAAGTGCAATGTGTGTCTGGTGAGTGGAGCGCTGCGTTCACATCAGTCCTGATGAGAGAGGTGCAGAGGGACTCGGAGCATTGTCTGCTGGCTGGGTGCCCCTGCCCCATGCTGTCCTGCACGTGGCTGTGCCCGGTGCTGGCAGGGCGTGCATGGGGCACTACTGGGCAGCTCCCCCACTCTGCTCTGGGCCGGGCTGCCTGAGGCAGCAGCTGTGTTTCTTCTGTGTGCTGTGGTTCCCAGGGCCTGCACTTCGTTTCTGGGACTGGAGGACCCGCTTGGTACGAGAGCCTAAAGTTAGAGTTCTCTCATCTGAGTTCAAATTAAGGTTAAAAGCAAAATTACAACTCTGCTAAGGAGTGTTAACAAGGATTGTGTTAGCTGAACTCCTGTGTGCTGTCTGATTCCTGGCTTTGCATGAAATGGGCAATGATTCTGGCAGCCCCTGCAATCTATGCTTCTCAATGCCCACGGGGCAGTGGGGCTGTATGCTGAGGCAGTGCTACCCCCTGGTAGTGTCTGTCTCTTGAGCTTCATGGGAACCTCTGTGGCTGTCGGAGGCTTTTAAAATGCTCATAAAATTTAGCGTTGTTGCTATTTGTATGTTGTTTGCTCTCATTAATCATCCAGAACCTTTATTTTCACATGCAGTATTCCAGTGGTTTTATTGCTTCATTCTGCTTCTCATTGCCTTTGAGAATGTTTTGCACAGGGAAGGCGAGGCTGTAGTTGTTTCCTTGAAGGAGTGGTGGGTGAAGATCAAACATAGGGTTATGCAGGCTAAGCATGTGATACGTGAGAAGAAGAAGGCTGCTGGTGATTGATCTTCCTTGCATGTCTTTTTCCCACAGCTGCAATAGAATACTGCTGCAGGTATATGCTCAGAAGAATTCAAACCACAGCTCCTTTTCCACATCTCTCAGTGTGACACCAGTTTTGTTCTAACAATTTCTTGCTCTGCTCAGACAGAAAATCTGGGCAGCTGCCTGTCAGACAGCTTTAGCACTGTGCTTTAGCACTTACCAGGCTTTTTTTCAGACTCATTGCACATTTATAAAGCAATAAATGTGCATTATTTGAAACTGAGGGGGGGGAAAATTATCACAGGTGTCAAAGCCCATAAAGAGCCAGGGATCCTAAAGAATGGTGCCTTATTTGTCATAAACCAGCTTTGGGCAGTCCTTCATAAAGCTTCTGAACTCCTCTACAAATTCCACCTCTCGCCCTGACTGAATCCAGGGAAGGAGAACTTCTGCTTATGTTGGGCTGTGGTTGTTGTTGAGTTCTGTTACAGCAGAGAAATAGAACCAGAGATGATGTTACTTTCAGTGATGAATTTATATGCAGTCAGTCCCCTCAGTGTCCTGGCTGCGTGCTACCTCCTGTATTTCATGATTTTCAACACTGTATGCAGTGCATTTCTGTTATTTTTAGGGGTAGAGGATATAGGTTTGTTCTGCATGCCAGGCTTTTTAACTTTGTTGTTTAAATAATTTTGTTTTCAATAATTTAAATCACATTACTGTATCATTCCTCTTTACCTGGTGCATCCCTCAGCCATGCTGTGCTTTGTGCAATTGCTGTAGGAACTGCTTCAGAAATGTAAAAGCTGAAAGGGTTCTGGATGAGAAAAGATGACCTTTTCCCTCTAGTTTTGCTCAGTTATGTTTATTCTCACTTCTGCCCTGAAAACTCCAGGGTTTTTTTGTTTGTTTGTTTTATAATTGAGTTCACCTCTAAATTCAGTGCTACTTCTGGTGCTGATGTGAGGCTAACTGCTGTTCTAAGCAGCTGGAGGAGTTCACAGCTGAAACCTTGTTTTCTTTTGCTTTCCTTCTGGCATGTTGTGTTACTCTGGCCATTGTAAATACTGCAAACCAGTTGGCCTTTGGAAGTGGGGTAAAGCAGCCCTGGTTGTGTGTGATTTGCTTCCCTTGCTGCAATGTCACAAGGTTTCAGTAGTTTCGCAGTAATACAAGATGGAAGATTTTATTTGTTATATTCTATTTGCTTTAACCTCTTTTAAATTTATTCTGACTGTACTTACAAGGAAAGTTTTGCTTGCAAGTTGCAGATCAGTCGCCAAATTCTTAGGAAAGGGTAGGAGGGTAAAAGATCTAGTTTAGGGGCATGGTAGGGATGGTTGGTGGTTGGTGACTTGAGAGGTCTTTTCCAACCTTAATGGTTCTGTGATTCCAAAGGACAAATGTTTCTTAAATCCATTGAACCACTTTTGAACTGTGATGGGTTTGTCTTCCAGTTATGTGAGGTCTTAGCATGGCACGTGGTGTCTGTGGTCTTAGATTGACATTTTCTTAAATAGCCAGAGCAAGGAGGCTGCTACAGCTGGGTGGTTGCTTAAGAGATAAGCAAGAATACTTTTTAAATATAGTTTGGCTCTTGGATTTGCAATGTAATGTGTAACAAGTGCAAGCATAGAGTGAAGAAGAATCCTTCTGAGAATTAGAAATTTAAACAAAACTGAAAGCAGTGACTCAGGAGCCAGCAATATTGCAGTCCTCATTTACAGCTTTTTCCAATGGTCTGTTGTGAGGGGAGAGGCCAGGAAACCTATTTAATTAGATAAGCAGAGAAGTTAATAAAAGTTTGCCTCTCAGTATGCGTTGTGCCCCAGCATCTGTCTCCCATGGAGGTGTAAAGGCACCTTCAGGCAAATGCATTACTGCGGTGTAGTTGTGTGTCAGGGACAAAACGTGTGAAAGCTCGTATTTTATTTGCATTGAAACAAAGTGGGCTGAGATGTTGGCTTCTTCAGAGAAACCTTAAAACTCAAGCTCAGCCCATGGCCGGGTCCTTTCTCCCAGTTCCCCATGCTGTAAGAACAGACATTTCGGTTCTTGGGATGGCTGCGGGCAGTGCTGTGCTGTGCTGTGCTGTGTTGTCCCTGCTGCTGCTGTTCTCTTTTTGATTTCAGAGGAGCCATGAGGCTGCTCGACGTCATTGCTCTGCTGGGCTTTGATGTTCATCCTTCTGCACCAGCGTGTGCTTTAATGAGCTCAGAGCTTTCTGCAGTGGGTTTTGCCATTGTGAGTTTTCAGTTCAGGTAGAGGGATCTGTGAGGCAATCTGCCTGAAAGAGTGGTACGAAGCAGTAGGGGAAGTGAAGTGCATGGGAAGCAAAGTAAGGGAATATGGAAATTCTCACTGACTTCAGAAGATATTTTAGTGTTTTTAGTATTTTAAGGCAGTGCTTTTGCAACTGAACCATTTGGGCGTTAATCTCATCCCCTGTTCCTGGTTCCAGAGGTATTGGGCAATGTGGTGCATCACTAATAAACAAAAGCTTCTTGCAGTACTCTCCCCTTTCCTGTGCTTTCTTATCTTGTGCAATATCAGTGAGAGTTCTGCTCAGTGTAAAGTTGATGAAGTTGGGCTAACTGGGACCTTCTGCTGTTGCAATTCTGTGTTGAGAAACTGCTGCAGGGTTGGGCTGAGCAGTGGTGCCCCTGCATGTGTGTGTGCCGTTTGCAGCACGCTGCCACAAGGAGCGTACAAAAAGGCAGCGTAATTTTCCTGTAATTGAAGTTAATGCTGGTGAAAGGTGTTGGATTGAAAGAGCTTGGAAATTGGTGAAATTGACACTTCAAGATGGGCAGTATGGCACGATAAATGGCTGACTTGATCCTCACCTGGTGATCTTTGCAGCTCGGTGTGAGCAAAAGCAGCTCTTCTGCTTGTGCTGCCTTTGTGTGGCAGATGAGTTTGCACCGTTTGTATGAAAATAATGCAGCTGAGGGGATTTGCAAATGGTTGAAGCTTACTTATATTGTGTTTCAGTATATTGATTTCACTTATTTTCAGATTCTCTGTAGATGATGCAGTTCTTTAAAAATTAGACAGTGCCAACTTTAAAAATGAGAGCTTGCCCCACTTTTAAGGTATCTGCACCTTGTGTCAGATGGCTGCATGCAGTGGTGAAACTTTTAAAACTGCCTACATTTCTCAGCCAGTGATTGTCACTGAAAGTCAGTGCATCTTTCCAAAAAGGATATGTAAATATTATACACACTTTTGAATGTGAAAGCTGGCGATCACAGGTATGTGTCAGTAACAGCCCACATCCATTATCATACGCACTGCTTCTGTTGTCCAGTGTAAGGTCATTCAGGACCGTGAAGGGACTCAATTCTGAGTGATCAGGTTAAAAATAACACAGAGGAAAAAAAGTGTTGTCATCCTGGCAGATGTTCAAGTCATGTTGGTGTCTGCGGAGAGGGAGAAGGGTATTGATAGAAATAAAAGCAGGCTTTGCTATTTTCAGATGCTTTGTTCTTGGTTCAGAGAGGAATGTGATGAGCTGTGCTGGACATACCAGCTCACTGCGCTTGGCTGCTCTGCTGCTCCCAGGTTGGGACTGTGGTCCTCCGAGAGGAAGGCAGAGCTTGGGTGGAAAAGGTGCTTGGGTTTGGGTGTGCTTGGGATTATGTAAAGCCCCAAGCCGTTGCAATAAGGGTGTGATTGGGTTTCTGGGAAATTTGATCAGCCGTTTTTATTGCAACAGTCTGTTTTGAGCCATTGATTCTGAGAATCTGTGTTGTAGAGTTCAAGGTGTGCAGCTGAACTTCACCTTTTGTTCTTTTCTTCAAATATCGCTGTGCCAGTTCTAGCATTTTAAAATCCTCTTTTGGCTCTGATTCTCAGTACTGATCCAGCCCACGCTGTTCTTCCTGCTTCTTGGAATCTTTTATTGTTCCTTACAGTACAGAAGATTCAACGTAGGCTCACAGAGCACTGTATGTCCCACGGTTCTAGAGCATCTTTAGTGCAAAATACCAAGAGTTGGCTCTAGCTCTTTTCTGGGAGCTCGGAATGTGGCTGCAGTGTGCTCCAGTAGCTACAGAAATTGTTGTGTGTTTTTTTTGTGTGTGTGAGCACAGAGGAAGGGAGACAGATTATCTGAAGAAAGGAAATGGACCTTATAGTTCTGGCCTTAAGACGAGCCCCTTGTCACCGCGTGTAGCAGATGCTCCAAGGGCCCATTTCTGCTGAGTGGAGCAGTGTGTGATACGATCATGAAATCTGCAAAAAGGTGCTTTAACTTCCCGTCTGTGAGCTATGGAAGCCTGTGATCTAATAGTAGTGTGCTTCTTAGCAAAATCAAAGCAGGACCATTAGTGTACACGGACAGAAGAGCTGTGACTTGGTTATGCAGTCAGATGTTATGTTTCTTTTTTTTTTTTAACTAGTCCGCAGGTTTCTGAAGAGAAACATTTGAGCATTTTAGCATGAAGTTTATATAAGTATTTTTATGATTTTTGTTTTTCAGGAGTTTATAAAATATTTAATCTCATTCATGAGTCGAACTTCCTTTTTAAGTCATGGATGACAAGGCTTCTGTTGGAAAAATCAGTGTCTCTTCAGACTCGGTATCCACTCTTAACAGTGAAGATTTTGTCTTGGTTTCCAGGCAAGGGGATGAAACACCATCTACAAATAATGGTAGTGATGATGAAAAAACAGGACTGAAGGTAAGAATTAATAACCTGAGTTTGTTCACTATTCTTCTAATTCAAACTAACCATCGAAGAGCTTAAAGAGGGACTTCTTTATTGTGGAAAACTTAACAGAAAGGAGAACTTATTCAAGAACTGATTTTGCCAGTAGTTTCTACGTTACTTTGCTGATGTCAAGGTTTTGTGTAAGAGCTTTATCCATCACTACCTGTGGGTTGTTTTCTTTCCCACTTAACTTAATCCTTTATGAAGTCTTCAGTATGAAACAGAACTTGAAACTGGTTTCCTCACAGCTTTTGGGTAGAAAGCAACATTAACACACATTTGATTTGAACGTATTTTTAAATTCAATTATGCATGAAAGTTTTCCCCAATGTGAAACATTCTCTTTAAGAAATGTAAAAGTAGTTATAACTAACAACTTAGCATGAATCTGAGAATACAGGCTTACGTGGGTAGGCTTCTGTGAATTGGAAGGGCATTGACATCTTCTCGCTTTTAGAAGGATGTTTCTGGACAGAGACCTTCATCGCTTCTTTTTCTTTTTTTCAGCTACTTAAGGGAAATCTTCCATCCCAATATATATTTCACAAGTCCTTAAGCAAAGTGACACTGATGAGGTGTTCACTCAGAATTCTGTCTTTTTGATGTGTTAAGGCTGAACATTTCCTGTAGTGTTTCAGGTTGGTGTGTTCTTGGTGGGAGATGGAAAGACCTATTCAACTGCTGCAAGAGTCTACAGTCATTCACATCTATGTCTTTAAGATAATGTCTTTAAAGACAGTAAGGAATTGTGTTCCATCTGGTGCACTGGGTATTCCTCTTTTCCGTAGCAGCAGTTGGTGCAGAGACTTTATTGAGTATTTCTTGATGCCTTTGCTCATCTTTTACTTCCAACTGCTTTCTTTGTTCTTCTTGCATGGATTTGAGTCCCGCACAGTTTAGGCTGGTGTAGTGGCTGTTTTCCTTTATAAAAGACTTCTGGTTAATTCTGTATCTTAAGTCTCAAGATCTTTTGTTTAATCTGGCAAAAATGTTCACTTACAATTTATTGCGGTTGCAGAATTTTGTATCTTCACCTCATACATGGATAGTCTGCAAAAATTTGGAATTTCTTCAGTAATCAGCATGATGTTCTGTAAAACTTGCTTAAAGACTGCAACCTGACACGAGTCTGTAACCTCGTGGTAGGTGCTGCATACACCAGCAGCTATAAATACTTCAGAGTGCAGTATGGTTTCCATCCATAGTGGTCCTTTCCTTGAGAATGCCTATGCAGTAATGTAAGTGATTTACCTCACAAAGTCACAGGGCTTCATTTGAGACCCCAGGCGACGTTCACGGTCTACCAGATTTTTCATTCCATGTTGTTATTCCCAAACAAAGTTTGGACATGCAAAATGCCGTAGTCTGCAACAGCTCTCACTCCACAAGAGAGATATTTGTATTGCTTGTCTAAACGCTGCCTTACAGTGGCTTTCCTGGTTTGTTAGTATGATAGGATGCATCTTGTTGAGTACAATCAAAGCGTTAAAGGGACATGTGCATGAAGTTATCTGCATAAGAATTAGAAGAATTTCAGAGAAGAATATCTGCAATCAATTTCAGTCTGACACCTGAAACTTCCTACTGGACTTTTCTGTGTATGTTTGCTTCCAAAGCAGTTTATAAAAGACTAGCTGCAGGTGTGCTCAGCCACTTGGTGAGGAAAGGAGAGCATTAGCGCAGCTGCTTCCCAATAATTAACAATAGCACAGGAAAGTTGTGCTGTTCCCTGGCTTGGTGCTAAATGTCACAGGGTTTTGCAGGTCTTAAAGATAAGCTTCTTTTTGAATTTGGTGCCAGGACTGAGCACAATCTCTGAACCAAGCAATTCACCTTGAGCCTTTCCATTTCCCAGCGTCTGAGCGTACATACTGCTCCATTGCTGGCTGTAAACTATGTGATTAATGGAAATGTTATGCCTCAGATAAGCAGTCAGTGCTCAGTTTAAGTTCTGTCAATAGGAAAATTCCTGTGTTCATCTCCTTCCTTCTGCTTAAGGCTAGGAAGACCTTTCAGTGTGCCTTCAGGTCAGAAATAGTATTCTAGTGTTTTTCTACTAGAGTATAAAAACACTACTCCAGAATATAGCTTTCTTCTTTATCCTTTTTTCAGTCTTCAAATAGCCTTTCGGTAGACAGTTTTACTGTGTTATTGAACTGCTTATCTGTGTTAACAGATAAATGGAGTTCTCAAGGTTGTCAAAGTACTGAATGTTAAAAGTACTGTCGCAGTGATACCTGAGCATTATGAGTGTGTGGAAACAACATAACTACAAAATGAGAGCTGAAGTTAGGCATTTCATAGGAACAAACAAGGAGGAAGGGTTTTTAAAGGAGGAAACAATTGCTTTGATATATGTAACAAGGTTGAATTGCAGATGTCAAAATCCATTTGCTACAATGAGCCCACCAAGAGAAACAGAGAGTAAGTATAGATTTGTGTTTGAGCACAAGTCTTTCTCTGGTGCTCTGTTTCTTTAGAAAAGCAGTTTGAGGATCCTACATTTGCTAAATGCAGTCTGATGATGGTGCTAGAATCTAGGCTTGTGTTTGCAGAATGCGATAGGCTGTTGAATTTGTAGATCAAACCTAAGCCTTGTATTGCAAGTCCTTTACTAAGTTAGAGATCTGTATAATAGTGCTGTGAACTGAACTGATGCACAGCAGAGTCCAGGAGCACGTGAGTGAGGAGAAGGCAGTAACCAACACTTCTAATAAATGCTTTGTGGCACTGTAAAGAAACCTTTGAAGGAGGCAATGTGCTGTGTGAAAGCTAAGGTCAAGTTAGTTTGCAGTGTTGTGAGAAATAGAGAAACCATCAACCAGGCTAAATGGTTTCTGTCTTCCATCTTAAGCAGACCTACATGAGCGTACATTTTAGAGCCACACTGCTTATTCATTGCTGCCATTAGCTCTGCTCCACTCCTCTGTGCTGCCTCTTATTGGCTTGGGGGTGCAGCAGAGTTTCAAACAAGTTTACACCTCGTGTTTGCTCTTCCCACGGTGCGTGAATTTATGGGTTTGTGCAAGACTGGCTGAGGTGAAGTTGGCCTTTGTTCATATTTTAGGTCTTATTTCTTGGGCAGCTGGTTTGTTGCTGTTGATTCTTGGGATTATGAGAACAACAGAAATCCTCAGTCCAAAAGTGTATTTGATGTTGCTTTCAGACTTCTTTTGGTGGGTAGCATGGCTTCAGATCTTGGAACGTTTACTAGGAAGATTCTATTCTGCGGGCTGTTGTTCTTTGCTGATGCTGTGGACTTCACCTCTATGTTTTTATGCTATACAGTGGAATAGTTGAATCGAGACTTTCCTCAATTCTTAAAATACATGGAAGCAGGCGTTGGCTTTGCTTTTCTTTACATGAATCTTATATGTTAAGTTGAATCAGTGCAGTGCTTCAAAGCTGTGTTCTGCTGCTCATACATTTCATTACATTCCATGTAAATCTTCCTTGTCTTTTTTCTTCCTTTTGTGCCTTTTTACTATGATGCTGTAAACAGCTTGAGCTTCTGCTTTACCCGTTCCTGCTATTGTTAGGAGCTTTTATTTTCAAGGTCATGTTTTATAGGGTGGAATATAGATGTAATTTATTAATATAAACTGTTGTACCAAACAAAATAGCTTGGTGTTTGGAGTTGTTTGTCTTGTAATCCTGGGCATGAGATGCTGGTTTGTGCCAGAATCCGTAGTATATGGTTCCTGTAAAAACAGAAGTTACTTTAGTATTTCAAATACATGGGCTTTAATGGGGCAGGTAGGATGTTTTCATTGATCTGTCATGTTTTGTTGTGAAACACATAAATTATGTACAGTGGAACAGTGTGGCATATCTTCTTCCATCATCATCTTTTGGAGGAACGTCTGCATAAACCTGGATAATAAACTTGATGCTTAAAGGGATTATGTCTTTGGCCACATGCTTGTGAAAGATTCTTTTAATTGCTTCTATAATGAATCATCAGAAAGAATATTAACATTGGATGAAAATTTCACACCACTTTGGCTGCTGCATGCTTTCCTGTTGGCTTCATTGAGTACAAGGTCAGGCTGAAGATGAGTGTTAGGAAGTGAACATGACTTCTTGTCTGCATGATGTCATAATCCTATTCCAGATTCTTCTCTTCCTGTGAAACCATGCGATTTTACCCATGAGCCACTTAGCATATTTAATTCTATTTGGTCTTCCTGGTACCATTTTGAGAATTAAAATAGACCACTGTAGTGGGTTCTTGTCTAAGTTTCCTCTGCCATAAGCCAACCTTTGTAGCCAGTGACTACAGGCTAGTTGAAAGTAATCTCACTTTTTCCTAGGAAATTCCTACTTCCAGCTCCATTTGTTAGTTTGTTAAAGCAGGGTAGATAGAATCTGATCTGGTCAGCATTTGCATGTTGCAGGTTGTGTTTATGGCCGTAACAGTGTTTAACTTGTTAACTGCTGTTTCCCGTGGTGGAGCAGCTGGTGAATGACCCTGTGTCTGGGAGGTGGTTGTTTGGTGGGGTGGCTTTTTTTTGTTTTGTTTTAATTTTTTGTTTTTAATTGAATGGTCTTTTGTGTCCCAACTCTGTGGCTCTTAGATTGTTGGGAATGGAAGCGAACAGCAGCTGCAGAGGGAACTTGAAGACGTGCTGATGGATCCACCTATGGAAGATCAGCCAATTGACCGAGACCATGGTGATGAAGTTAGGACTGATGGTGATGGGGAAGAACCTGTTGTCCTTGAAGCTTCAGCATCTTCTACCATTAACCCAGTGTCGGTGGCAGGACTCCAGAAACCAGAAATGAGTTTGCCAGTGAAACCATCCCAGGGAGGTTAGAAAAAAATGGGGAATACCTGGTGGTATCTTCTGAAATAGCTTTATCTGGGGAAAGACAAGAGAGTTTTAGGTACAGGTGTGCCCAACTGTCCCTGTTTGTCATTAAAATCACCTAACGTGGGTTGGGTGATTCAAGAGTTACCATTTGCTGAACCATTTTCTTCTCTGAAAACACTTTCTGTACGAGCCTTGTGCAGAAATATTGCGATTATTGTATAAAAAATTCAACTATTTAGCTTGTCTGTACATCTTACTACTGCATGGAAAGTTGGTGCACTAGTATCACAAAGCTCTCTGAGTGAACTCACTGATTGTAGAATTTGGATGGCAGTGTTCTCTGCTGTCAGTAACTTGCTTTCAGGCAGGGTTTATCTGAACTGTTTTGGTTTGGTCTGTCTTTCTGTAATGTGTTTCTTAGTTGCTTTTTACATGCAGTTGGTCAACCTCTGACAATTTTCTTACGTATGCCTTGTCTTTCTTCTTATGTTCAACTTTATGTCTTACCTTAGACTGTGGGGATTTGAGCCCTTTTACACCTGTGACTGATGAGGACAGTGTGGTGTTTAGCAAGCTCACCTACTTAGGCTGTGCCTCTGTGAATGCTCCCCGGAGTGAAGTGGAAGCCCTCAGAATGATGTGCATCCTACGAAGCCAGTGCCAGATTTCTCTGGATGTGACTCTGTCAGTGCCTAATGTCTCTGAAGGAACAGTGAGGTACGAAGCTCATTCAGTTGCACTCTGGCTTTGTCCATTTGGTATTATTATCTTCCAGCAAAGGAAATAAGTTACTGTTTTCTCTGGGAGAAGTCTTGAGCAACTTAGGATTTCATTTAACAGAAAACGAGGATTTTAAAGAGATTTGTGAAAAATGGGGCTTCAGATTTTTTTAACCAATATTTGATGCCTAAGGGGTCAGTAGGGTCAGTATGAAAAATAGTCATGACCCAGGGTGCCACAAAAGCCCAGAGAAGGTGGGGGTGATTATTGATGAAACGCTTTGGAAATAGCTTGGAAAATACTTGGCTTGTAAGGCAGGATAGCTGCTGGTACACAAGGCTTAGCAGGGATGAGGCCATTTAGTTTCTGTATGATGTATATTCTCCAGTACTGTTAAATTGTTGAGGCTTGCAAGTTAATAGCTGAAATACTTCTTCTAAAACTGCAGGGTTTCCTTTCTCTCTCTCTTTTTACAGACTTTTAGATCCTCAGACGAACACAGAAATAGCAAATTACCCAATCTATAAAATCCTTTTCTGTGTACGAGGGCATGATGGGACCCCAGAATGTGATTGCTTTGCTTTCACTGAAAGCCACTACAATGCAGAACTCTTCAGGATTCATGTCTTCCGATGCGAGATCCAAGAGGCTGTAAGTTGAATCTTTTTGTCAAGTAATTATGTAAACGTAGAAGTTATTTCCAAGATAGAGCAGAATTATATCAGGTACTTTAGAAGTAATACAATTCATTACCTTTTGTACCTCAGATGTGAAATGAGAACATGTTTAATGTTCTGTCCTTCTAAGAAATGTAGGAAAAGTTAATTAGACCTACAGCAGCTACAAGCACTTTTATACAGTCATTTCTTATTGTGTTAATAAGTGAAAATTCAGATCGGTTTTCAGCTGCTAAATTCTGTTCACTTCAATGTTTCTGAACTTTCTTTGTCGCTGTGTGAATGCAGGTGAGCCGAATACTGTACAGCTTTGCCACTGCCTTTCGTCGTTCCGCCAAACAAACTCCACTCTCAGCCATTGCCACCCCACAGACTCCAGACAGTGATATTTTCACCTTCTCTGTGTCACTGGAAATCAAAGAAGATGATGGAAAAGGTTATTTCAGGTATAGGTCCTTCATTCTTGTGCATACAGCGTCTGTTTCTCTTAAAGTGAGAGGAAAGTGAGGGAACGGGTGTGCTAGAAGTTTTCTGTGTTGTGCTCAGCCTATGTGCAGTGCCCTGAGATGTTTAATGCAGCCATTTATAGTCTCCTGTAATTGCTGAAGTGTCTTTATTTCAGCGTGGCATGTCTGCCAAATGTTCTGACTTGTTGAGCCAAATATTCTGACTTGGCTCCCAGCCACAGCTTTAGCAGCGTTTCTTTTCTTGGGTTTGCATCTAGCTCAAGCTTTATTTATTAAATAAATAAATAAATCACATCTAATAATCCAATATTTATTCAGCACCTTGCATTGTAGACGGTCCAAAGGACTGCTCAAGGGCTAGCAGCTGAAAAATGATTAGCTCAGAGCCCGAGCATGAAAGATACTGATGGTTCTTGGGCTCAGATGCAGCAGCAGCAATTGCCAGGATGTGTAACTACAGCACATGGTGGTGCACTAGGTGATGCTCAGTCCTGCTGGCATGGTACCAATGTTGGTGTAGCCACCATAGTGCAGGTAGTGTAGAGCCATCCCAGCAAAGTAGAATCCTACCTACTTTGGGTGTGCTGTGCAGGTTTTAATTCAAATAGCTGGCTTTAGAGGTTTGACACTAATTCTTGTATGATCTCTGAAGTTCAGACCTGTACTTAGTATACTTATAGTAGAAATTAAAATAACTCTTAGAAAGATTTCTAAAAGAAACAGTTTGCCTCCCTTGTGAAAGAAGAAAGTGATACACTGCTTTGTGCAAGTAGTAACATGCAATTGCTGTCTGTTAAGTAATATGAGGAATCAGTATTTAGAAACTTTCTTAAAATGCTGCTGGAAATCCCACGAGAATGCCTGATGATGCTTTTGATACATGTAAAGAATACAGATAAATGATGTTCTGAGTATTTTTTTCCCTTTCTGGTAAATAACAGTGCAGTTCCCAAAGACAAGGACAGGCAGTGCTTTAAACTCCGCCAAGGAATCGATAAGAAGATAGTGATTTATGTCCAACAGACAACTAATAAGGAGCTTGCTATTGAGAGGTAATCATATAAATTAAAAAAGTATATATATCTTTATTTGATGTCTTGTGCTCTTTCTTCCGAGGCAGCAGTTTAATAACATTTTATGAATACTCTGTTTATGTAACTTAATTCCATGCCTGTGAGTTGAGTGAAACTGTGCAGAAGATGTGGTTGGTTTGTTCAGCATGTGTGTAATGGGGACACAATGCAGGCAGAGTGAATTCTTGCACAGATCTGCTTGTTTAGCCAGTGGTCATATCTCCTCTAACCTGTTCAAAAACATTCCTTTCTTCTTGGTTGCATCTGAGAATATGTCTTGTACATATGCTTTGAATCTGCTGCGGTCTGGAATTCTAGAATATGAAGCACCTTTGTAGGGAAGAGGAGAGTTCAGATTTCAAATCTTTCATTTCGTGGAAATGAAGAGGCAGTTTTTGATGACTGACAGAGTTTAGTGTTTTTTGTAATACAGAGAAAAGATGCAGCTTCTGCCAAACTTTGCAGTCTGACAAAAAGCAGGAACTTCAGGAAGTGTGGTCAACCAGAAGATGAAGTGCAATATAACTCAGTGAGTGGTATTTATGCAAAGTAAAACCATAGAAGACAGTTCCTTGCACTTCATGTGGAATTTCCTGATTCTTATCAGTATCAAAGGTGAAATTCTATGCAAACATGTCTCATACCCACCAACCAACCAAGAAAAGAGAAGAAAAGAGGCACTATTGTCCTACCTGCAGAATAGGGAGCCCTTGTTAGGAGATTGTTTGACACGCAGTTGTCTTTGAAAACAAAAATAATTGAACTGTACAGGCCACTGTAGGCAGGATAAAATGTTAATGTAAATATTCTTGTGAAATTTTGCTTGACATTTTTAACATTGGCTTGACATTGTTTTGGTTGACATGCTTGATACTGGGCTCAAATGTCAAGAATTGTTGACATTTCTTACTGCATTCATGGGCTGCTTGTGGTGTGCGATGGAATATGTACACAATGAATGCTTATGACTTGTTTATAAGTAGTAATTTTTGCAGATTGATTTCTTTTGCCTGACTTTTCAGATGTTTTGGCCTCCTCCTGAGCCGTGGGAAAGATGTTCGGAGTGGTGACATGCACCTTCTAGATTTGGTAAGGGTCTTTTATTAAAATAATTAGTAACTAATTGCTTATGATCTCAGGGTAGACAGAAAAGATTTAGATGCTGAGGCTTGCTTGCTGTGGGTTGTTGCTGTGCACCATACTCTTGAGTGTTGCCCTGGAAAATTGGGTTGAGTTGTTAATTCTGTTTTTATTTTCAGAGGTGATCTCTGTTATAGGATCATGCAAAATGAACTTCATGTGCCCTTTTCTCACCTTTGCTGGAGCTGTTTTATGTAGTGAAGCTCTTGTAATATAGAAATTGCTTTAATTTAAATAAAGATTCATAAGCTTCCTTGTTTCCAGGAGTCGATGGGTAAAAGTTCTGATGGGAAATCATACGTGATCACTGGTAGCTGGAATCAAAAATCTCCACACTTCCAGTTTGTAAATGAAGAAACACCAAAAGGTATGAACCTGGACAGGTTTTATCCTTGGTCAAAGCAGATAATTTATACGGGGAGCATTGGATCAGTTCTCCTTTCTTTAAGATGCATCTTGCACAGACTTTCTTCATAATATGGGATATAATCTCAGAAACAAAACAAGTATAGAAGTCCTACACTTAGGAATAATACCTTCTAGGAGCTGTACAGCTGTGGGGACAAGGTGCAGCCTCATTGTGCTCTGTTAGAGTTTAAGAATCCCATTGGGAATTGCACTGAATGGACTGCTGCAGGCTGCCTCTTCACTTGGTTTCGGTGATCAGTTCAGATTTTTCTGCTTCCAAGTTTTTAATACAAAAAGAAAAAGGATTTTGTACCTATGATAACAACAATGAAATAGTCCAACTGTAATCTGGCAGTAACTGATGCTGCGTTGCTCTGTGGAGTTCTGAAACAGATCTGTCTTTACTTCTGTTAAGATGTCAGCTAACTGATCATCCCTGCAATGTATTATCACAGTTAGCTTCAAAGGTTGGGAAACTCCATGGGAATTGACTGAGCAAAGTCATAAAGTCAGGTGCTGGGTACAGTCTGCTGCTACATTTGACTCCTTTTGGAGAATCGTAGTATGTAGTCAGTGCTCTGAATTCACACAGCTGAGGGGTTCTTAACTGCTGGTTAGTGAGGTAAGACTTGAGGTTTTTTTGTAGGTAGCTCCTAAAAATGCATAAAATATTACTTAGCTAGGTGATAGATGTGCACTGTGGGGTATTTCTCTTATTGTTGCTTGGGGTTTCTCTCTAGATAAAGTACTGTTCATGACTACTGCTGTGGACTTGGTGATAACTGAGGTTCAGGAACCCGTTCGATTCATTCTGGAGACTAAAGTCAGAGTGTGTTCACCTAATGAGAGATTGTTCTGGCCCTTCAGCAAACGTAGCTCTACTGAAAATTTTTTCCTGAAATTAAAACAGGTAACACTTCTTTCTTTTGCTCTTCTTTCACCTGCAGTTAATTTTGATTTGGCAGGGTTGTTTTTCAAAGGTAATCGTGACATGTTTGACCATACCCAGAGGTAGGCTTGTGATGTAATGCAGAATAAATGCACATATGCTGAGGGTAAAGAAAATTATAGTTGCTTTTCTCTGTCAGCCATTCAGAACTTCACTACAGTTGTTTCCCATAGATTGAAATAGGGATTTCACACATGCTCCTGGTTTCTGTAGGAGGAAAAAAATACAGGCAATCACAAATAAATCCCTAGAACTTGTTAAAAACTTTACTGCTTCCTCCAACTTACTTTTTTACCATATCTGCTTAAATGGAAAGAATTATGTCTGTCCAGAATACTTACAGTGACAATAGGAGGCAATAATTTAGTCTGAAAATAAGGCTGGGAAGTTGAAGGTCTGGGTTACTATAGAAATGATGAACGTGAAGGAGCTGCCTGCTTTAGAAATTACTGCTTGAATTGAAAGTCCTGGTTAAAGAAATGGAAAGATACAGAAGCAAACATCATAGTGGATGTATGTGATCTTTCAAGGTTTCGTAATTCTGGTTACAGTTCAAAAAAGCAAGGTTATGTATTATTTTTAAAAGAAGATCTGAATGAGGTAGGATGCTTTTCGGTGGTGGCTTTTATTCCTCATTCACTTGTCTTCAAACACTAACGTATTGTGTACGTATTGGCAATATTTCTTGGTAGTAACAAAGATGAGGTTTGCTAATGATTCTTTTTTGTGTCTCTCCTATCTTTTACTTAAAATATGAACAAACATTTCAGGAACTGTCCTAAATTTCCTTCAAAATTTGTTGAGATCAGTCTGTTTGCTTAGGATATCTTTGAGGTGGAATATGGAGATGTGGAGCAGTTAAGGCTGCTGAGCTATAAATATTTTACTACCTCTAAGAGGCACCTTCTTGTCTTGGTGCTTTAAAGGAAGTTTATCTTGCCAAGCTAATTCTGTATCTTTTGTCTTACTAAATTCACAGGCATTGTGACTTATCTCATCTAATTCTTTTCTTTCCAAAGCACTGTCAGACTGTCCAACTTCCAGTGTTTACTAATGGAAGATTATCAGAATTCATAGTGGAAGCAGCAAATATAGAATGTACTGCCTGATAAGCCTGGAAGGGAAACCTGTTTCTATGGAGCCGTGATTAGCCTATTAAAAATACAGCTGTGTAGAGTTGGCTTATCTTACTTTGGCAGTGTTTCTTTATTCGGAAATGGTGAAAGCAGAGACATTTTCTCAGATTACATTTAGTGATTTAGTAATTTTTAGTTTTGATTCATTTCTCCTCATTTTAAATACTCCAAAGAATAAAACTGAGCATTGGGAGCTTACTGTAGAGTATGATTTTAAATTTTGTTTCTCTCTTTTCTTCATCCTTCCTTTTCTGTTCCCTATTTTTATTGCTTTATGACAAAAAAAAAAAAAAAAAAAAATCAAAATTCTTGGACTGCATTAAAATTTGGAAAACATTTCACAAGGGAAAAACTTTTTAAAGCAAAGGAAGGTGTGAAAGTATTGGAAATTAAGGAGGGAACAGAACCACATAATAAACTTTGGAACCCAACAACTTGTGTGCATGTGTTCTCACAGCAGCGCATGTGCAGAGAGCTGACTTGGAAACATTGCTGAAGACAGTTGACATGGTGGGAAAGTTAAATTAGAATTTCTCCTCTCTCCAGAAGATTGGAGAAATTAGACTTCTTTTGAAAGGTCTGAGATGTGACATTAGGATGGAAGCACTTGCAGGCCTGTGTGATGCGTGCAGTGTTCTGCAGGGGCTGGAGGTCATTCGCTGCAGAATGCGAGTAAAAATGTTTCTTTCTCTGCAGTTGTGTTCCGAAAAGAAGTACAACCTGTACGAAGTAACCTGGAGATCTTAGAGCTTTTTGTGGTATTTTTTTTTCCCGTAGATAAAGCAAAAGGACAGAAAGAATAACTCAGACACATTGTATGAAGTTGTGTGTCTAGAAAGTGAATCGGAGAGGGAGAGAAGAAAAACCACAGCGAGCCCCTCGCTTCGCCTGCCCCAGTCGGGGTCACAGGGCTCAATGATTCCTTCCCCTCCAGAGGATGATGAAGAAGAAGGTAAGGCACAGATTGTGTGCTTTAAATTCTTCAGCAAATGAAAACCAAAAAACCCCAAAAAGAATCCAAAAACCCCGTAGTTGATAAATCTTAGTTATGAAACATGTTGAATTAATTCCAGTCAGAATTTGGCCTACTGCTCATGGTCTTTCGGTTTTTGTTTTATTGTTTCTTTGGTTCTAAATCTTGCTTTAATGCTGTGAGTATTCAGTAACCAGTACCCCTGCATTCCTGGATCGGCCTCTCCCTTGTCTGACACTTCTGTGGTTTGTCTGTGCTGTGCTCTGCCCAGGCCTCACAAAATCTTCAGTGTGGTATATTTGGAACAATGTGAAAAGAGGCTGCTAAAAATTTGGGATTATCATGCAGCTTCTGCCCCTCCCTGAGCAGCTGTGAAAAGACTTGAGAGTGCAAATGAGAAGCTGGTATTTGAAAATGTAAGCAAGCAGTGTGTTTTAGTGAAGAGGAAAGTATAGACATCTGCAATACATAAAACTATACCAGGACTTGTCTGAACCTTAATGCATTTTCAATCTCTCTCTTTTTTTTTTTTTAAAAAAAAAAAAAATCTCTTGAGCTAAAATATGGGCTCTGAGCATCTGGCCTTACAGCTTTGAGCTGAATATAGATGACTTGAGTTTTTGCTTCTTCTGCTGACATTTAATGTGACCTTGAGTGGATTGTTTCACTTCTGTACCTTGCTGTACCTTTATTTAAAAAGCCAACAAAAAACAGATTACTTTCAAATTTAATTCTTTTGCAAAATGTTGTTCGTAAAAAATTCTCCCAGCCTTTGCTATCTAGGAACATACACACATATGTGCATATACATATATATATACATACATGTGTGTGTGTGTGAGGTTTTGTTGTTGTTTACAGTAGATGTAAACTCTTGCATTGCTGACTGTTTCAATTATCAGTTAAGATAGTATTTTTTAATTTAAATAATCTATGCTGTTTCATCAATAATGCAAAGGCAATGTTGACTGCTGTATCAATGAAGCGTATTTTTGTACGTGATGCCTGTTGTGAGCACTTAAAGATATCTGACAGTAAGAAGTTTAGTACTGGTTTAAACAAAAGTTGTGTGATTGTGCTCATCTAAGGCCTTCCTGCTCAGCTCTCCCTCAGCTGAAAGTCTGATTCAGAAAGTTTAGTTTAAGGCAGAGATTGCATCAGAAAATACTGAGATCCAAAGGAGAAGCGCAAAACAAAGTAAAATACTTTGTGGACTTTCATGGATGCTAACAATGTGACAAGCCTGCAATGGTCAGTAGAATCTCATGGCTTCTTTTGTCTTTTCAGCTTGTATAGTGCTTTAGCTTTTTAGATAGGGAAACTTGTGCTCTTTGAGAATTTTTATGAGTTTCCAAAAGTTTGGGATATGATTACTAAGGTCTCTAGTCTTGCCTTAGTGGAAATCCAGCTAGATAGGTTGACCAGAGCCTTGTCCTGTTGTTTCTCACATCATCCAGTGATGCAGCACAGAGCCTCTCTGGCTCTTTGTGTCAGAGCTAGGCCATTTTCATGGAGATTTTTTTTTTTCTGTACTGGTAGCCAGAATTTCACATGTTGCAGCTTGTCTTCTGCATCTTATCACATCTCTGTGCAGCTCTGAGAAGAGACCGCTTCTGGCTCTTCCGTGTTAAGCACACAAACAGTGCATCCACAAATGAGGAATTTCTCTTGCCACGAGCTAATGCAGTTGTAAAGCAGTGTTTGTATGTGCTGTGGTAAGGTAATGTCTGTTGATCTCATAGCATCCCCTCTATTCTGTTGACAGACAATGATGAACCTCTCTTGAGTGGTTCTGGAGATGTTTCCAAGGAGTGTGCAGAAAAAATTCTGGAGACGTGGGGAGAGTTGCTGTCCAAATGGTGAGTGGCAAAATTGCATTCTGAAAATAAACATTCTGAATGCTCTCAGTCTGTTTGCTCCTTCTGTCTGGATTTTTTCTTATTTCCAGAAGCGAGCTGAAATTAGTTTGGGTTTAGTCTTCTTTCATCCCCATAACACCCTGTATTCTCTGGCTTTGGATTTCTTCAGGGAATATTTTTAAGTATTTTCAGTTTTGAGTGTGTATTTAAATACAGCACAGAAATTCTTTTATGCTGCTTCCTTAGGTGATTGTCTCTGAAAATGAGTGTTACATATATGTAAACTTCACTGCAGTTTTGTTACAGAAAAATCTAAGCTAAGTAATAAAAGAAGAGGTGCATTTTCTTGTCTTTATTTGCATAGATCTCTTCCATTCCTCTTTGTAATTCTGATTTATTTCACAGCCATTTTTCCCTGCAGCTGTCATATCTTAGTAACCGCAGCTTAAGAACATGGGAGATTTGTACTTGGATAGCAAAGATGCTTTTCCTCCCTTCTCTGAAGGAAGATGGCTCTAGAGCCTGCCAAGAGGGAAGTACATGAGTTCTATATTTTTTTTCCCTACAAAATGCCAATTTATAAAATGAGTGTCTCTTGACAGTCAAGCTGCTAATGCAACACCTGTTTTCTGTTACTGAAGGTTCCTTTAGTCACCCACCTCCAAGTAGCCTGAGTGATTTTAAGAAACTGGTGTTAATTATTGAAGAATTCAGGGTGGGTTTTTTTTCTCCTTTTTGCAAAGAGAGACGACAAGCACAACATCATATTGAGCTCAAATGTGCCATGTTTCAGCTCTTGCTTTAGTTGTTGCCTTCTGCTACTTAACATAATTGAAGAGCAGGATGAGAGCTGTACAGCAACCAAGGGTCTGACCAAGGGCACTGGATCTAAGGAGTAGGACAGCAGATTAGATAGAGGGGAAGCACTGATGTGACCTCTTAGCCAGGTCTCATCAGTCTTTGAATTAAGGTTATCACAGCTTAGTATTATTTCTTCTGTGCTTGCTTGGTGCTCATTTAGACAGCAGCTGGTTTGTTTTTGCAGTACTGTGTTGGACTTGGTTGATAGGAATGGGTGCAACAGAAATGGACACTCCATAAGAAGGCGGTGGCTGCGCTAAGGTCGTTTTTTTCTTCCCTCTCCTGGACTTACAGAAGCTCCATTAACAGCTGAGCTGTGTTCATTTGTTGCTATAAGAAAGTTTCAGCATGAGTTTTTTGTAATTCTTCTGAGGGTTGAAAGATAATTAAGCTACCTGACTCCAATTGAAAATGTTTTGGCAGCTCTAAGAGGATATGAAGTGCTTCTTTGCTAATGCTGGCAACAACAGCTTTAATGTGTGTTAAAGGGCTTTCCTTCTTAACTAACAATGAGTATTTGGAAATAATGATCCTTGAGCTTTTAACATAAGAGGATTGAAAATCATAAAAATCAGAGTTCAGGTAACTTCATGCTAGGTTTTTAGAATCCTGTAATGAGATTTATACAGCAATTAAATGTGTGCTGGTATTTTGTGATTTCTTATTAACGTTTGGCTCCTGCTTTATAACTGGTGAGTCACAATTTTTTCATCTCAAGATAGTTTTGAAAAATGTGATAATGTATGGCCACAGCCTTAAAGTTCATGGCTGTATTTATTAGAATTACTGTTGTACTTACTCAGGTCTAAAGCCTTGATTTAATAGGCCTTTACTGACCAGTCTTTGATTTTAGTATTGTGTATGGTGAGTATTTTCTATAAACATGTAAACGTGATATGTAATTTTATAGTAATGGATGTATGTAGATGTAAGTGTAATTGTTGTATAAACATTATCATAATTACTTTGTTTAAAGAAAACACAGTGAAGGAGGATGTAGTGACTGTAGCCCCTGTGTGATACAAACTGAGTTGAATGTCCAGCATGGCCCAGATGGCTGCAGGTCGTTGTGCTGGAACTGGAGGAGGGCAATAAGGATTCCCAGACTGTGTAAAATTTTCTTTATGCCAGACTGTCAAGGCAGATTATTAAATACAAATTTGTTAAAGGAATGCAATCAATATAAATTAAATTCAGCATTTGCCTTTATTTATCAGTGCTCTTGATCATTTTACATTTGTTGTTGTTTTTGGTGGTTTTTGTTTTTTTTTTTTGTAACTGCAGAAAAATGATAATTCCTTTGATTTAAGGGCTCTGGATTTGGGGCATTTAATGTATGAGCCACAAATGGATTGTTGAGCTTAACTTTCTGTGACTGCATAAATTAAGTTCAGTTTTTACAACTTGAGTGCTGTAATTTATGAGCTGTCAACCAGTCCCACTTGAAAAAAAGGGAACTGTTTAGTTGGGAATAGCTTGTGTAACAGTGGCAGCTCTTGAAATGTCTGGGTGTAGTTTGAAAACCCTGTGTGGTTTTTTGGTAGTTCTGCTACAACAGGGATCCATGGTTACCAGTCCAGTGTGGTGGAAGGAGCAGAGAGCACTGTTTGCTTCTGCAAAGCGTTCCATTTTTTGGTGTGATTTGAGTTTGGACTTTTACAAATGTAGCATCTCTCCCCCAGTTCTTGTTTTTGCTGTGAGCTTTTGGTCTGTTGAGTGTTTTATAATGTATGCTTTTATTATATTTAAATTTCTTAGGAATCAAGAAAATAGTCTGCAAAGTTCTCCAAATCTGTTTTTGCCTTAAGTTCTCACTTTGTTAAGAATTCCACTTATTCTTGACAGCATGTGGAGCATATTCTCGCTCCTGTCATCTGGCAGGTGGTGCTGCACATCACTTGTTCAACCTGCTTGTTTATTTCTGCATGGATAATCGTAACAAAGCCTTCCCCTACACCAGGCACCTCAATTTGAGCGTGAGGCCAAAGACACTGTCAGCACTGGTGAGAAGTGGTGTCCCTGAGGCCCTGAGAGGAGAGGTCTGGCAGCTGCTGGCAGGGTGTCACAACAACGATCACCTGGTGGAGAAGTACCGAATCCTCATCACAAAGGTAGAATGCTTTGTTCCATTTCCCTCCCTCTGGCGTGTTAATGTAAGGAAATAGAGAAACTCCCAAGTATGTAACCTCTTGCTTAAAGGCTGATGTGTCGTCTGAATGTGGTGTGTCAACCAGTGAGGGGAATTGAGTCTGAAAAAAAAACCAAACCCAAAAAACTACCATGCAATGTTAGTTATTGCCATATTTCTAGAGAGTTTTCATAATCCTTGCTACACCCAGATGAGTTCTGAGTTAATTTGTCAGAAATTAATATTGTGTTAATTGCATTCGTAAGTGACAGATTCAGGGAGCTCATTTCCTTTGCTTGTTTGGATTTCCTGGATGAAAGCTGAATTTTGTTGTGTTGTGTTATTAATGTTTATGCTAAAAATCCAGTGCTAGTTGAATTGCAGCTTTTTTTTTCTGAGATAGAAAAGACAGCGTGTTGTGCATTTTACACTAGAAGCAGTTTAACTTCTCATCTTGAATGCTGACCTCAATAACATGGGAAAATAAAAAAAACAAATCAGTTACAGCCATCATTGAGTGTTTCTGAAAGTTCCAAGGTGACAAAGAGGATGAGATATTTCTTCCTTATCGGAAAATCCATGTGCTGATTTGGTTTCAATCATTATCATTACAGATAAGTTCTATTTTACTATTTTTATCGAATGTGTGTCTCTAGAAGGACTGTGTTGAATTCCTTAATATTGCTACCTGCATAGTAGAACTGTAACTTGTGTTTATGGTGAATGAATCATATAGGTATTATGGAGGTTGAGTGCTCTTGTGAGGAGCATGTCGGAGCTACCCTTGCAGTGCTGTCACAATTGCTTTGTGACTGGATGTTGTGTCACTTTCCCCTCTGTTTCAGTATTTCAGTGTCAGGATGGGAAAGGTGGTCGCTGTGGCGCAGTGTAAACTAATTAAGGAATTAAAGACAATGAGCACTCAATGACCATTTTCATGCCCTGCCGCCTTCACGTTAAGTGGGCAGTGCACTACCAACAGTAACCAAGTCTAGCAAGTGAACATGAATTCTGCTTTCGGATGGGAGTGCCTTATTAGGCCACTGTTCTGGCTGTTTGCCTCGTGACTTAAATATAAACTACGTGGAAATGGGCTGTGATTCTTTGTGTAGGGTGGGCAGAGAGGATTGTGCTTTTAGAGCACAATTATCTGTTTGGTGAATTCACACTGCAGTAGTGACTTTGTCAACCTGCAGACAATGGAGTGAGGAAAGGTTACCAAAAAGGTTATCCAGAAGGTTATCACTGGCTATGAGGACCTGAGCCAGGACTTGGAAAGATGATGTTTGCAGACCCATTGTGTGTAGTATCTGCTAACAGTATGATGAAGCTGCACTACATCTTATCTTTATTTTTTTTATTTTCAAGTCTTTAATACATTATTTGATCATTTTTAGTTCTAATGCAAATAATTATTCTTACTGCTCTGAAAACATCTGCTCAGTTACAGTCAGTATGCACCGGTAAGGTGCTTTATAGTGCGCTGCTTTGCTGGCCCCGTAATGCGCTGTCATGTTTTGCATCTCACTAATGCAGACTCCAGTCTAACAAGAGTGCAATTGTTTGTATTACCATGCACTGGAAATGGTCTGCTGAGGAAGGCTGCTGTGGTGTAGCATTGAGGAGTTGATGTGAAACCTTTGCTCTTCAGTGCAAGCAGGAGATGCAGTGTGGCGCTCTGAGTGCTCATAATCTGGTGCCTCTTCTCTCTTAATGTTGACCTCTATTTCTGTAGCTGTATTTGATTTCTGCCAGACTGTTCGTGACCCCATGTGGCAGCACAGTCCCAAATTAATAAGGATCCGTGTTGACAGCTGCTTCAAAAGCATCTGGCCTCTTTCTGTGATTTTTTTTTATTGTGAGCAGGGTGTTGGATGTGGTCTCTCCAGCATTTCTTGTGATGTTTGCTGCTTTCCTGTGGAACTGTGGCTTCTGGTGCTTGGAGAATTGTGTTTTTAGCTTTTTTTTGCAAATTAACTGCTGTGTGAATAATTTCTTGTTTACTGTAGAAGTGTGGGTACCCAGCAGTTGAAAGAGAAATGTCTTCCAATGGGTTTCCCTGGTGAAGGCTGTATCTAGTTCTCCCAGTAAATCTGATTTGTGCAAGAAGGTGAAAAACAACACTGAATCCACAGCTTAAGGTGTGCTGTGTGGAGCCTCCGTGACATTCTTTATCTTCTTTCATTCATTATCTGCTCCATATTGTTTTGGTAAGCACTGGCTGGCTTTGGACTCAGTGCTTTTATTGTTACAGCAGTGTCTGAGTTGCACCACTGTGGTGCTTCCACAAATTACTTTTGAGAATTTGTACACCATCTGTGTGCAATAATGAAGCTTTTAGCAAACTCCAGATTGCCACGCTCGTGATGGAGAGTGTGGCTGAAAGCCAGCCCAATGAATTGAGGTCACGTCCCCACTGGGGGCTGGAAGAAAACTCTAGGTGAGACGATCTTGACAATCCTTTGAGAGGCATCTGTTCCTGGTAGGACTTTGGCAGTCATGGTTATGGCTGTTGATCTTTGGGCTTTGGCCCCTGAATGGGAGGAGCAGAGAGAAGGGGACTCGCTGCGGGTGTCAGTGAGAACCTCAAGGAGAGATACTGAATGTTTTTAACAGTCAGAGATGGAAGGAGACATGGCTGAATGCAAGACCTATAAAGCTGGTCGCAGAGGTTAAAAATAAATCATCATCACAGCAAAATAGACAATGCCTACTTCTCAGACCAGATTTTTAGAGGATTAAGACGTCTCCTGAATCTTTCAGATCAGTGGAGGTCTTGCGGTTTTCTTGCAGATAAATGCTTCATAATACCACAATTTTAAGAAGCTGATATTTGGAATATTGAGGGAACAATAAGAAGTTTTGGGTGTAGGTCTGTGTGGGAGGACATAAGGTGAAAGGATTAAACAAATGAAAAAACCAACCCAAACATGAGCTGTTGTACCAGGTAAATACACTGTATTAAGAAGAATTCAACATGAGAGGGACATCTTGTGGTACAACTTAAAGTAAATAAATAAATACAGTGCAGAGGCAGAGCTGTCCTGGGCTGTCACCCTGGGTAACATTTCTGACAGGAGTTGATCGTGGTTCAAGTTGGGCTCCTTCCAGTTTTCCTGCAGCAGGGCACTTTCTCATTTTCCTCTTCTTTTGTCTCCATGAGCAGAGGATTGCAGTACACAAGTTCTACCAAATACACCGTCAGTCTTGGTGCAAATTACACTAATATTTAATGAAGAAATTAAAATGTCAGTACCATTATTTGAGTGAATGGGTTGCTTCACCAGAGGCATGCAGTACAGCAGTGTTCCAGCTGTGGGTGGCTAACATTTATTTTCTGTGAGTCGCAATCAGGATTCCACGTGTTTAAGAGGAATCCGTGTCATTTTCTAGGAGTACAGAGGGCCACGATTGTGTATAATTAATTGAAATAAAAGTTAACTTGCATCTGTGAAGCACAGTATGGAAGAAGTATGGCATAGGTTTGCTGTTGGTGCACCTGAACTTGCAGATCCATTGTTGGATGAGTTTTGATCATGTGGTGATAAAAGTTTAATTATCTTTCATAAGCAGTTGGTCTCCCAAGAGTTCTCGTTGTAATTTTGAGTTCTTGAATACCTTTTAATAGTCTCAGCTGAGGTTGTACTGCATCACTGGGAGAAACGCCTAGATGTTAGAAGTATTTTCAATGATTGGCACCCAGAATCCCGGCTCTCAGCTACCAAAAATACCCATTTTCACATCTCTTGGTTGGCTGCTTGTGCACTGGACCCCAGAGCTGCTCTGGTAGGGTTATATCCTGCTTGGTCACCTTTTTAGTTCCAGTTCCAGCCTTCCCAGTGCTGCAGGTCAGCGTTGGGAGTCAGTGTGAGCTCATGGTCGTGGCTTGGGTGCATGCAGTGAGCAGCTGTAGGTTGGCCTGGACACGGAGCAGAGCTGTTACCCTGTGCTGAGGGAACAACAGGCTGTCAGCTAAAGGAGAACATTCTCTTACTAAGAAATGCCTGTTGGCAATGTAGGAGTTAAGCCTGGGCTACTAATAAAAATAAAACATGGAGGACGTTTTGATTTAGAGGAACATCTTTTGTTTTGAAATTTGAGCAACCAGACGTTGTTCTGGGCAGTCTCAGGATTTCCAATACTACCTTATTTTTATATATCTGAGATATATTTAAAGTTCAATGTGTGCTGTTTTCCTAAGGATGTTTATAATGTGCCTATTCATGCCTAAGGAGCCAGAAATACTATGTGAATCAATTGGTATGTAAATCATTCTCTGCTTTGGAAAGATAGGAGATCATTTCTCCGGCAGTAATTCAATCATAGCTTGTTTTTTGTATAACCACAATACACTTGCCTAAATTTAATTCAAAGTTTATGTTTCCTAGCTACAGTTCTAGTACTTAATTTTCCATGGGTAGAAATACCATAAATTATAACAGAAATGAAGGACAATGGCAAAGTGATCTTTTGGGGGAAAGGGGTGGAAAAGTAACATTTTTGGTTTCGGGATGCTGTAGGAGACAGAGTAAAAATCTGCCGAGTCATGGTGTTGTCCAGCCAAGGCTTTTGACCATAAAAACACACTGCAAAGTGGCTTTTCTGCCTACAGGTCAACTGAAATCCCAAGTGTTGCAATGTGATGGCTTTGATATTTGTTCCTGTGGCTGTAATTCCATTTCCATTGGGTATCCAATGGTGTGACAAAAGTTTAGCTTACATTAACCAAAACCTTGGGTTTCGGTAGGATTCAGTGTGTGGATTTGAGCTGGTACTGGTGACAGTGGAATGCTTTCATTTTGGACTCAGGTTGCCGAAGAGCCTCACCTTGCTCCACTGCTGGTCAGCTCAGCGAGCAGCTCTGGGCCCTGGGCTCAGACCGAGCCTCTGCCTGTCTCCCAGGCTGTGCTTTGCAGCACGTTGAGTGGGTGAGATGCTCTCAGGTGTTATCCTGTCGTTGGGCAAATGAGATAGCAGCATCCCCTTACGACATCCACGCCTTGGGTGCATAGGAGAGACATTTCTGGTCAAATATGTGTGGTGGGATTTGTTGCTGGTGTGACTCCTGTGCACCACTGCTCTCTGGCATGCCAGCAAGCTTTTTGTTTTGCAGAGCTGGTTTAGTTCGCGTTGGGTGCTGTCGGTGATAGTGACGCCTTTGCACTTTGTGTGCACGTACGCAGGAGGTGACTTTCCCTTCGGAGCAGCACCTGAATTACCAGTGAACTGCATCTCTCAGCTCGGATGCCCTTGGTTTCAGGTGTCTCCTAAGCAACACAAACTACGCGGGGAAAAGACGCCGTTTCCCCCCAGAGCTCCCACCGAGGCTCCTATAGAAAAGCCTTAAGTCCCGCTAGGCGCTCGCCCTCTCCTCCCTGCTCGGTCCGCGGCCACCCGCGCCGCTCAGGCGGTGGGCGGCAGGGCAGGGCACGGCGCGTCCGCAGGACCGGGCGGCAGCCGCCGCGCTGCAGGGACGCCTGCCTTCGCCGTCGGCTCCGAGGTCGCGCAGGGTGAGGCACCGCGGCGGTACGGGGGGAGGCGGCGGCGATCCCGCGGGGCTCGGCCCTTCCCGGGGCGGGGGCTGCGGGGGAGCCCGGCCGGGTCCCCGCCGGCGCCGCGCCCTCCCCCGCTCTCCTGCCCGCCTCCCTCCCCTTCCTCCCGCCGTCCCCTCCCCCGGCTCCGCAGCGCCGGGCAGAGCGGAGCCGCCGCGCTCGCTGGGGACGCGCGGGGCTTTTGTTCGCCGGCGGCAGGTGAGGGCCGGGCCGCGGCCGCGCGGAGCCCCGGGCCGGGCGGGGGGCGACGGGGCCGGAGGGACGCGATCCCGGCGGGGCGGGCGAACAAAGCGGAGCGCAAGATGGAGCCAGGAGAGCGGGGCTGCGCCCCCCGCCCCTCCGCGCATCTCTCCGCACGGGCGTCCTCGGGAGGCGCGGACCGGGAACCGCCGCTCGGTGGGCCCGGGGCGGGCGGCGGGGAGCGGCGGAGCGGGGCGTGGGGCCGGAGGCGGCGGGAGCGGCGCGGGGATGATGCCGTAAAATGCTTTCCCCTTCTCTTCTGTCAGCGTTCGGGAGGACTCCCATCCGCGCTCGAGGAAGGCTCCTTCTCCCTCTTCCCCGTCCCTCAGCCCTCCTGAGCGAGGCGGCCCACCCGGAGGGCTCTAATAGCCGCCCTGTGTCAGCGTGAAGTTGCTGACATGACTGCCGCCGGGTCCCCGCGCACCGGTAGCGGCGCGGAGCCGGGTTTAAAGGGGAATTGCGCCGCAGACAATGCACAGCAGTGGCAGCTGGAGCAGCCCTGGGGACCCGAGCTCCGGTTCTGACATTGCTGCACGCAGAGCCCCAGCCGCAATGACAGCAGCTGCCTGGGGCGGCTGCAGGCAGCAGGCAGGAGCATGAAGTAGAGATCACTGCAGTGCTCAAGATGAACTCCTCTTTGGTTGGCAACCAGAGTGGCCGGCCATTCTGTCTCCTGGCCATTAGCTATTTGGAGACCATCAATTTTTGCCTTCTGGAAGTGGTTATTATTGTATTCCTCATGGTGCTGATTATTTCGGGCAACATTATTGTGATATTTGTCTTTCACTGTGCACCTCTGCTGAACCACCACACCACCAGTTACTTCATTCAGACTATGGCGTATGCTGACCTCCTGGTGGGCGTGAGCTGTCTGGTGCCTTCTTTGTCCCTGCTGCACTACCCAGTTGTTTTAAGCGAGTCTTTGGTTTGCCAAATCTTTGGTTACGTGGTATCGGTGCTGAAGAGCGTCTCCATGGCCTCTTTGGCATGCATCAGTATTGACAGGTACATTGCCATCACCAAACCGCTGACCTACAACACGCTGGTCACCCCGTGGAGACTGCGGATCTGCATCCTGGTCATTTGGCTGTACTCCTGCCTGGTCTTCTTACCCTCCTTTCACTGGGGAAAGCCTGGATACCACGGGGACGTGTTTCAGTGGTGTGCCAACTCCTGGAACACCGATCCCTATTTCACTCTCTTCATCGTGGTGATGCTGTACGCCCCGGCAGCTTTCATTGTCTGCTTTACGTACTTCAACATCTTCCGCATCTGCCAGCAGCACACCAAGGAGATCAACGAGAGGAGGGTGCGCTTCAGCTCTCAGGATGGGGAGGCAGGGGAGGCACAGCCCTGCCCGGACAAGCGCTATGCCATGGTTCTTTTCCGTATCACCAGTGTCTTCTACATCCTCTGGTTGCCCTACATCATCTATTTTCTGCTGGAGAGCTCCAACGTCTACAGTAACCGCATTGCATCCTTCTTGACCACTTGGCTTGCCATTAGCAACAGTTTCTGCAACTGTGTCATTTACAGTCTCTCCAACAGTGTCTTTCAGAAGGGGCTGAAGCGTCTCTCGGGGGCGATTTGTGCCTCTTGTGCCAGACAGAGGGTAGCCAAGGACTCCTCTACCTCTAGGAGCAAAAGATCTTCCAATGGATGTCACGTTTAAGACACCTATCAGCTTGACTGGGAAGTGCAGGACAGCTCTGTAATTTGCAAAAAGTTAAATATGATTTTATGATGTCCAGATTTGCAAAAAGGTTTCTGAGAAATGCTGCTGACACAGAAGAATCAGGAGCACATATCATTGTGGTTTCACTTTAAAAAAATTTATTGCTGTGGAGGCGGCTGTGGAGTTTCACCTCCATATTCGTTTTTAAGAATAAAGCTCTATCTTGACACTTACCTCTCCAGCTGGTGTGACTGAATGGAGTGGGTGTCTGAGAGCTTCAGCAAAATGTAGTCTTTCTTACAGTTCTGCTAGGTTCTTTTGAGATTCGTGCTTCACATGTAAATGATAGATCTGAAGTGGAAATGTCATGGTGTATGGTATATTACAGGGATTTTTTTATATATGCCAAAGTATATTGACAAAATTTTCCAGCGTTGTAACAGAAGGGGCCAAACCTTGTTTTTCAGTGCTGCATAGACAGGACTTCCAGAACAGTGGGGAACAATGTAATGTTTTCTCATGAGCGTGGTCTCACGGAGCTGTGAGTGCAGCGCTCTGATCTGAGCCGGCCCCGGCCCCGTTCCTCTGGTTGGCCGTGTGTGCAGTCAGAGTACAGCGACTGCGTCTTCCTGGCTGTTGTCAAGTAAGAAAAACTTGAATCAGACCACATCTAGCAGTTAAATAAAATGTGTTTTGATAAGCTAAGAGAAAAATACTTGTCATTTTATGATACCAGAATTGTGGCAGCCGCTTGAGAATGATGCCAACATGTGAAAATTATTCTCCAAACAGTGGAGAAATGCCACATTTTTGTGTGGAAATTTTCTCAAGAACAACTTTAAAAATAACATGTTCTTCCCCCCCCCCCCCCCCCTTTCTTTAATCTAAATTCTTTTGATATTTTACATACTAGAACTTAGGGAGAAAGGAAAGAAAACAATTGTCTTCTAAACAGCTAAGGGAACTATGTTGTAAATTTAACTGTAGTATTTGAGTTATTCATAAGCGCACAGAGCTAAATCAGAGACATTTTTCTTTAGGCTTCCGGGGATTAATGATGGTTCGAATATAGCAGGAGCTAAAGCCTGTTGGCAAACACATATTTAACTGGTCAAACAATGTGCAGTATCTGAGAAACAGTTTCATTGACCACAGCTTTTCTCAGGCTTGCTTAAACAAAGTGTTTTTGAGTATTGTGATGCCGTTAAGAATTCAGCACAGCCCTCAAATTGATTGGTTTTTCAAAAGAACATCTTTTTACTGGTGTTGTATTGGAACAGTAAAGCGTTTGTGAGCCATGTCCTATAGCAGTGCATTACATCTGCATGGCCCTTTGCAGCCCTGGTGCTACGTTGGGTGCTGTGATTTTGGGGAGTTGTGGTGGGTTTATACTTGTTGTGTTGGGGAAGGAAAAAAAGAATAGGGAAAGTTAGTTTTAGAAATGTGTTTTAGACCTGAGGCAGTTCTCTTGGCCAAAGGAAGGACTGTGTGTATTTGTTCTCAGGTCTGCTGTTGTTGCTGAACAAGATGATCTCTGTTTTTTCGTGGTCCTGCAAGCACACTCGTTCACTCCTCTGTGCTCTGCGGGGAGCCCCAGTCCCTGGGTTCATGTGGTTTGCCCCGAGACAAAGCCATGTTGTGATCTGCTTTCAGTATTCATCCATACTCCGGGCTGGTCCAGATGAGCTTCCTTCTTAGTTTATCTGAAAGTTTAAGGCTATCCTCATGCCCTCACAACATTGCTTGTTGTCTTTCATATTAAGACGTGGTCTAGGTCAAGGGCTTACGCCGTCATCCTTGCACAGACAGCAGAGAGGAGGATCGTTCTGCTAAGCTGTGTCCATCTGCAGTTTGGTCAGAGACACCTGGCTGTGCCAGGTAGCCTTGGCTGGTGGAGCAGAGCACAGTGGTGCAGTGAGTCATTTATAAATGGTGCATTAGCTCACAGCTGGCTAATTGCTCTCTAGTGTTTTGTAGGTGTCCTGGCACGGGAGGGCTTTAGGGAGCAGTTTAAGGGCTTTAGTCACTAATATCGAAGCATTCCTGTGTGGTATTTTTGGAGCAGCCTCTCAGGTAAATTCCCAGTAGCTTTTCTCTGACTCTTCACCTTAGCTAACATTTCCACAATGCAATCCAGCATTCAAAGCATTTGATTAAATTCAATAGAAGAAAAAAACCAATCTGCTAGGCTTAAAACCCTAAGTATGATCATTTCAGGTTAAAGTGGAAGCTGGAGGACAAATGTTTGGTTTTTTTTTTTCCCTCCAAATTTTATGGCGTGAATAAGAGGTTTAAGTAGGGTTATTCAGTGCTGGTTTTTGAGAATATGGACGTTTAGCATAAATTGCAAGGAGTTAATGATGGCATAGGATTTAACTTGAGTTGAAGCAGTTGCTGCTTAAGCTGTAAGCCTGGACTTGTACTTAGTGTAGTGGCTGGTACTGATTTAGATGGAAATTTGCAGCCATTGCTGCTTGCAACTGAACTTTAATTGTAATATTCGTAACAGCTTGGCTTTTGTTCACTCACTCATCTCAATGTCTTCAGCTCAGGTGATTTCCATGAGGTGAAAGTCAGAATCTGGAAGTCTCTTCCAAGGTAAGAAGAGCAGAATTGCAGCCAGCTGAAGCATTCAGGTTTCATCCCGCATTTTCAGGTAGTTTCTAATACTGCATCAGTTGCCTGGTTCATTAGTCTGTATTTCTAGTCCTGTCCGTATTCATTTGTCTGTGTTATAAATTTTAAGTTATATTTTCCCTGTCAGTTAAAGGCTGGTCGAGGTTTATAGGCAATGAAGGGGTTTAAATTGTCTGACCCCACTGTCTTCAGTGAAACTGCTTGGAGGTGGTTCTTGGTCCCTGTGCCAACCGTGTAAGAAAGAATTTTGGAAAGTATTACCTTGTTTGCTCAGCAATCCATTTAACATCCTTGCTCACATAGTAAACGTGAGGCACAGTAGTTCTTTCCATCACCATATGTGCTATGAGTTGTTGGGCAGCAGGCTTTCCACTTGGATTGCTTTCATCACTGTACACATGAAACTAATCCTTCTTGGCCATGTCTGTGTCAGTGTGTGCCTGGCCATTTAGAAACTGGTGCCAGGAGCACTGTGTATGTACACGCCACAATGGAGACAATGCAGAAATCAACTTGTATCTTCATAAGAATTGTGTGTTGTGGTATGGTTTAATGAACTAACTTCGAGATTCCGTCTTATTTTTTATTAGAGTTCTGCCTCATTTTCACATCGAGCTGCTGCAAGGTCCAATGAAAGGGGTAGAATTCACTAGTTTTTTTTTATGCCACAGGAGAAGATTTCTATACGCACAACTTCTCAGAACGTGAGCATTTGCTTCATTGAAAAAAATCGTACTGGAAGTCTGGGCTGTGGTGGCATTGTTGTTTCCCAAATAGGCTGGGAGAAAATCTGTGAATGATCATTTTAATAATTTTCAATGAAGTGACAGTATTTTTAAAACCAACAGTTATCTTTTGCGTGACGCAAACGTTTTGTTGTCATCTACTGTTAGTTTTTTATTAAATATTACTGGTTTCTGTGGTCTTTATGTGCTTTTGGAAGGGCTGTACTTGTATCTCAAGCTTCTTATCACTCAGAAATCTGTTTCTTTCAGTTGGAATTCTGACGTGGCTCTGTATCAGTGCCAAAGGGCAGTCGTGAATAGTTGTCTTAAATCTTCTATAGGGAGGAAGCGGGGCCGAGGATTGAGGCACGGGGGATTCAGGAGCTGCAGGAAGAGTCTTTCTCAAAGCAGGAACTTGAATGAGAATTCCCACATTTTAGCCCTGCGCCGCATCTCTGAGGCATTGCTCCTTTCCCCTTCGCATAGAGGTTTTACATGTAAGAAATCCTAAATTTCAGGAAAAAGGTGATTCCAAAGGATACGATGTGAAATGGAAATATTCAGTGTGAAAAATTGAAGAGCAGCCTTCTGATATTTGTTGTGTTGTTAGCAGCTGTGTTGAACCTTTGTGAGCTGGGAAGGCAAACTTTTCAGTCTGTCCTTATTCCACATCTGGATTTGGAATTGGTTTAACTTGTATCCCTAACTCAGGTTGGTGCTTTAGAAAGTGTTTTTCTTAGGAACTAATATGTGAGCATGGGAGCCAACCTTTAGGTGTGACAAACAAAAGGCCCATTTTTTTCCAATGGCTTTATTAATCTACTATATTTATAATTCAGTATGAGAAGGTGAAAGTTTTGAAGGTTTTATTTAATCGTTGTTTAAGCACATCTTTAGTGCTGCATGCTTGAAGCATCTGCTAAAATATTTGCCTGACCTGGTCCTTGTGTTGTTCCTAAGGTTAAAAACCCTTTTCTTCCCGTCTCTCACGTTGCAGAATGCAGTGGCACATCCTTTCAGTGATACCATTCAAAATAAACTTGAACTTTACCTCGCCACCAATTCTGTCTGAAGCTGAGAAAGCACATTTGTAGCTGATGCAAGAGGTGTAAAGCCTCCACGGTGGGAGGAGGAATGGGCACTTCACAAACCCTGGGCTGTTCTGCTGAGGCTGCCTGGAAGGCAGAAGCTGGGCACGGTGGGGGAGGCCAGGTCCATTGGTTCTCCCCAGGAAAGCAGTGCTTCCTCCCTGTTCTGCAGGCTGTGTCTGTTCCCTGCTCATCTCTTTCCACTCTCTCCAGTCCCTCCTTTAGGATGATGAGAGAGTTCCCTATCATGGAAATAATGCATTTTACACTAGGAATGTTCTGACTTGAGGCCGGCATCTTAAAGCTTTGAGGTTATCATTTCCCTTGCTGCCTGTGCATTGCTGTCACCACTTTGAAAGATGTTTGAAAGCCAAGGCAAGCTAAAGTTATATACATAACAAGCTTTTGGAAGAGGAAAGCTTTTGAATGTTAAGATGTAGTATATGTAGAAGCAGGTCATTGTGTTTAGAGAAAGAAACCGAAAGTTGCTGCCAGGGGAAATAAACAAAAGAAACCTGTGGGACAGCACTGCGTGTGTGCACTTCTGGTATGATGTAAGCTGCACTTGTGTCAACACAATGGAGTATTTAGTTTGGGTCACATCATTTAGAACACATTGTTGTAAAGAGTAAAGGTAACCTTTCTTGCAGAGCTGCAGTGCTTGGGTTCTGCCCATTCTGGGAGCAGGGATTCTCCTGCTCTGTTGCCACCTGGCTGCAGTGGGACAGCGTGGTGAGCTGGCATGGCTGAGCCTTGGTGTGGTACAGCTGGTGTAGCTGCTTT